ATACATTGTCCGGTCCGTGCTTGTAATTTGTTCGAAAGACACGCATTCATATGTCGCGTTGTTTATCTCTCACGCTATTTTCAGTGTTTTGGTGCGGAAAATTAAAAGCAGACAGAATATCGTTTTCTTCATATTTACTTCAATTAGAAATCATGTCGATGTTCATCGTCAGAAATGACGACGAAATTAAGTATATGATTGTTGTCAACTTATGGTCCTATGAAAAATAAGTACAACAAAAATGATATATTTACATGTGCAATTCCTTTGCGTTTAAACAATAAACATAAAATTCATTATACAACTGAATCACCGGCAACGGAGCCCTATTAAAATGTTATTTAGCAAATAATTATACAACACAACAAGCCCGTTCGATTTATCCTAGAAGTTCTACTTCTGAAATTAGTGAAATATAAATTTTTTTCGGTTCGTCTGTGTGTGTGGAAGTGCGTTTGTGTTCACAGAAAGTGATCGTATTTCTGAATATGTATGAAAACAAACTTGGCCGGAGAAAAGAGCTACAGCATTTTACTTGGCATTACGAAAATGTAGTATTGTCTTGTCATATATATTGTTGCCAAGTTCATTCGGTCGACTTTTAAATAAAAATAAAATGTAAAGTTTTTTAACAGTCCAATCCCATCGTTGCACTTCTCAAAGTTGTACTTCTGAAATCATTGAAATGTAAATTTTTCGGTTCGTCTGTGTGTGTGGACGTGCGTGTGTGTTCTCAGAAAGTTATAATAGTTCTGAATATGTACAGTAATAAAATATGGCATGGCTTTTATATTTAATGCGTATGATCTTCCACAATTTTCTATGCTTAAGAGCGTATAATCCGCACTGCGTTTTACTGACTGTAGTCAAAACTTAGCAGCTGAAAATATCGTTCGATTATATGCTATACTGGTGATTGTAGGCGTAAAGTATATCTCGTTTGGGCAAAAAATACAATATAGTATAAAACAAATTCCGAAGAAGAAGACACTTGAGATTGTACAATATTCATCAAAACAAGACGAGAAGTGACATGTAAATTTTCGACTTTACTTCAAAGTTATCCTCAGACAGAATAGAGTCGAAAATTTACAGTTCACTTCTTGTCTTGTTTTGATGCATATTTTGCAATCTCAAGATGTCTTGCTTCTTCGGAATTTGTTTTATACTATATTTCTTTAAATTGTCGCTGGTCATAGTTTTTGGCCAAAAATACAAGGACTTGATACATTGTCCGGTCCGTGCTTGTAATTTGTTCGAAAGACACGCATTCATATGTCGCGTTGTTTATCTCTCACGCTATTTTCAGTGTTTTGGTGCGGAAAATTAAAAGCAGACAGAATATCGTTTTCTTCATATTTACTTCAATTAGAAATCATGTCGATGTTCATCGTCAGAAATGACGACGAAATTAAGTATATGATTGTTGTCAACTTATGGTCCTATGAAAAATAAGTACAACAAAAATGATATATTTACATGTGCAATTCCTTTGCGTTTAAACAATAAACATAAAATTCATTATACAACTGAATCACCGGCAACGGAGCCCTATTAAAATGTTATTTAGCAAATAATTATACAACACAACAAGCCCGTTCGATTTATCCTAGAAGTTCTACTTCTGAAATTAGTGAAATATAAATTTTTTTCGGTTCGTCTGTGTGTGTGGAAGTGCGTTTGTGTTCACAGAAAGTGATCGTATTTCTGAATATGTATGAAAACAAACTTGGCCGGAGAAAAGAGCTACAGCATTTTACTTGGCATTACGAAAATGTAGTATTGTCTTGTCATGTATATTGTTGCCAAGTTCATTCGGTCGACTTTTAAATAAAAATAAAATGTAAACATTTTTAAAAATCGAATCCCATCGTTGCACTTCTCAAAGTTGTACTTCTGAAATCATTGAAATGTAAATTTTTTTCGGTTCGTCTGTGTGTGTGGACGTGCGTGTGTGTTCTCAGAAAGTTATAATAGTTCTGAATATGTACAGTAATAAAATATGGCATGGCTTTTATATTTAATGCGTATGATCTTCCACAATTTTCTATGCTTAAGAGCGTATAATCCGCACTGCGTTTTACTGACTGTAGTCAAAACTTAGCAGCTGAAAATATCGTACGATTATATGTTATACTGGTGATTGTAGGCGTAAAGTATATCTCGTTTGGGCAAAAAATACAATATAGTATAAAACAAATTCCGAAGAAGAAGACACTTGAGATTGTACAATATTCATCAAAACAAGACGAGAAGTGACATGTAAATTTTCGACTTTACTTCAAAGTTATCCTCACACAGAATAGAGTCGAAAATTTACAGTTCACTTCTTGTCTTGTTTTGATGCATATTTTGCAATCTCAAGATGTCTTGCTTCTTCGGAATTTGTTTTATACTATATTTCTTTAAATTGTCGCTGGTCATAGTTTTTGGCCAAAAAATACAAGGACTTGATACATTGTCCGGTCCGTGCTTGTAATTTGTTCGAAAGACACGCATTCATATGTCGCGTTGTTTATCTCTCACGCTATTTTCAGTGTTTTGGTGAGGAAAATGAAAAGCAGACAGAATACCGTTTTCTTCATATTTAGTTCAATTAGAAATCATGTCGATGTTCATCGTCAGAAATGACGACGAACTTAAGTATATGATTGGAGTCAACTTATGGTCCTATGGAAAATAAGTACAACAAAAATGATATATTTACATGTGCAATTCCTCTGCGTTTAAAGAATAAACATAAAATTCATTATACAACTGAATCACTTGGCAACAGAGCCCTATAAAAATGTTATTTAGCAAATAATTATACAACGCAACAAGCCCGTTCTATGTGTCCTAGAAGTTCTACTTCTGAAATTAGTGAAATATAAATTTATTTCGGTTCGTTTGTGTGTGTGGAAGTGCGTTTGTGTTCATAGAAAGTGATCGTATTTCTGAATATGTATGAAAGCAAACTTGGCCGGAGAAAAGAGCTACAGCATTTTACTTGGCATTACGAAAATGTAGTATTGTCTTGTCATGTATATTGTTGCCAAGTTCATTCGGTCGACTTTTAAATAAAAATAAAATGTAAACATTTTTAAAAATCGAATCCCATCGTTGCACTTCTCAAAGTTGTACTTCTGAACTCATTGAAATGTAAATTTTTTTTTCGGTTCGTCTGTGTGTGTGGACGTGCGTGTGTGTTCTCAGAAAGTTATAATAGTTCTGAATATGTACAGTAATAAAATATGGCATGGCTTTTATATTTAATGCGTATGATCTTCCACAATTTTCTATGCTTAAGAGCGTATAATCCGCACTGCGTTTTACTGACTGTAGTCAAAACTTAGCAGCTGAAAATATCGTTCGATTATATGTTATACTGGTGATTGTAGGCGTAAAGTATATCTCGTTTGGGCAAAAAATACAATATAGTATAAAACAAATTCCGAAGAAGAAGACACTTGAGATTGTACAATATTCATCAAAACAAGACGAGAAGTGACATGTAAATTTTCGACTTTACTTCAAAGTTATCCTCAGACAGAATAGAGTCGAAAATTTACAGTTCACTTCTTGTCTTGTTTTGATGCATATTTTGCAATCTCAAGATGTCTTGCTTCTTCGGAATTTGTTTTATACTATATTTCTTTAAATTGTCGCTGGTCATAGTTTTTGGCCAAAAAATACAAGGACTTGATACATTGTCCGGTCCGTGCTTGTAATTTGTTCGAAAGACACGCATTCATATGTCGCGTTGTTTATCTCTCACGCTATTTTCAGTGTTTTGGTGAGGAAAATGAAAAGCAGACAGAATACCGTTTTCTTCATATTTAGTTCAATTAGAAATCATGTCGATGTTCATCGTCAGAAATGACGACGAACTTAAGTATATGATTGGAGTCAACTTATGGTCCTATGGAAAATAAGTACAACAAAAATGATATATTTACATGTGCAATTCCTCTGCGTTTAAAGAATAAACATAAAATTCATTATACAACTGAATCACTTGGCAACAGAGCCCTATAAAAATGTTATTTAGCAAATAATTATACAACGCAACAAGCCCGTTCTATGTGTCCTAGAAGTTCTACTTCTGAAATTAGTGAAATATAAATTTATTTCGGTTCGTTTGTGTGTGTGGAAGTGCGTTTGTGTTCACAGAAAGTGATCGTATTTCTGAATATGTATGAAAGCAAACTTGGCCGGAGAAAAGAGCTACAGCATTTTACTTGGCATTACGAAAATGTAGTATTGTCTTGTCATGTATATTGTTGCCAAGTTCATTCGGTCGACTTTTAAATAAAAATAAAATGTAAACATTTTTAAAAATCGAATCCCATCGTTGCACTTCTCAAAGTTGTACTTCTGAACTCATTGAAATGTAAATTTTTTTCGGTTCGGGTGTGTGTGTGGGCGTGCGTGTGTGTTCACGGAAAGTGATCATATTTCTGAATATGTACAGTAAGAAAATACGGCTTGGCCTTTATATTTAATGCGTATGATCTTCCACAATTTTCTATGCTTTAGAGCATATAATTCGCACAGGACTCGTTGACAAGTACATGACACAGAGAGAGTAGTACATAAAAACCTAGCAATAAGTGCATAGCTTTCCAGCACAAAATGAATGGTAGTCCTTGTTACTAATTAAACATGCATTATGATACAGCAAAAACCTTCCAAGTTTTTTGTTAAAGAAAAAGAGTTAAAAAACATTTTATACACGCGTCGCGTACATATAAAAATTACACTACAACATCCGAGCACGCCGTTCGGAAACACATACTTCATTTTGTCCCCGATATAACTCTATACGCGTCGCGCGAATATTTATACACGCGTCGCGTACATATAAAAAATACGCTACAACATCCGAGCACGCCGTTCGAAAACGTATACTTGATTTTGTCCCCGATATAACTCTATACAAAAGATGCGCACTGGAGAGCTGGGTACAAGTAAGAGAACACGATTTTATTCTATACTTATCCTTTCTGTGTTATAAAGATGGCCACCAGCGTTGCTGCCGCCAGTGGCGATTGTGTTCGAAATTCGAAATTGTATTTGAGGAGAATTAAATCATTGTTCATCGACAAATTTAAAACAGCTAGCAACTCAACATTGGTTTGTTGCTCTAAATCAATGTAAGTATGAGTTAACAGTCAAACATATACTGAGAAAGCTTTCCACTTTGACAAACTAAGAATCCTGAAAAAAGTTAGGACATGTTTGTCTAGATTGTTATTATATCTTATTACGTAGACTTATCAAGTGATATAGTTTTTATTCAAACTACACACAACATTAATAATTATGAAATTTTTCGCTATGCTTAGAACTACAAACCATTTACACTTCTCTTTATAATACCTTAATACATTTCTTAAGGCCTAAAAGGTTTAATTACTTTTGAACATTTTTGAATACACACATCACATTGTTTGTGATGTGATTATACAAAAAGAATACATAAGAAGTATGATACTGCCAATGCACAATATTGTCAATATACAAAGTAGAAATAGATTAAAGAAAGAATATTTATTCAAACTTGAATAGATACCTTTTTTATTTTGCATTTTTGTCTGTATTGAGTTTGTTAAAAAAAGGCCATCGTCATTCGTACATTTTTACATAAAGGGAAATATTGTAAAGGCTATGGATTACATGAAACTTGTTAATTGTATGTATAATACTGGCTGCTGACATAAAATCATGAAGGTACAGGCGCATAGGTCTGTTAACCATGAACAAGTGCCAACCTTGTACGTGTGGTTCAGCTGCCAGAATCTCTTTGAGAAAATGTGTTTGTTGTTTGCTATATTTGCATACTTTATGTTAACAACTTTGTGTTTCTAAGAAGAACTGTTGTATAACATAACGTTAATGCCATGACAGCTTTATTTCATTAAGGAATATTTTAAACTCAAGGAGTAATAATAAATGGAATAAATACATATATTAAAGTAAATCAAACTGTGAACTTTTTGAGGGAATTGATGTTGTTACTGATTGTATAAATCATGTTTACTTCTTTTCAGATGAATCGGCCAGAAATTGGTCAAAATCCACATCAACTGCAAGTTGTAATCTTAACAGTGCCAGGTACTTGTTAAAAAGAATGATGTTATTATATGCACACTAAGGCCTTCTCTATATGAACAGAACCATAACCAGAAAGTTTTTATAGTCTTTCTCTATTATTAAACTTCAGTGTTCATAAGGCATAAGGGTCTGAGTCATCTCATGCATTGTTTATACATTACAAAAGTTATGTTCCCAAGTCATTGTTCATTAGCACTTGCTACAGAGACAATTCATTAGCTATAAAGGAAATCAATTCATACAGTGTTTGAATGCACTCTACAAATTCTGTGTTCTCTTCAAAGTCATACTTGACAGTTGCCAGTTGAATCCAAACAAAAAATAGGTTACTCTAACAACTACAAGTAATTTTCTTTTAAACACAACTCTAATCTCACCACTTATTAGATAAAATATTTTTCCTGTAATCTAGTACTGCATGCCATCAGGTAAACGTTTTAAAACAATGTAACTTTGATAATTAACAAAATGAGTTCTTTGAGAAAACAATGTTCAAACTAACAATAGAAAAACTATAACATAACAAACAAACTGCATATATGATGAGTACAACAAAGTAAACTACATTTATATTCAAATAATGCTAAAATACAATTTGAGTTAGTGTTATATTGTATTGAAATGTTCTCCATTCATAACAACTTTTTTGATCTGATTCACTGTTGCGTTAGTTGGAGTATTTTCTTTTGACAGCAACGTATTATGTAGTCATCACATCTGTAAATGCATACAACCATCTATTTTCCACTTATGTCTACACATAAAAGTCCAGCAATGTGTCTCTCTGTCTGTGTCTTTTGTGTTTTATTCAATTCTCTTGTTAACTATTATGAAGTAAAAATGAATGTCTTGGCAAACCATGCTCGTATCTATGCAATGTTCTTTTTGGGATTAATACAATAATGTCCAATAAAAACGTGAAACTTTTTCTCAATAGTATTGATTTATACTTTCATGAGAAAGGTCAATAACTTATAAAATGTATTAGCAAACATAGTATTTTGTTCCAGATTTCCTGTCACATGCGGTTTGAGCATCAGTTTATGAACACATATTTTTAGAACTCATCTTGTTTGATAGTGACAAAAAACACTTTTCAAAATGCAGCTACCCACATGTATGCTAAGCATACCTGTTTTTGTTATTTTTGATACTCGTATTCATCTTGACTAAAGCATTTTTTTACTTGCATCCATAAAATAAACTTGAAATTGACAAACACTCAAGAATTGAATTTTTTTTCCAGTTGATAGTAATCTTCCTTTACAAGTTGTGCGAGCAATTTTGCAAAGTATGGAAGCGATTGCTCCTCCACCAACTGGCGGTGAGTTGGTATTTGGGAAGTGGTTAAAAACTTAATTCAATTGTAAATTGTTAATGATTATTTTAGCCATTCGCTGATTTTTTTCGTGTTATCTTGTAGGAGATAATGAAGTATCTATTCATTTCAAGGAAGGGACTGAAGCACAGAATGAATCAATGGATATTGATTGATATTCAAACTTGAACATACACTTTAGTGAATATGTATAGTTTTAACGAAAGTAAAATATGGCATGGCCTTATATTCAATGCTTATGATCTTCTACAATTTTCTATGCTTTAGAACATATAATCCGCACTTTGTTTTACTGACTTTAGTCAAAATTTAGCTGCTAAAAAAAATAAAAGAAACTTGTTACACTGTGTAGTCCGTGCTTGTATTTTGTTCGAAACACACGCATTCATATGTCGCGTTGTTTATCTCTCACCCTGTTTTCAGTGTTTTGGCGAGGAAAATGTAAAGCAGACAGAATATCGTTTTCTTCATATTTACTTCAATTAGAAATCATGTCGATGTTCATCGTCAGAAATGACGACGAACTTAAGTATATGATTGGAGTCAACTTATGGTCCTATGGAAAATAAGTACAACAAAAATGAAAATATTTCCATGTGCAATTCCTCTGCGTTTAAACAATAAACATAAATTTCATTATAGAACTGAATCACTGGCAACACAGCCCTATAAAAATGTTATTTAGCAAATAATTATACAACACAACAAACCCGTTCGATATATCCTAGAAGTTCTACTTCTGAAATTAGTGAAATATAAATTTTTTTCGGTTCGTCTATGTGTGTGGAAGTGCGTATGTGTCCACAGAAAGTGTCTATTTCTGAATATGTATGAAAACAAACTTGGCCGGAGAAAAGAGCTACAGCATTTTACTTGGCATTACGAAAATGTAGTATTGTCTTGTCATGTATATTGTTGCCAAGTTCATTCGGTCGACTTTTAAATAAAAATAAAATGTAAAGTTTTTTAACAGTCCAATCCCATCGTTGCACTTCTCAAAGTTGTACTTCTGAAATCATTGAAATGTAAATTTTTTTCGGTTCGTCTGTGTGTGTGGACGTGCGTGTGTGTTCACAGAAAGTTATAATAGTTCTGAATATGTACAGTAATAAAATATGGCATGGCCTTTATATTTAATGCGTATGATCTTCCACAATTTTCTATGCTTAAGAGCGTATAATCCGCACTGCGTTTTACTGACTGTAGTCAAAACTTAGCAGCTGAAAATATCGTTCGATTATATGCTATACTGTTGATTGTAGGCGTAAAGTATATCTCGTTTGGGAAAAAAATACAAAATAGTATAAAACAAATTCCGAAGAAGCAAGACACTTGAGATTGTACAATATGCATCAAAACAAGACGAGAAGTGACATGTAAATTTTCGACTTTATTTCAAAGATATCCTCAGACAGAATAGAGTCGAAAATTTACAGTTCACTTCTTGTCTTGTTTTGATGCATATTTTGATCTCAAGATGTCTTCTTCTGAATTTATACTATATTTCTTTAAATTGTCGCTGGTCATAGTTTTTGGCCAAAAAATACAAGGACTTGATACATTGTCCGGTCCGTGCTTGTAATTTGTTCGAAAGACACGCATTCATATGTCGCGTTGTTTATCTCTCACGCTATTTTCAGTGTGTTGGTGCGGAAAATTAAAACCAGACAGAATATCGTTTTCTTCATATTTACTTCAATTAGAAATCATGTCGATGTTCATCGTCAGAAATGACGACGAACTTAAGTATATGATTGGAGTCAACTTATGGTCCTATGGAAAATAAGTACAACAAAAATGATATATTTACATGTGCAATTCCTCTGCGTTTAAAGAATAAACATAAAATTCATTATACAACTGAATCACTTGGCAACAGAGCCCTATAAAAATGTTATTTAGCAAATAATTATACAACACAACAAGCCCGTTCGATTTATCCTAGAAGTTCTACTTCTGAAATTAGTGAAATATAAATTTTTTTCGGTTCGTATGTGTGTGTGGAAGTGCGTTTGTGTTCACAGAAAGTGATCGTATTTCTGAATATGTATGAAAACAAACTTGGCCGGAGAAAAGAGCTACAGCATTTTACTTGGCATTACGAAAATGTAGTATTGTCTTGTCATTTATATTGTTGCCAAGTTCATTCGGTCGACTTTTAAATAAAAATAAAATGTAAAGTTTTTTAACAGTCCAATCCCATCGTTGCACTTCTCAAAGTTGTACTTCTGAAATCATTGAAATGTAAATTTTTTTCGGTTCGTCTGTGTGTGTGGACGTGCGTGTGTGTTCACAGAAAGTTATAATAGTTCTGAATATGTACAGTAATAAAATATGGCATGGCTTTTATATTTAATGCGTATGATCTTCCACAATTTTCTATGCTTAAGAGCGTATAATCCGCACTGTGTTTTAATGACTGTAGTCAAAACTTAGCAGCTGAAAATATAGTTCGATTATATGCTATACTGGTGATTGTAGGCGTAAAGTATATCTCGTTTGGGCAAAAAATACAATATAGTATAAAACAAATTCCGAAGAAGAAGACACTTGAGATTGTACAATATTCATCAAAACAAGACGAGAAGTGACATGTAAATTTTCGACTTTACTTCAAAGTTATCCTCAGACAGAATAGAGTCGAAAATTTACAGTTCACTTCTTGTCTTGTTTTGATGCATATTTTGCAATCTCAAGATGTCTTCTTCGGAATCTGTTTTATACTATATTTCTTTAAATTGTCGCTGGTCATAGTTTTGGCAAAAATACAAGGACTTGATACATTGTCCGGTCCGTGCTTGTAATTTGTTCGAAAGACACGCATTCATATGTCGCGTTGTTTATCTCTCACGCTATTTTCAGTGTTTTGGTGAGGAAAATGAAAAGCAGACAGAATATCGTTTTCTTCATATTTACTTCAATTAGAAATCGTGTCGATGTTCATCGTCAGAAATGACGACGAACTTAAGTATATGATTGGAGTCAACTTATGGTCCTATGAAAAATAAGTACAACAAAAATGATATATTTACATGTGCAATTCCTTTGCGTTTAAACAATAAACATAAAATTCATTATACAACTGAATCACCGGCAACGGAGCCCTATTAAAATGTTATTTAGCAAATAATTATACAACACAACAAGCCCGTTCGATTTATCCTAGAAGTTCTACTTCTGAAATTAGTGAAATATAAATTTTTTTCGGTTCGTATGTGTGTGTGGAAGTGCGTTTGTGTTCACAGAAAGTGATCGTATTTCTGAATATGTATGAAAACAAACTTGGCCGGAGAAAAGAGCTACAGCATTTTACTTGGCATTACGAAAATGTAGTATTGTCTTGTCATTTATATTGTTGCCAAGTTCATTCGGTCGACTTTTAAATAAAAATAAAATGTAAAGTTTTTTAACAGTCCAATCCCATCGTTGCACTTCTCAAAGTTGTACTTCTGAAATCATTGAAATGTAAATTTTTTTCGGTTCGTCTGTGTGTGTGGACGTGCGTGTGTGTGCACAGAAAGTTATAATAGTTCTGAATACGTACAGTAATAAAATATGGCATGGCTTTTGTATTTAATGCGTATGATCTTCCACAATTTTCTATGCTTAAGAGCGTATAATCCGCACTGTGTTTTAATGACTGTAGTCAAAACTTAGCAGCTGATAATATCGTTCGATTATATGCTATACTGGTGATTGTACACGTAAAGTATATCTCGTTTGGGCAAAAAATACAATATAGTATAAAACAAATTCCGAAGAAGAAGACACTTGAGATTGTACAATATTCATCAAAACAAGACGAGAAGTGACATGTAAATTTTCGACTTTACTTCAAAGTTATCCTCAGACAGAATAGAGTCGAAAATTTACAGTTCACTTCTTGTCTTGTTTTGATGCATATTGCAATCTCAAGATGTCTTGCTTCTTCGGAATTTGTTTTCTATATTTCTTTAAATTGTCGCTGGTCATAGTTTTGGCCAAAAATACAAGGACTTGATACATTGTCCGGTCCGTGCTTGTAATTTGTTCGAAAGACACGCATTCATATGTCGCGTTGTTTATCTCTCACGCTATTTTCAGTGTTTTGGTGAGGAAAATGAAAAGCAGACAGAATACCGTTTTCTTCATATTTACTTCAATTAAAAATCATGTCGATGTTCATCGTCAGAAATGACGACGAACTTAAGTATATGATTGGAGTCAACTTATGGTCCTATGGAAAATAAGTACAACAAAAATGATATATTTACATGTGCAATTCCTCTGCGTTTAAAGAATAAACATAAAATTCATTATACAACTGAATCACTTGGCAACAGAGCCCTATAAAAATGTTATTTAGCAAATAATTATACAACGCAACAAGCCCGTTCTATGTATCCTAGAAGTTCTACTTCTGAAATTAGTGAAATATAAATTTATTTCGGTTCGTTTGTGTGTGTGGAAGTGCGTTTGTGTTCACAGAAAGTGATCGTATTTCTGAATATGTATGAAAGCAAACTTGGCCGGAGAAAAGAGCTACAACATTTTACTTGGCATTACGAAAATGTAGTATTGTCTCGTCATATATATTGTTGCCGAGTTCATTCGGTCGACTTTTAAATAAAAATAAAATGTAAAGTTTTTTAACAGCCAATCCCATCGTTGCACTTCTCAAAGTTGTACTTCTGAAATCATTGAAATGTAAATTTTTTTCGGTTCGTCTGTGTGTGTGGACGTGCGTGTGTGTGCACAGAAAGTTATAATAGTTCTGAATATGTACAGTAATAAAACATGGCATGGCCTTTATATTTAATGCGTATGATCTTCCACAATTTTCTATGCTTAAGAGCGTATAATCCGCACTGCGTTTTACTGACTGTAGTCAAAACTTAGCAGCTGAAAATATCGTTCTATTATATGCTATACTGGTGATTGTAGGCGTAAAGTATATCTCGTTTGGGCAAAAAATACAATATAGTATAAAACAAATTCCGAAGAAGCAAGACACTTGAGATTGTACAATATGCATCAAAACAAGACGAGAAGTGACATGTAAATTTTCGACTTTACTTCAAAGTTATCCTCAGACAGAATAAAGTCGAAAATTTATAGTTCACTTGTCTTGTTTTGATGCATATTTAATCTCAAGATGTCTTCTTCTATATACTCTTTAGATTGTCGCTGGTCATGGTTTTTGTCCAAAAAATACAAGGACTTGATACATTGTCCGGTCCGTGCTTGTAATTTGTTCGAAAGACACGCATTCATATGTTGCGTTGTTTATCTCTCAAGCTATTTTCAGTGTTTTGGTGAGGAAAATGAAAAGCAGACAGAATATCGTTTTCTTCATATTTACTTCAATTAGAAATCATGTCGATGTTCATCGTCAGAAATTAAGTATATGATTGGAGTCGAAATTAAGTATATGATTGGAGTCAACTTATGGTCCTATGAAAAATAAGTACAACAAAAATGATATATTTACATGTGCAATTCCTTTGCGTTTAAACAATAAACATAAAATTCATTATACAACTGAATCACCGGCAAAAGAGCCCTATCAAAATGTTATTTAGCAAATACTTATACAACACAACAAACCCGTTCGATATATCCTGTTAAAAGAACGATGTATTAGAGTGTCCACTACACGATTGCTAAGATAGAATAATTATTTAAAAAAATTGTTTTCATTCAAATTGGCGGTGAAGTTATCGATCTATCGTTAAAATTTACGAGATTTTATTATTATTATGAAGACATCGCTACTATTCTTCGATTCGATTCGAGTATCGCGGGAAACATTCCTTGTTTTTTTGCAAGCTTCCTTTGCACGATATAAGCCCATGAAGACAAGCACACATAACATGCACTGAGCGTACGCCGTACGGAGAGTAATAAAAAAGGAGAAAGAGTTAGAAGGAAAAGGGAGAAAAGCCTGGGCATTTTGATTGAACATTGAGCACAGAGAACGTTTTGTACCAAAGAAAAGTGCCAAAGGTATGAATGATATCATTTTGTGGCATTTTGACACGAAATTATTGTTATTTTTCATATTTTGTTAATAAGAAAGAGATTGACCTTGGACTTCACTATGGATGTTTTCATGAAGTTTAATGTACTGTATAAACTCTGTTCATCTCAATTATAAGGCTACAGTAAAGAAAGAAACAATAGTCCCACTTTAATCAAAACTTTTAATTGGCAAATATCTCATTGCCCATGTAATTCATGTGGTGCAGCCAAGTAAATTGCATTATCTGACCAATAGCTAAGATAGCTAAAAAAACCAACCCAAGGAGATCTTTGGGAGGTCAGGGGCAGATTACTGCAAGCATGAGACGTAAGATTGAGGATTGCACCTGCTCAAGAGTTCTCACTAATGTCTCCAATGTTTGCATAAGAATGTGGAAACAAGAGAAACATCTTTTATTTCTTTTAAAAAATTACAATAATGCAAAAAAGACAAATTTGAAACAAAGGTTTTAATGAATCATGTATTCATGGTTAATTTTGATTTGCCATGCATTTCAAAAAAAGTACAAAATATGAAGCAACTCAATATGGCATATGGTATGTGTTTCATTTAAAAATCTATTGGCTTAAAAAATCTAAATCAAACTTTATTTCACCCTAATTGCTCATAACTAATATTTTACAGTTAATAATTAGGCCAGTAAGTATGTGCTCTACAAATAAGAATTCGTCCCTTACCCTAATTTTGACTGTAGTACCAGGCTATGTCATGGTAGTATCTCTAGTATGGTTAGAGATTGTATTCATCAGTCATCAAACATGCAAGCTTTTGCTTTTGGTGGTCAAGGAGTATCTCTATATGAAAGTTTTAGTTTTCAATTTTCTGTTTATCAATGTTCAATTTATGTTATGTTTTTCTGTCAATTATGTTAATCATAAGATCATCAATTTTTTAAGTTTTCACCATCCTAGCCAATGCCAGGTTAGCTTTTGTAGACTTCTATATATGTAGTTATCTTATGGTAGTATGGTGCCATGAAACTACATTGACTGAAGTAGACCAACAAAATCAGAAAAGTTTCACACATGTTTGAAGAAAATCATGTTTGAATTTTGCAATACTATTTAAAGTTGGAAAAATAAAAAACCAAGTGTATGCTTGGCTCATGGTTGAAAATAGGAATACATGAAAAGCTTCTTATAGAAAAGTTACACTTAGCCAGCTCAATTACTATGTACTTTGCACTTTGTGATTGAGTTGGGACACATAAGGATTCAACTTCCTCTGCAAAGGAAACAAAAGCAGTATGCCATGTGCAACTGAGGTTATTGTGCACTGTATTCACTTGAAGATTCACTTTTAAGTATGACATACATTCAGCAAGTAATATTCATGCTCGCTTGCGTCAAAAGTTCACAAAAATGGCAAAAAGTTCATATTACATCTAATTCTTACGATCGGAAGTTAACGGATTAACTCGGAACTTGTCGGAAACTCTCGGAAGTATCCGGAAAACATCGGATTATCTTAAAATCGTCGGGGAGTGCTATAACCATTGAGCTCTATAAGACCTGGAGGGGCAAAGGGGCCTGGACCCCGTGGTCAAAAACATGGCGGTAATGGCGGATTTTGGTTGTCAAAACTTCCACTTTGAGAAAAATTTTTAACATTCGCTCCCTCCCGAAACGGATCTCTATTACTGCTCATAGTAATGACAACCAGCGAAAACAACCACGATACCGTAAGCATAAAATATTGAAAATAATGCTTAAGGTTTTTGTGAAATAGACACACACATTTAAATGAGGTAAATCTACTGTAAAATAACGTATATTTTGTCAAGTAATGCTTTAGCTATATTAGAAATAAATATCAAACGGCAATCTTTACACTGTTAATGTGTTGTTAAGCTTTAATGCATAATCCCATGCGCATTACTTGTGTTTTTGACTGTTTGTGAACAGCTTGGTGCAACTGTCTTTCTTGAATAGATGGGTAAATCTTAGTTAAAATGTCCAAAAGGAGTTAGAAAAGTTAGCTTAACCCTACGACTTAAGTCGACTGGAAATATATTATAAGTAGGTATGTAATTGTTTTGAGTTTTTTTTGGTAGGATTGATTCTGGGTGTCTTATAAAGTATTATGATATTCTGATAAATCTACTGAGAACTTATGAGGAAAATATCTTGAACTAGGAGAGCAAAAGAACGAAATTCAGAAATTCTATAATCATGTTGCTGATTCTGTTTTAAGCCAAGATATTAGAAACTGGATTGTTATTGACAACCATGGATCTACTACTGAACAGAACTACATTAATTTCCCATTGAAAATACTATTTCTTAAATCAAAGTGCATTGGTTTCTCTGACATAACACTTTTCTTATTGCTGCATGAAGGCAAACCTGTTTAAATAATTATAATGTAGGTGAAGATATTTAGCATGTTGTATAATTGTTATTATACAGACATTATTTATAATATTATGGCCTTGTGTAATGTATGTCAAGAACTTATTAATTCTCAAAAATGCTAACCTTCTTGCACTACTTTTCTCTTGTGTCCTTACAAATTACAGTTACCTATACTAATTTTTTCTAGGTTCAAACAACTTGACAAATTTTTGAATTTTACATTATGCCTTTGAATTTTTCTTTTTGTCTTTTGGTAAAAATATCAGTGAATGACTTAAAATCAAGTTTATCTAAAATAGTATTTTGTACAAAGTAACTATACATAATTGGAAAAGTCTCATGTTGAAGGCAGATGTGGCTTCTTTTACTAGATTGCTACTCTTATTCTTTTAAATGATATCGTAATTCTTCAAAAGACATAAAAAGTTCTTTGCCATCAATTTTTGCTTCTTCCACATTCAACTTCATTGCAACCAATGCATCTTATGTGAATTTTTAATCACCTGGAATTGAAAAATGTATGGATTTTGTCAGATGATGCAGTACTGTATTTAATGTTTCATGCATGTCATGATAAGCTTTTCTTGAGCAAATATTTCAAGGTAGGAGCAAAATTTGGCACATTATTGAACAAAGTAGTTTTATCTTGATTTTGATGTACTAACCTGTTTACTACACTGTGTAACAAACAATTCATTTACAGAAACACCAGATGGCATTTATAAAACTTTTAGCATAAAGCAAACCTTTACACACCATCATCATTGTCCAAATCTGTCAAATTGTCCAGGCTAGCTGTTTAATACAGGTAATTTTTTATTGTGCGACATGTATCAAAGAGCTCATTAATTAATCCTGCACTGCATTTGATTTCAATACAGCTCTGTCCTTAATATTTGCTTCATATTTTCAGAAAAATATCATGAAAAAATCCTCCATTTCAACTCAGTTGAAACAAGGAGTTTTAAGATATGCATATCTCGATAAGAACTGGTTGCTTTGCCTCGTCTAGCAATCGATTAAGTAAAGAACAAATAAGACTGGATAAACATAACTTAAATTACAACTTAGGAGTAAAAACATTCACAAAATATATGCCATCACACTTCAAGTATTGACTTAAAACAAAACACTGAACACTTTAAATAGTAAACAATCTTACGTTGCTTACCGGTGTCATGAAATGTTTCCTTTTCTGGCATTACTTCAGCATCCGTATACCAAACAAGTTTGCAGCATGTTTTAAAGATAAAATTTTTTGTGCTTGGCATTGATATTTTCTATAATCGCAATTGTGGTTGTCAAATCCGGGTGGGCGAAAAAAATTTCATTTTATGAGCCCGCGTCTTTCCGCTGACTTTGACAACCAAAATCCGCCATGTTTTTGACCACGCGGCCGCGCGCTAATAATTTATACTAATTTTGTTGACGTTTCCCCTCCAGGTCTTATAGAACTCAATGGCTATAACCCGGGCGATGTTTGGGGACGCGCCTATTAACTTCCTGGTCAGCGGCAAAAGCCTTGACATAATAATCGCTATGAGTACAATATGTTTCTTGTATAAAATTTCATAACACAAATCAACACAAAGTATACAGCACAGCGCCCACATTGTATTATATGTTCATTTGGCTTTTACAAATATGCGGTCTTTTTTATAACAAATGTTACTGGAAACGCGCATTGTGAAGTATATTATTCTTTGTTATTGAGCTTGCTTGTAATATGTTCTAAAAGATATTGATGATGCTCAAAAGTATTCTAATCGGTAAGTCTTTTTTATTCGGCACTTTTAAATCTTACAATTTATGTTTTGTATTATTATACGATTGTCATGTCTGATTATGGGCAAGCAAAGTACTCTGTCAGAGTTTGTCCAAAGTCAACATTCCGACAACTTGCATGAAAGTACTGCCCACATGAATCACATCCCAAACAGTCTTCACCATCATCTATCTTGCAAATCTTGCATACCAAACTATTTCTCCTAATGAAATAAATTTTACACATTTTACTTATGGTATAGTAAACAAGCACACAATTTATAACATTACAAATGTCAGATTGATTTTATGGATAATTCAAACAAATAAATCACGACTTTAATGTTTTTGTCTAGTTTTATGTTTTTGTCTAGTTTAATGTTTTTGTCAATTAAATAAAATCTATAATTTGCCCCTTTTATTAAAATATTTAAAAAAATATAATTTTTTTGTTATTACTCATAAATGTCATCATAGCAAGAACCCATAATCGTTGAAGTCACGTGCTGCCTCACTTTTCTCATGTCAAACTTTGCATTTATGTCAAGATTTTGACTCAGATATTCAGCAAACTGAAATGATAAAAATAAAAGAGATTTTTTTAAATTGTTATTTCTTAGAACACAATGTCAAAACAACTACCAGGCAAATAATTATTCCACAGTTAAACCCATCCTCTTGCACATAGTGTGAAGGCTGAATAATAGACCAAGTTGATGTGTTCCACCCACTTTTTAGATCAACAAGGGCACTTTATAAACAAAGGGATTATATTATCAACTTCACTATATCAATGTTGCTGTGTGTATTCAAGACATTGAATTGATTCATTGAATTGGAATTTCAAATACTGGTATTTGTCAAGGAAGTAATGTATGTATACTTACCAAATGCTTTTGATAAACTGTGAAAGTTCAACTCTTGTTGCCTCACTGATAACTTCTTCTACATGACCTTCCATAGGATCAAGGTAGTATACCATCTCTTTTTGTTTGTCGATTACCTTTAAAAGTGACAATATTGAAAATAATAAAAATTTGTTGCCTTATCTTAGCTATGTTGCATCCATATTGTATTTACCAAAAGTGTCCAATGGCTCCCAGACATATTGAGAGGAAATATTATTGTGTCAGTCGACGTGTACTAGATCCTCGTTGCACCAACTGACATACATATGATTCTGCTGGTAGGACACCAGGATATTCACATGAAAGTTTCCATAAGAAAGCGTTGATAACCTATAACAATCAGGCTCATTTACTATTTCATCATTTGTCTCTGATGCATGATAATCATATGTAAGCTGTAGAGTGTTTAATCACTTGACTTACTGTATCACTAAGCCATCAATAACAAAGAATAATATACTTCACAATGCGCGTTTGCAGTAACATTCTTTATAAAAAAGACCGCATATTTTGTAAAAGCCAAATGAACATATAATACAATGTGGGCGCTGTGCTGTATACTTTGTGTTGATTTGTGTTATGAAATTTTATACAAGAAACATATTGTACTTATAGCGATTATTATGTCAAGGCTTTTGCCGCTGACCAGGAAGTTATAGGCGCGTCCCCGATCATCGCCCGGGTTATAGCATTCCCCAAAATCGTCGTTGTTTTGAAAGAACTGTCGAGCTATATAAAGATTTTCTTTTCATTGAACTATGATTTATCTATACAATCTTTATGAAAATGATAAAAATACAAAAATACATAATATTTAGAAAAGTTCACAAAAAGTTCACAAACTTTCAATGTTCATGAAATGTTCATGAAGAGAGCAAAAAGTTCACAGATCTGTGAACTTTGTTCACGATCTGGTAACACTGATTATCATAATAGTTACGTATGGTGGCTCACAAGGGCCACCACACAAAATAAAAATATTAATACACACACAAAATACATTATACACACACAAAATAAAAATACACACACAAAATACATTATACACACACAAAATAAAAATACACACAAAATAAAAATACACACAAAATACATTATACACACACAAAATAAAAATACACACGCAAAATAAAAATACACACACAAAATATGATTGCGGGCGCTTGCAGTGTCGGCTTACTCGGAATTGCTCGTAATTGATCGCTTTTGTTTTCAAAGTTCTAATGGTTCCAACTTCCAGAGTACATAACAAAATTCACTGATTTCACTGTGATCAATTATTTCAAAGTTGCTTACGATATTGCTCCCCGTATTTTGGTTAAAATTAAGGTTAATGTGTTGTCCTTTGAAAGGACATTATTGGTCTAGCCTGTCCTGTACCAGTTATAAACAGCTTTGGGGTACTTGAAGTTGAAGTTAACGGACTTGCAGAGCTCGAAGGGCAACTGCTTGAAGAGACGCTACTCGTCATTGACGCTTCAGAACATTTTGGCAAAGAAGTTAATCTTCCCAAACGCACACCGCATTTGTGACAAAAAGAAGCTTTGTCAAGTGATTGTGCACCACAGTTGGCACAAAACATAATTATGCCAGGATTACGCAAGAGCTAGCTTTCTATTCCTTTCCAAATGTAATTTCAAATGTTTCGCAGTTGAAACAGTTAAATACGACGACAAGTCGACCAAATGTTAAAATCACAATTAGTGAATTACACATATCTGATTACAAGCTGATAATATGATAGTCAGACCATCCGACACTGCAAGCGCCCGCAATCATATTTTGTGTGTGTATTTTTATTTTGTGTGTGTATTTTTATTTTGTGTGTGTATTTTTATTTTGTGTGTGTATTTTTATTTTGTGTGTGTATTAATATTTTTATTTTGTGTGGTGGCCCTTGTGAGCCACCGTAGTTACGTGGACGGGAAGTGCAGAGAGGCCTCTAATGCAAACTTAAGCTTTAAAGAGAGAGATTAGGTACGAGGCGTTTTTTCGGTGTGGTGGTAATTGGATCATGCGTCTGGCAGTGGTCTGGCTCAATCGTCCGTGGTCTGAACACACAAAAACCTAATGTCTTCTTCAGGAGTGATCTGATGTTGAAACTTGAGTCTTAATATACTTCAATCTAGTGTCTTCATCAGGAGTGATCTGATGTTAAAACTTGAGTCCTTATATACTCCAGTCTTGTGTCTTCATCATGAGTGATCTGGTGTTAAAACTTGAGTCCTTATATACTGTAGTCTAGTGTCTTTATGAGGAGTGATCTGATGTTAAAACTTGAGCACTTGTATATTCCAGTCTGGCGTCTTCATCAAGAGTGATGCAATGTTTAAGCTTGAGTCTTTATGTACTCCAGTCTGGTTTCTTGCACAGGAGTGATTTGATGTTGAAAGTTGAGTCCTTACATACTGTAGTCTATTATCTTCATCATGAGTGATCTGACGTTAAAACTAGAGTTCTCATGTCCTCTGTACATACTTGAGATCAAATTGAAGTCATTGTTAACATATAACAATAACATTATTTCTCTGACAGTTGCAAGTTGACTAAGCTCCATGGTAATATGTTTGTTCAGCAAACTGAAAACTGCCATAGAAAGTATTTTTTTAGGTGATCCAATCAAAACTGCTGGTTGAAAACAAACTGGAAAGCAGTGTTTAAAGAGAGGAAGAAGAGGAAAACGCAGGTTATTGAACTTTTAAAAATGTTACGAAGAATTTAAATCTAAAAGCTAGGATATAATACAGTATTTCACCTTGAAACAACTTTTTAGAATAATTTCCTTAGACATTAGCACATCCAGGGTTGGTTGGAATACATTAATGAAAATATTTTTTCAATTTACAATATTTTAATGCAAATCCTTTTGGGAGAATTTTAGTCTTAATTATTCTATAGAAGTTGCTACCAATGGCATTGTTAAAATAGTCTTTTAAATTAATAATGAGTTTTATAATTTCTTTTAACCTACATTAGATCCTTCACTGCCCCTAGACTTGCAAATTATCAAGTTAAGTAGATTATAGCTCATGCTAGGATAAAAACTTTAAATGATGGAAATATTACAAGATTTTCAAGAAAAAGCAATATTTCATTTTCTATCTGCATCCTGTGAAAAATTTACTGTTTATGATAATAACCATTGCATCAAGGATGGCTAAGTATATTTTTGGGGTGTATCGAGGGTTTGTCTGGTGGAAGAAAGGGGAAAGTCAACAGGTTGTGAAATCACCGTCTTGCTAATGCCCAGGTACAACAAATCTTGTTAATGCCCAGGTCTGGCACTGGGAGTGTCAGGTGACATTCTCCATGCAGCCTCAAAAAGCTTTCCAAATAGCACTACGTTTGTTGCAATCAGGCAAATCAAATTTTCTGACAGACTTTAATTGATTCAAATAGGAAGTTAATTCTTCCCTGGATATACAACGAAACACCAACTTTATTATGTTTTAGTTTAGTTCATCAGTCAAAATTCATGCACTGTACTTGTGTTAGGTGTTAGGTTAATGTGTTAGGTGTTAGGTTAATTTGTTAGGTTGGAAATATATGTCAGATATCAGAAAGTGAGGCACTTAGAAGTTATACATGTACAGGATGCTGTATTTGACAAATAGATAACATTTAACCGTTGTCTATAGGATTAGTCATGTCTTACATACTTAATACCTTAAAAAATTAAAAACAAACAATTTTACACAGGAATAAATTATATTTACAATTAACTTCATCAATACTGTTGTGATAAAAACGATTTTTACCTTGACTAGGTCGACCTTTTAGGTGATGATTATGATCCATAGTTTAAAGAAAACGCTTTAGTTTTCTTTTATTTGGAACTCAACACAATCGATAACCATGCAAACCCTTCTTGTTTCCTGTAGGCCCCAAAATCGCCTTCTCTATTGTTACTTTACTAAAGTCGTGTTTACGTTCATAAGGCCTTAGTTATGTTTACAACAACAGGTAGACTATTTTTATCTTTACAAGGTTGTTGAGATTGGTACGGTGACCAAAGCAACATGCATCTTTTCAAAAACTGTCTTTTAAATAAACCGAACCCATCACGTGCTGTCATTTTAAAGTCGGTTTTGACTTTTGCGCGGTTTTTTTTCTTTTGCGCATCTTTATAGCTAACCCTGTCGATCAGTGGCATGTTATAACTGGTTAAAACCGATTTTAACATTTACCTAACGTGTATAAAAAAATTTAAACAAACCTTTGAACGATGAGACACCTGCAAAGCAACGTTAGTACCCGAGCCGAATTGGAACCTAATGAAAGGGGAACCGCCTCCCTGGGCCCTTATACATTACCAAACGGCGTGTCATCCAATCTTTCTTGTGTCCAACGCTCTATCACCTAGGTACCAATTTGGCACCGTTTACGATTATTCCTACTACTTATACTCAATTATTTCTACTGCAGTACATTGATTTTTGTACTGATTGATTTTCTTTCAAGTTAAATAATAGTTAATTATTCAACTTGTACATGCCACTGTCATAACATTGATTTTGATTTTCAAAAGCAACGCCAGGGTCTCATACTATTATTCTGTTTCGTTGTTTATCAGACGGTTGTCGGCTTGTTTATTTGCACGAAAGACACATTTATCTGGATGATGCAGGTCATTCATTTTTTAGCCACGAACATTTTCACTGAATTTCACACACGTGAAAGTGTTTCTTTTATTTCGCATACTTTGACACCGAGCGTAATTTTAGAGTTAAGCCACTAAGCTAGATTGAAATTTATTTACAAACGAAACGTCGAAATTGAAGGAGCATCATCAAGCAAGAATATTTCAGGCATTTATTATTTTATTTGAATTTAATTTACGTCATGCAGCTGCTTGCATTGCCTAATTTTGCCTTTCCGTTTTCTGAATTTTTTTACGATATTTTTTTTAATTGCTAGCATGCGATACGTACGATTGCATGCATCGTAAATGCATCGCCGATTTTGACAAAACTCGAGTCCAGTCTCCGATTATCGAACGTTGCGAAAAATTGGCGCTAAAATTGTTCCAACAACAACACGATACAAGATGCCCCAATGAACTTACATATTTTCAGTACAAAAACTCGGTTTTTGCTTAACATTAAGAAATAAAAACTTCATAAACGTCTTACCGTTTGGTGTTTTTAAGTTTTATTCACCATTTCATGTCGAGTTTGCAGTTTGTTCGCGTAGAAAGAGCCACAATTCGAGCAAGCATGTCGCGCGAGCCGAGTCGATGTAGTCACAAGCTTGAGCGAAAAATATAAAATTTTCAGCTAAATTTTGTTTCCATATCTTCCAAAACCTTCAGGAAAAGATGAAATAAAGCAATATTGAATAACTGTTCACTGAAAAAATTGAAATATCAAACATTTGAACCACATTTTATCTTTTAAGGTTAGCCGAAATAGAAAAACATGTCGAACACTTTTGGACGTTTTTGACCTAAAAAAATGCATCAAAGTAAAACGAAAAATGTTCTCTGGACTACAGAAAGTCATTACCTATCATCCAGGTAAAGTTAGCTGCATAAATTCTTCTTCCTCCAGTATTTTTGGAAATTTTCGCCAAAATTGTGAATAACGAAATGTACTTGAAGTGGTGAAATATGACTTTGGGGCTTCTTGAATATTGGGATTTGGGAACAGTGCTTGTGAAGAAACCAGCAATTAGTGATGGTCACATGGCATGTTTCCAGCCTGCCATTGGTGTAAATCACAGATCTAATAATGTATTATTAGATCTGTGGTGTAAATCATCCAATAAGAGTAAGAGCTGCAACTGCGGCGGGAAAGATTCTTTTTTATCTAAACTAATGCCTTTCATTTTTATTCTCACTTTTTCATTTATATTAAAAAAAAAACACAGAAAATTACAAAATTTATGCCTCAAGTGATTATTTACGATTATTTTCATCTAACATTAACGTAGGAATCGAAGAACTTTTTGCCGTGAAGCAAAAAATTCATCTTGTCAGATGACTTCCGGTTTAATTTCACCTGACTCTAACCTTGTTTGTTCAAGTAATCAGTCTGCGCTGTTTTTAACAGACGATACAATCAAGGGTGATCTTCATTTTCGTCGATCTCAAATTTGTGAAGAGTCTTGTTTAAAGTTTGTGGTTGTTTATGCAAAACCTGCATGGCTTCAACGCCTTCAACTTCACGTTCTACAGCTGTGAATATTCAAGCTGGTAATGTATCTTTGACCGTTGAAGAAGAACCCAAAGTTGAGAAGTTGAGACGGCATAATGAAAAGCAACCGAACTCGAAGTTTCTTCCATACGCTAAATGCGCTGCGGCTGGTTTTCTTAGCCTATTGTTTCTTGCTTGTGGTGTTTTTAGTAAACTTTCTGTCATATCGGTGGCGAAATCGAATGCAAACGATGGTAAAGAAAGCTGTAGGCGTTACATTATGCTTGTTATCATTCTGATGGTACCACAGCTCGTGAGCTTTGTTTGGGCATTTTGGGGTAGCTTGCGAAAGAAAAACAACCCATGGCCAACCTGTATGTCCATTTTCTTTGTAAGTGATTGTGTTTTAAAACATTGCGTTTTGTTTGTGATGTGTCAGGGCATATTGTCGTGAAATTCGAGTCATTCCAGGAAATTGTTTTACCTTGGAACTTAAATAAATTAAATTAGAATTCAGTTGAACTTTTCCCAAAGATTAGCTATAAAGCTGCAAAGGGGACTGTGCTCAGCCCGCCCATTTTCAATGTGCTGCCATTGACAATTTTGTTGTTTCAGTGATGTTTACAGAAAACTTTATAATCTTTACAGAAATTGATGTTGGTCAATAGTGTTATGATTAAGTTTATAGTGGTTTGATTTCTATATAGTGTGTCCTTGCCAGTGTCGCTGAAGTGGTTGGTTTGTCATTTTTTGTCATGTTGGTCTTACCCATGAAGGAAGTCAGTGGTGTTGATTCAATTGCCATCATGAATTGTGTGGGCATGCTGTCAATTTTTCGACAGATTTTCAAGTCATATCACAGAGAGGAACAAAACACAGCTGCAAGAAAACTGTTGTCATTTATCTGTGCACTTACGCAGTTAGCTGGTTTTGTTGTAATTATCGTTTTGAACAAAGTAAGGGCACCAATATACAATAAACTATTTACATTTTTGAATATCTTCAGCTTCATGGATTTCTTTTTCAAAGTTTTTCACACTTATTCCAGAGTATTCTATGTTGATACATGATTCGTGTTTGGATATAATTATGAATTAAAATATGTTTACTATGTTTACATAAGCGAGTGTGGACATGAAAAACATCTTTTATTCCTTTTACATAATTACAGATGAATTTGAAGCAAATGTTTTATTTCGCCTCTAACATGTATTCATGATTGATTTGCGAATTCTCTTTCCTTAATTTAATGGACTGAGCTCAAATAGGTTTGCACAGGCTAATGCATACTCAAATATGGACCAAATAGCGCATGCATTTCAGTGTTTATATTTCATAACATTTGATGAAAAATTATTAATTTTGCAGAACCCAAAGAAACTCGGTTATTTTCTTCCTCCTCTGTTGCTTGTCTCATTTGCATGGGTACCTACAATACGAAAATTACAATGCATACCACAATCTGATCCATTGGATGCAGGTATGTGATTTGATTTTATGAAACAACATATATGTATAACACATGCTCAGATTTTTTGATGCCCCATGTTTCAATCAGGCATCTTTAAGCATGTTGAACAAGAGGATTTGTTGTTATCTTAGATATAAAATAATTAGATCCAAACACATGGTAATGTTACACTCTTTTCATAACTTTTGCTTTATTCTCATGTGATTGGATCAGGCCGTCCAAGCTAGGGAATGTAATTTTATATAATTTAAAAGTGCCATGATAAGCCTTAATAATCCGAGGCTCGTAATCATATATTCATGTTAGCAGTTGTGTAACCAGGCCGACTTTCTACTCCCGTTATGCAAATATTTTTGTGTTCACTTACTGTAAGAACAATAGATTTCTTAAAGAAATGAATTATGATAAGCTTTCAGAATTTACATAGCAGCAGTACATCTGCAGGCTGGCTATGTTATTGCATGTTATGTTTTGCAAAAACAATGGATTTCAATAGAAACTATAAAATCAAAATAGTAAAACATGTGAGCTGATTTGTCTTAATCTGAGCTCAAGAATTCAAATCAATCAATCAAAGAGAATTTGCAAATCAATCATGTCATGAATTCATGTTTCAACATTTGTTTTAACTTTACTGTTTCGCATTATTATTATTTCATAAAAGAAATAAAAGTTGTTTTTTGTGTTTGCACTGGCTTATGCAAACCTTGGGGATGTTTGCGATAACTACCGAGCTGGTGCAAACCCTCAAGTTCTCCCAAAGGTCTCCTCTGTTTGCATAAGCCTGTGCAAACACAGTAAACATCTTTTATTTCTTAAGTAAAGAACATGAAATGACTTATTAACCTCTCGGGTAGAATTAACCTATTTTACTTTTTTCTGGAGATATTTGACTATTATGCAAATAACATCATTATGATATTACAGAGCATATTGAGATTTAAAGATCAACAATCTTTTTTGTTTCTTTAAATAATGTAGCACAACGTGTCCCTTACTGTGTCTTTCAGGCTGGAGGGAAATGGGGTCACCCACATTTTTCATGAATTTATTTGGTAAAAGTCAGCGTCCCACATATAGAGTAGTTTTGGGTTTGGATGACATTATGCCCACCCACCCCTCCCCCCACTTTCTACACAAGTGTCTTTCTACACATGTGAGTGCTACTGGAAATAATGACTTCTTTTCTTCTTTTTTTTTGATGCAGTCGATCAAAACCACCTTGGCATCGAAGAAGTGAGTAATGGAGACCCATCCAATCATCCTGGGGAATATCTTCGTATACGAACTGCGAGACGCAAAGCTACATTGATATGCGAAGGACTCAAATTGTTGCTAACGCCATTTGTCACCTACTTCATGTACAAATATATGAACGACAGTGGCAAGAAAAACATGGCCGATTTAGATGTTGGCTTTGAATATCTTAGCCAAAAAACGGATATAGTTTTTAAGTACTTTCTTGTGAACATTTTCAGCAGTTTTGTCGGTTATGTAGTTGGCATGATATCATGCTCAATGGCAATGCAAAAGTTTTGCTTCGCCCTTCCCATAACGTTAATGACTCCTGTCAGTTTTTTCATAGCTGTTGGTAGCGAAAGATTGTTCGGATATAAGTGGCTGTTTGACCATAACCTGTTCGTCAACCATAAACAAATGTGGATAGCTATTATTGTTTTTGCTTGCGTGTTTTTGGCTCAGCTGTTATCGACCATCTACTATATATGGCATTCACAAGATTTAATCATGGCTACGGAACGACAGTTGTTCTGGATGCCTTCCTATAATGGTATGTATTCATGGCCGCAACCTGTGGCCGTAACCAGATAATTCAAAGGGGGAGAGGAGGGGGGGGCGCACATTTGAGAAAAACGGACTTGTGCTGATAATTTTAATGGCATTTTAACTGACGTTAATGCTTTGTATGCCACCATTACCCTTGATAAGTCTGGCTCAAAACGTGTCTCCGGCTTGCTGTGATCAGATATGCTCTCGACTTCTCCCAAAGGTCTCCGCGGTTTACCTAAGCTTGTGCAAACACAGTAAACATCTTTTATTTCTTAAACACCTGACAAAATGACGAATGCTCTCTTTTTAAACTTGAATAATGTCTCGATTTCTTTTTGCGCATTCAATACGGATTTAACACCAGTAAATGATTTGGGACTAGTTTTACGAAGACGTTTTTTAGAGATTCACAATATGTAGCAAGTAGTTTGACAGTATCTTAAATCCCCTGGAAGGCAAAAAGCTACGATTTTTACTGCTGCTGGATCAATAGACAAAAAGTCGATTCAAATACAACAAATTTCTATTTTCTCAAATTTGACGAAGTCATTATGAGATCCGATTCATATAGCAGAACAGGCTTATATAGTGCTTGTCACTTATGCGTAGTGGTTTGCAAATTCTAATTGGAATGATCACTGCTATTTCAGGTGTTATGCTTGAGCAGAATCTTCTTCTGAATCGGAAAAATGAGCTGACGGAGGATTACGTGTTAGACCGAAACAAGCTAGCTAAGGACAGTTGTGTATTCATATGTACAACGATGTATCACGAAGCCGACTACGAGATGGAGCAACTACTTCATTCCATCCGTCGTGTTGACGTCGCCAGGGAGAGAAGCAAAAGAAGAATTGAATCTCATATATGGTTTGATGGCGCTGTGAAGGGAGACGTTCTCAATAGGTAAATCCGGTAATATATCGCTTACATGACTGAGCATTGGAGCATTGGATTATCGAGCAGTTACGCTAACGTGCGGGCTCAAATCTTGCCTTGGGCACAGAATAACTTTACAGAAGGTCAAGTGGGCACCTCGTCCTCACAGCCGCCATTATACTTCCAGCAAGATACTTAAGGTTTTTCAATTGTTTCCAACCACTGCAATAACATGACGTCATTTCTTCACAATGAAATCGAAAATGTTTCAATATACGAAATGACGTCAGATCATTTTAGTGGTTGGAAACAAGTGAAAAGGTCTAAATATCTTTCTAGAATAATGGCAGCCGATATGCGCGGCACAACATGCGCGAGGACAAAAACATCAAAGACTCCAACACGAGTGACCCTTTTGTATAATCGATATTCTGTGCCTTGGGTTTGAAGACCTATTCGAAAAGTCAAAGAAGACGACCATTTTATTGTTGTGTCCTGTTAACCCAACGCTTTTCCAAAATACACGGAACAAATTTGATCACAATCAGGTCTTTCTTCACACTGGACTGTTTCTACGTTCACATAAACTTATTAAAAACAATGGACGAAGTCAATCGAATCTTTTTATCGTTGGTGATTAACATTGATATCTACGACTCTTGCACCTTTAAAGTGTTCATGACACAAAATTTTATCACGAATTTGCGTGCGCTAATTGGTCTAGAGCTGTGTTTGCATTAGCCTTTGCAAAACACGTCTGAGCTCAACCAATCAAATCAATCAAAACAATCAATCAGTCAAAGAGAATTTGCAAATCGATTATGCAAAGATATCAGCGGAAAAATTAAAATGTCTGTCTTTTTCGCATTATTGTTATTTTATAAAAGAAATAAAAGATGTTTTTCGTTTTCGCATTGGCTTATGCAAACCTCGGAGATGTTTGTGAGAACTCTCAAGCAAGTGCAACCTTCGAAGTCATCAAGTCATTTTAAATTGCCTTTACAATGAAATGAAAACAACACTAGGTAAAATTTGGTGTCACAAACATCAGAGTATTATTGTTGGAAACAAGTGTTTCGTGCTTACTATTAAGTTGTGGGTGTCTCGTGCTTACTATTAACTTGTGGCTGTTTCGTGCTTACTATTAACTTGTGGCTGTTTCGTGCTTACTATATGAGACAATGAGTCCCACGATAATGCTTTGCGCGCTTGTATTTACTTCTGTTTTTGAACTTCCGATATCAAACGTGGAGATTAATGATTATTTTCTTGGTAGCAAAACGTCTTTCTTAAATTTAATTAACGTTATTTCTTCTTCTTTTCTTAGCCTACTTCGCTTTGACGTTGATATATGAGACTTGCAGTAGAAACCTATACTGTTACTCTAAGAACCTCATAATATGCCGCCATTTTATGGTGCCCCGAAAATCGCTATCTTTGGCTTGCTAGGCTCACAAAGCATCATCGCGAGACACATTCTTTAATTTACGCATGCAGCACAGCGAATCTCAATGTTGAAATTGATTTTCAAAACCCTGGTAATTCCTGTTTTAGTTACGTTCTGCAACTTATCTCACTGGTGAAGAAGACGCTACACGTGGAAGTGGACGCTTGTACAAGGCTGGAAACACCCTATGGAATGGAAATGAGGTGGAAGCTTCCCGGTGGTATGAATTTCCATATCCACCTCAAAGATAACTTGAAGGTAATCATTGTATGTCATAAAATAAAAACAGTAAAACGCGTGCGGGGATTGGTCTAGAGCCGTGTTTGCATTTGAAATCAACTTATTTGTAGATTTGCACCTATTTTCAAAGCCTTGATATTCGGAATTTATTTTATTTGGTTTTACGAGGTGATACATTTTGGAGTATGTTTTCACTTGTATGCTTTTAAATCTTTCCTGGGAATGAGACACTCGTCACAATGTTTTGACGAAGCGACAACGACAACAAACTTCCTCGTGCCATTCCCTTACACGGTCAAACTTCGTACTCGTTGTCGTAGTCGTAATCTTGCTAAAGCTCCCCAATGAGGTCGATCCGATGGCTATTTATTCCTCGGTTATTTTCATTACAGGTGAAGAATAAGAAACGCTGGAGTCAAATCATGTACATGTCGTACGTGCTGGATTTTAAAATCAAGCAAATGAACGGTAGAAATAGTTCTCTCGAAATAGTTACAGGGATCGTGAATGATTGATAACTGGGGTCTGGGGGAGAGATTATATTCATATATGCATACGTCATAACTGTATCACAATTGATTTCAATAGAAGCGTAATAAAGTAGAACATGCATATATGAATACTTGCTCCCCCCCTCCTCCAATTTTAGATCGTCTGTTTTTTTTTCTTTCTGGGAACCACAGCCAAATGCTAAAAATTTTCTGTGAAATTTGATTGTTGAAATCACCAAAATGACAAAAACATGAATTATGTTTAAAAGTTATTGATTATTAACAATTAATTACGATCTTTAATAAACTGATTTAAAAATGTTGTAAGGGTTCCTGTAAAACTTTCTGCCGAACTCTCAACTTTATAAGATTTCTGGGGAACTATGTTCCCGAATTCCGATACTTTTTTCACCCCTGCTGTGGTCCCTGATTTGTTCCTAAACACAACTGTTTTAAGCCTCGGTCACACTGTTCGACAATAACGATAATAACGATAAACTATAAGGAAATTCAATGGTTACATACTAACGATAAATCGTCATCGTTATCGCTGCAATGTGATCGCACACAAGAGTTTGAATAACGAGCGATTTTTCTTTGCATCGTTATCGGATGCAGTGTGACCGAGGCTTTAAGCTTGCTCTGACTATATTTAGTACCGGAAGCGGACACGTACATTCTTACGACTGACGCGGACATTAAATTTGACGCGGACTCGGTCGAGGCTCTTCTGGACCGTCTGATACGCGACCCTAAAGTCGGTGCTGTTTGTGGAAGGACTCATCCTATAGGTCATGGACCTCTGGTTTGGTATCAAAAATTTGATTATGCCATTGGTCATTGGTTGCAAAAGGTAACTGTATATTTATATCGTGAGATCTTGTAAAACTGTAATAGATTTTCTTTCCTATATAATATTGTATTTTCACATCACGAACCGCTTGAAATTTCATAAAACAAAGTAAAACAAATTCCGAAACATCTCGTTTTCTTGATATTTAAGATAATACAAGAGTTTCAACACAAAAGATGGTGTAATATTTCGTCTTTATTCCAAAGACATCATCAGACTAATAGTTTATAATGCAGGCTGCGAAACTATTGCATTGTAAACTATTAGTTTTATGATGTCTTTGGAATAAAGACGAAATATTACACCATCTTTTGTTTTAAAACTGTTGTATTATCTTGAATATCAAGAAAACGAGATGTCTGTTTTCGGAATTTGTTTTATTTTGTTTTGCTTAAAATTGTCTGCTTGTCCTGGTTATTGGTCTTGAACTTCTGTGATATGAAATTAGATAATTTGCAGTTGGTTGTACGCATCTTTTACTTTAATTTATTCGTGCCAGTATTTAAATGAAACAGCTTTAAATCATGAATGTGATAAACTCAAAAAACACTTTAAACTTTTAGACAATGTTTGAAGGGGGGCAACGAAAACATAAGTTGATTTTATGTTATGTAAGTTAGGAACAACACCGACCTCAAATTATCTATTTTACACAACACGAAATTTGCAAAGAAAGTCGATCTCAGTTTTACTTCAGAAATATACGAAATTATGCGTCATTTGCGTCATTCGTCAATTTAAAGGGAAATGCTGTCAGTATTTTTTCACTGTTTATATACGTATGAAAAATAAGAAAGATTTTATGGTTTTGTTGTGGTACAATTTGATTCGCGTACGCGTTTAATAACAGGATATTTACGGAGCGTCCAACATTTTATCTTTTTCTTTCACAAGGTTGCTAATCATGTGTTAGGCTCTGTCCTCTGCTGTCCTGGCTGTTTTAGTGTCTATAGAGCGAAAGCTGTACGGGATGTCCTCTCCATATATTCCACGACAGCCGATCATGCAGTTGACTTCCTTACCAAAGATATGGGTGCGTATCTATGTATGCGATGAGTTGTTCGAAGAAAAATTTCATTACCACAATAAGCTAAAATTCTTTATTCAACATGTATATTCATATTAACAAAGGTAGCACTCCAGTTCCATATTCAGTTCACAAAGGTAGCTCTCCAGTTATATAATCAGTTCACAAAGGTAGCACTTAAGTTGTATATTCAGTTCACAAAGGTAGCACTCCAGTTATATATTCAGTTCACAAAGGTAGCACTCCAGTTATATATTCAGTTCACAAAGGTAGCACTCCTGTTATATATTCAGTCCACAAAGGTAGCACTTCATTTCCATATTCGGTTCACAAAGGTAGCACTCCAGTTATATATTCAGTTCACAAAGGTAGCACTTCATTTCCATATTCGGTTCACAAAGGTAGCACTCCAGTTATATATTCAGTTCACAAAGGTAGCACTCCAGTTATATATTCAGTTCGATGGCATTGTTTTATCCCTTAAATGTGTACACTTGTACGATTATGTGAGCATTTTTGAAAAATTTTTCATATGAATTGTTACTTGCCGAAACTTTGCCAAAATTAAGCTCCAATGCACTACGACCTGCATGCTTTGATGATCGTTTGTGTTGTGTAGGCTATGGCCGACGTATTAGATCCAATGCATTTTTCCAACGCGGAAAAATAGCCTCTTTGTTTGAGTGTCCGGATTACATTTTACTTCTCTTGACAACTTTGTTGTGATTTTGACAAGAAATAAGGATCTTCTAAACACTGCTCGGAACTGTTCGAGACATACTGCTCGGGACTTTCCGAGACTGTTCGAGACTTACTGCTCGGGACTTTCCGAGACTGTTCGAGACTTACTGCTCGGGACTTTCCGAGACTGTTCGAGACTTACTGCTCGGGACTTTCTGAGACTGTTCGAGACTTACTGCTCGGGACTTTCCGAGACTGCTTGAAACTGCCCGGCAAAAGAAGAAACACTGGTAGGGAAAAATAAAATGCTCGCCGTTGATAAATCAGTAGTGTAAGTTTAAACCAGGCTGCCCATGCTCCCTCCAGGATGGGGTGCCCCCCCCCAACTCTGACAAATAGGCAACATAAACATTTTCCTGATAATCGTTTATAAAACACAATCGTAACTGTTTTATATATATATACAGAAAAACACCAAATAGAGCTTTCAATTTACTTCCATGAACACGAGCACACGGATGACTTTGAATATGAAATTTCCAGTGCTTCCACTTGCCCAAATATAATCCTACGTATTTAGTTTTATTTTCCATAACTAACACTGTTCAAGGGACCCCTTGCACGCATATTGCATGGGTGCCCGTCGCTCTGCCCACCCAGAGCTTGTAGTGGTTACGACACTGAATAAAATAAAATTGTTTCAAGCATTGAAACAATATCACATCATCAAGTTGCCAAAAACGAGGCTTTTAACACTTCCGCTAAGTTCTCGTTCAACTGTTATTATACAAGGTCTTCCAACTGCAAAATTTTCTAGTTCTTACAGTTTTTGGATGTTAAGAGGAAGATGATAATATTTGATAGTTTAGAAGGTTATTTCATCCAGGGGAGTAAATTTTTCTTCCAGGCAGTGCTCAATATGTCCGAGAAATAAGGAGTTTTTTTTATCAGTCTGCCTCATTAGTTCGTTCACGCAAGGTTCTTGCGCTTCTTTTTAGGTGAAGACCGCTGGCTCTGTACACTGATGGTTCAAGCTGGCTGGCGTTTAGAATACTGCGCAGCTGCGGAGAACTCTACTCACTGTCCAGATGCTTTTGACGAGTTTTACAAACAGCGTCGCAGATGGATCCCGTCAACGCTTGCGAACTTGGCTTTGGTGATTAGCGAATCACAGATCACCCTTAAGAACAACGACTCCATGTCTTATCCGTTCATCTTGTATCAAATGGCGAATGTCTTCTCAACTTTAATCAGGTATGTTAATGAAGAACTCAACTAGCAGTGTTTACAGACAGTGAAATTTTATTTATATATTTAGTCCTGGTACCGTTATTCTTATAATGCTTGGTGGTTTAGTTTACGGTTGGCAAAATATAAACGAGCTAGCCGTCTTGATACTTCTCACCTTAGTTGCCTTTGGTTACGGTCTAATGTGCTTGTACACGTCACAAGATCTTCAACTCAAGACAGCCAAAGTTTTGACCGTTGTGTACTCTCTGTTGATGAGTGTTGTGTTTGTTGGTGTGTTAGTACAGAGCGTCGAAAATCCGGTGAAGAAGACAGATGTAACTCCCACTCCAAGTACGTACTCATTAAAATATTTTTTGTATGATTTCGGTAGAGAGTTGAAAAAAGATGCAAGTACTCGTGACTATTTTACCATCCTTCAATAAGGTTTCCTTGGAATAAGGTTTGTGATGAAGATTCATAGATAAACACTCGAAAGAATCATGCGCATGCACAACAAAAAAACAACATCGCATTTTATTGGCTTTACAGAAGCTATAAAACGCGCGCGCTGATTGGTCCATAGCTGTGTTGGCATCAGCTTGTGCGACCGGTCTGAGTTCAGTCAATTACATTAAACAAAAATACATGGAACGCTACCTAAAGCAAATAATTAAAGCCAAATCTTACACCCAGCCACGCGAGATTACACCCGGAGAAGCGTGTTTAGTGTTTCGTGATTCTTTCGCGGAGTGAAAATTGATTGAAATACACACGCGTGTCTGGGTGTAATCTCGCGTGTCTGAGTGTCAAATTTGACTTCAAAAGATTATCAGGCTTTTTTATTACATGCAGGTAGCGTTATATGTGTTTCAGTTCATTGGTGTCAATTAAATCAACCAAAGAGAATTTTTAAATCAATCATGAATATACATGTTAGAGGAAAAATTAAAACATTTGTTTTAGATTTATCTTTTTCGCCGCATTATTGTTTGTTTTTTTTTTGTAAAATAATTTCGTGTTACTTCAGGCTCATGCAAAGCTCAGAGAAGTTTGTGAAAACACAGAAACAATCTTATATTTCTAAAATATTGATTACCTTAATCAGGTGTAAAAGTGTACAACTGTGAAACTAACTCAATCTACACGATTTAGTTAACGGAAGGTTTTAAATGACAAGACATGAAGGTTTTTCAGACACGAAATCCCACGGGGGGAATGGCTCAACTTGTTTGCAACTCTGGCTAAGAGTGCTTTCTGATCATCGAGAAGCTTGTTGGAAAAACTGCTCTTCCTGGAAGTAATTTTCGACAAATCAGAAAGCGCTCTTTGTTGTTATCTCGTGTATACGTCCTCCGTGTACATTATATTTATAAATATTTATGTTTCCCGTAATGCATTGCACTACGCCACGTGATCATAATGTTGGTTTATGCGTTTGACGACAAACCAGAAAGCGCTCTTTGTTGTTATCTCGTGTATACGTCCTCCGTGTACATTATATTTATAAATATTTATGTTTCCCATAATGCATTGCACTACACGACGTGATCATAATGTTGGTTTATGCGTTTGACGAACAAAGAACGCTTCCCAACCATGTTTACTGTGTCGATTTACGATCGGGCATTTGCTTCATTCTCATGTGTGTATTTCGACAATTATACGTCATAGGGGCTTGTGAAGACCATGGTGAACGCCTAAAATTTTATGCCTTTTAAAAGAAAGTACAGCATTTTGAATTCACAATTCCACCTACCTGATTTGTGATGATTAATAGTTTCGATATTTACTTCGTCGTCTCTGAAGTTTATACTTTTATTTCAGCAAGTATTACACTGCCTCCTAAAAGTACTATACCGCCTACTACGTCAACAAAGAACTCAAAAGCAAGCTTCAACGTACCTGTTTGGATAAGTAAAGGTTTATGAATTGAAATTTTCACCACGTACGGATTTTCTGGGGTGAGGGGTGTGTGCCAGCTCCAAATGTCAAATTTCACCTCTTGAAAAGATTGTTCACCCATCTAAGAAAACATTTTAACAATTTCTAGGAAAATAAATCACTAGTACAGATATTGATGGCGGCGCTAGCAAACCGCCCCTACAATCATTACTTCTTCACTTTGTCTTACGTCACTTTCATAGAAAACAATTTCTAGGAAAACAAATCACTAGTACAGATATTGATGGCGGCGCTAGCAAACCGCCCCTACAATCATTACTTCTTCACTTTGTCTTACGTCACTTCCTCCTAAAAATTTTAGCCCCCCACCTGTAGAAGATATGAAAATCCGTCCATTTTTATCAGGATACTGTTGCATAGTAAATTACTTGAAAAAATGACTGTTTTCTGTGTTAGGTCCTCACGCGTTGGAAAATACGTTTTCTAATTTTCTTTTGGAAGGTAGGAGCATCATTTGACCTTGCAACGCAGTTTGTCATTTTTTGTTGTGACCAGCAAAAACGTTTTCATTTTCCAGGCAAGACGTCCCCGAAATCGGCAACGACATCACAAAACCCGTCGACTCCGAGCCCGACACCCAAGGAACCGTTATATCAGCGGTTTGCCATCTCAGCGTGGTATCTTTTTGCAATTGTTGCTGTCTTTGTTCTCACCGCATTTTGTCATCCCACCGAAGCCGGTTGCTTGGTACACGGAATCTGGTACCTTCTCTGCCTACCTTCCGGCTATCTGTTTCTCATCATTTACTCAATATGTAACTTAACAGATCGGTCTTGGGGTGAGTGTAAAAACAATGTAGTGTAATGTAACGTAATATGTGTAATAATATATGTTGTTATTTTTTTATTTATGCATGCGTAGCGATATTTTTTGATTTCGTGCAATCTGATTGGCTGCCTCGACGGGGTAGCTTTTTACGACATCTTGACCGTGGTCCAACGAGTGATATTTTTTTCGAAATGTATTTGTTTACAAAGTTAAATTAGATATTTTAAAATTGATTTAATAGCAATTTGAATTGTTCAAGGAGATAGAAAAATATATTCAGATGGTTTTTTATACAAAATTCACTATCCAGGCGAAGTGAATTTTGTATAAAACAATGCAATTTCATCTTGAACACGCTGCATATCGGCCATTTTACAACGCAAATTTTTTCCTTATAAGAATAAGAAAATAAATATGTTATAATATAATATACTATAATATACTATAATATAATATAATATAGTATAATATAATATAATTATTAAATTATCGTCTCCTTCGTTACATGGCTATCAAAATTTTCACCTATAGGAACGCGTGAGGCCAAAACGAAAAGTGCGAACGATAAACCAATATCGAAAATTATTATGGATAAATTGATTTGGGTCTGTCATGGCTGCAAGGACGATCCTGTTCAAGAACCTGTTTCGGAGCCTGTTGAACCTGTTGACAGAACGCGAAGTACAACAAGTGATTCATCGAGTGAGGTCAGTTCAGATCACTTTCAAAACACGAATGTCACGTCTTTGATTGTTTGTTTTTGAAATCGAAAGTATTTTTTAATTTAACCTTTGCAATGTCATCCTTTTTGTCGTGATTAATTAGGGAATGGGAGGCAGCGTGCAAAGAAGAACGTTAATCTTCAGTACTTATGAATTAAGGAAAGGGAGGCAGCGTGCAAAGACGAACGTTAATCTTCAGTACTTATGAATTAAGGAAAGGGAGGCAGCGTGCAAAGACGAACGTTAATCTTCAGTACTTATGAATTAAGGAAAGGGAGGCAGCGTGCAAAGACGAACGTTAATCTTCAGTACTTATGAATTAAGGAAAGGCAGCGTGCAAAGACGAACGTTAATCTTCAGTAATTATGAATTAAGGAAGGGGAGGCAGCGTGCAAAGAAGAACGTTAATCTTCAGTAATTATGAATTAAGGAAGGGGGAGGCAGCGTGCAAAGAGGAACGTTAATCTTCAGTAATTATGAATTAAGGAAGGGGAGGCAGCGTGCAAAGAAGAACGTTAATCTTTAGTACTTATGAATTAGGAAAGGGGCAGCGTGCAAAGAAGAACGTTAATCTTCAGTAATTATGAATTAAGGAAGGGGAGGCAGCGTGCAAAGAAGAACGTTAATCTTCAGTAATTATGAATTAAGGAAAGGAGGCAGCGTGCAAAGAAGAACGTTAATCTTCAGTAATTATGAATTAAGGAAAGGGAGGCAGCGTGCAAAGACGAACGTTAATCTTCAGTAATTATGAATTAAGGAAAGGGAGGCAGCGTGCAAAGAAGAACGTTAATCTTCAGTACTTATGAATTAAGGAAGGGGAGGCAGCGTGCAAAGAAGAACGTTAATCTTCAGTAATTATGAATTAGGAAGGGAGGCAGCGTGCAAAGAAGAACGTTAATCTTCAGTACTTATGAATTAAGGAAAGGGAGGCAGCGTGCAAAGAAGAACGTTAATCTTCAGTAATTATGAATTAAGGAAGGGGGAGGCAGCGTGCAAAGAAGAACGTTAATCTTCAGTACTTATGAATTAAGGAAAGGGAGGCAGCGTGCAAAGAAGAACGTTAATCTTCAGTACTTATGAATTAGGAAGGGAGGCAGCGTGCAAGAAGAACGTTAATCTTCAGTAATTATGAATTAAGGAAGGGGAGGCAGCGTGCAAAGAAGAACGTTAATCTTTAGTACTTATGAATTAAGGAAGGGGAGGCAGCGTGCAAAGAAGAACGTCAATCTTCAGTACTTATGACTTTTTTATTTCTTAGTCTGATAGTCAATCAGATCAAACATTGCAGGAGTCCAACATGGAAGAGAGCGATGATAATAGTGAAAATGTTGATGAGAATTATACTAAAACTGCCAAGACCGAAGAGAACTTGCCTACTCCCCATTCCCCCACGTCTCCCACTCGACCGTTGAAACCTGCGCTGAAGAAAGGACCAAGATCTCCTTCACACGATTCAAATATAGGTGAAGTCACGTGACTATCATTTTATTTTCCCTTTGGCTGTTTTTCGAAGGGAGTATTCAAAACTTGAGAGGGAAAAATTTTTTGCTTTGCTGGTCGAAACACTTGTTTTCATCGTCGAACATGATAGATTTAAGGCTTCATAACGAGCAAAATTCAACCTATGAAATTTTTTGTTTCAGAAGAATTCCGTCTTCCCGGCCACCCTAAGAGAAGTGTTCATTTCCATCATAAATTACCGCAATTCAAATCGCATACAAGTGTCGAAGACTGGTTGGATGGTAAAATGAAGGTAAGTCGGAAATGCGGTGGAGTTTTCGCGCGTCGTTTTTTCTTTATAAAATAAACACAATGAAACGCGTGCGCTGATTGGTCTAGAGCTAAGTTTGCATTCGCCAGTGCAAAACATATCTGAGCTCAACCAATCAAATCAATCTGAACTATCAATCAGTCAAAGAGAATTTGCAAATCGATCATGAATACAATTTAGAGGAAAAATTAAAATGTTTGTCTTTTTCGCATTATTTTATTTTATAAAAGAAACAAAAGATGTTTTTCGTGTTTGCACTGGCTTATGCAAACCTCGGAGACGTTTGTGAGAACTCTCGAGCATGTGTAACACTCGACCTTCGGTCTCGGGCTTGCACTGATCTGCTCTCGAGTTCTCCCAAAGGTCTCCTCGGTTCGCATTTTATTTCTTAAAAGATCACTAGCTACATCATACGACCATTTATCATTTTGTTGCCACTTATAGAAATACAAGCCCAACTTTGAACAAAATGGCTACGATGACACAAGCTTCATATGTGGAATGACTGATCAGGTGATTCACACTTATTTTCCCTGTAATCCTTACTTGTCCCCTAGCACCGTCTGACGTACTCATTTGTCTTCGCACGAGGGTGCAAGCTTCATATGTGGAATGACTGATCAGGTGAAGCACACTTATTTGCCCTGTAATCCTTACTTGTCGCCGAGCACCGTCTGACGTACTCATTTGTCTTCGCACGAGGGTGTTTTTAAAGATGTTTCTATGGGATGGGCGCCATTAACTAAGACTGGCGTGTCGGAACCAGGCCTCCCTCCTCACTTTGTATTAAAATAACAAGATCGCTATGAAAGATGTTTATGTTATGTTTTCTATTAACATGCGGTATAAAAATCCATATAACTATATAAAAATGCGAAACGCTACGTATGACGTTTCGTATATACAATGTATACTACGTTTATGCTCTGATTTGTATCTGAAGGCCCGTTTACACGATCCGATTTTGTCGGATCCCAAAAAAACGGATCGTTTGAACACGTATAAAGTGAGCTTCCGACAGTCGAATCCGTCAGTCTCAAAAATCGGATGGAAATAGAACTTGCTCTATTTTCATCTGACAACATCAAAGGAAGTCTACTAGGCTAAAGCTTTTTACTCTTTATACTTCCCAAATTTGAGCTAACGAGAGAAATTAGATTTGAAAAAGACTTGAAAACAAGTATAAAAATACGCAAATATACCGATAAATGTACTGGGTAACACAAATGGCAGCTTTCAAGACAATAAATATCTGAACGAATATAAATGTGAACAAAACTCGAAACAGGAAGTCGGAACCGATACAGAACACACTATGCAGAAAACAATACGATTACATTATAACTTCCGGGATGTGCCCTTCCCACTTCTATTGTCCTTTCGACAGTGGATATAACTTTCTCTCAGAAAATTGGTCCCTTCTGAGGAAACGTTGCTCGCTCGCTTACGCACGCAATCTTTAATGTTTGATGTTTAATCATTCTAATTTGATATTTGATTGTACGTAATGATATATTTTCTAATTGACAGCGTGAATTACATTTCATTGCTATAAATGAAGAATAAAGTTTAACTCATTAAACATTAGTTTGTCTACGGTGAAATTAATACATAAAATTTGAAACTAAGAGTTAACTGCCTAAGATCATATCGAAAAACATATCGTTAACATCATATTTACAATAAAATTTCACTTTGTTATTACCATTTGGTTAAAATATTCTGTACCATGAAATTTTGGGCTGTTTGTGAAATGTTTCCGTTTTTTTCAGGATTTGATAGATATCGGAATCGAAACACGCGGGCATCGCAAGAAACTTCTTCGTGAAATTGAGCAAATTCCATTGGTTGATATGGGAAACAACGTACCGGTAAATAGCTATCATTTGCCATGTATTTCCTGTTCATCAGCATCGCTTATGGTGACCATGCAGCAGTTTTTATGTATGGTTTCTCCGTCACGTGTGTTTCATCATTTACACTATGATTTTAATGTAAATGGTTTGAACCCGGAGTATCGTTACATGTTTGTAAATGTAGATCGTCCAGGTTGGTATAGTCCTGAGAAGGACTGTTTTGTTGTTGACTGACGTTTCGACAACCTTAGCGGTAGCCATCTTCAATACACAAATGACTCTGAAGATGACTACCGCTAAGGTTGTCGAAACGTCAGTCAACAACAACAAAAACAGTCCTTCCCAGGACTATACCAACCTGGACGATCTACATTTACAAAGATGTAACACTATGATTCTGTCACTGTTTCCGGTTTAAAGCGTCGGCAATTATCGAGACCTCACGAAGTTAGGATGTATCGTGACTTGGTGTAATATCACGAAGTTAGAATGTATCGTGACTTGGTGTAATATCACGAAGTTAGGATGTATCGTGACTTGGTGTAATATCACGAAGTTAGAATGTATCGTGACTTGGTTTAATATCACGAAGTTAGGATGTATCGTGACTTGGTGTAATATCACGAAGTTAGAATGTATCGTGACTTGGTGTAATATCACGAAGTTAGGATGTATCGTGACTTGGTGTAATATCACGAAGTTAGAATGTATCGTGACTTGGTGTAATATCACGAAGTTAGGATGCATCGTGACTTGGTGTAATATCACGAAGTTAGGATGTATCGTGACTTGGTGTAATATCACGAAGTTAGAATGTATCGTGACTTGGTTTAATATCACGAAGTTAGAATGTTTCGTGACTTGGTTTAATATCACGAAGTTAGGATGTATCGTGACTTGGTGTAATATCACGAAGTTAGAATGTATCGTGACTTAGTGTAATATTATCTAAAATCATATGCTGTAACGTAGAATTTCACACTGTTCTTCTCGGAGATACAAAGGCAAATGTGCTACGTTACACGACGCGTGTGTGACCCATGCACAAAAAGTGGAAGTTTTCGAACTCTGTGAACTTTATTAACGCAAAGTGATGAAACATACATGAAAGACTATATCCAAAAATACCAATTTAAACTGAAATGGACTTATTTAAATACCATCGCATATCATACAAAAGCTTTTGAACTTGTACTATACAGGCTCTATTTCAGAAAATTGCCGTCCAGAGACTTTCGAAAAGTTTGAATATCTTCAGACTTTTCAACGAAAGTCCTATAGTCTGTATCTTGTCGATTTTTCGTGCAAAACGTTTTAGAAATGCTGCATGCTACAAAATATCTTAGAAATTCTGCATAGTACAAAATGTCTTAGAAATGCTGCATGCTACAAAATATCTTAGAAATTCTGCATAGTACAAAATGTCTTAGAAATGCTGCATGCTACAAAATATCTTAGAAATTCTGCATAGTACAAAATGTCTTAGAAATGCTGCATGCTACAAAATATCTTAGAAATTCTGCATAGTACAAAATGTCTTAGAAATGCTGCATGCTACAAAATATCTTAGAAATTCTGCATAGTACAAAATGTCTTTGAAATGCTGCATGCTACAAAATATCTTAGAAATTCTGCATAGTACAAAATGTCTTAGAAATGCTGCATGCTACAAAATATCTTAGAAATTCTGCATAGTACAAAATGTCTTTGAAATGATGCATGCTACAAAATATCTTGAAATTCTGCATATTACAAAACGTTTTAGAAATGCTGCATGCTACAAAATATCTTAGAAATTCTGTATAGTACAAAATGTCTTTGAAATGATACAAAGTACAGAGATGATTTGAGTGCGAACATATGTGCTAGTTAGAAGTTCGCCCAATGGTTAGATTATACATGTAGAATGGACATTTCATTAAAATATCAGTGTTTATGGAGTTTTAGAAAACATTGTAGTGACGTTTAGTTAGAAGGAAGTTTTTTCTGAGCTAACTTTTTGTGAGTTCTATTGACTTCTTTCTTCAGGATAACGTAGACAAATGGTTGGCAGACTTGGGTCTCCACGACTACTGGCTAAATTTTAAAAACAACAGTTACGACAATCCCAAAGCGTTGGAAGATTTGAAAGTGATGAACTCCAAAGATTTGAGTAAAGTGTTAACTGATGATCTTCATGTCACCAAGAAAGGCCATTTGAAAAAACTAACGACTGCCGTACGCAAGCTACAATACCCTAGTGCAAGTATGTCGAAGAATTCGTTGACAAACATCATTAATTTTTTTGAGTTAAAAGTTCTTATGAATTTGTTTAAAAGTTTTAATTTGGTTAAAAGTTCTTATGAATTTTTCTATTTTTTATACAGTCGAGCGGAAAATCCGCGAAGCCAGGCAAGCTTTACGTAAGGTTCCCACTTGGCTTCTGCGTGAGGAAAACGAAGGGGAAGAATTCGAGTTTTGGAGTAAACTTCGCAAGCTGAGATTGTTGCCCGAATCCAAAGCATTCGGTCAGCACTCGGAGTTGGCCGACAAACTCGAAGATCTTCGTTCTTCGGTCGTTTTAGCTTTCACAGTGGCAAACATGGTGTGGATAATACTGATATACGTTTTGGCCAGACATGCTTCGCTTAAAGTGCAAAGTACGAATTTTCTGAGTCTGGCGTTTCTAGTGGCCTTTGGAGCAATCGTGGTGATTCAGTTCTTCACGATGCTCTGGCACAGAGTGGACACCTTGCTTCATATACTTGCACGTGCACCATTCCGTGGTGACAGCCCGAGTTTTAAGGGCTGGGCATTTAGTGATGAAAGCCTCATACCACCTCCTACTGAGGAAGAATTGCAACAGGTTCGACGGCGCAGTCAGAGAGCGCTGTCCAGAGATTTTACTAGCAGCGACGAGCATCAGCCATTGTTAGGTACAAATGGTAGGCCCAGTTATCGTTTTTCTAGGCCTTTCAGTCCTCGCCCAGTTTGACTGCTTTCATTATCTTATGGAAAGAACTGTGAGCAAACATAACCCAATGATTTTGTGTCAATGAATGCTGGTTGTAAAGAGGGAAATTTATACATACGAGTTAGTCATTTTATGATTTTTAAAATTTTCAATGTATTTTGTAATAAGAATTTAAAGACAATGTATTGAATTTGGAATTTTTTAATTATTACTTCATCATGGAGTCATTGTCAATGCTAAACTATGAAAATTATACTCTAGCAATTATATTTATGTATTATATGGATGCACTATTTCAAATTGTATTCGATTTTGTCCGAGGACTTAGTTTGATGGTTGAAGTTGATTTTGCTTGAAGGACTGAGTTTAAAGATGACCTAGAATCTTTATCTTTTCCATTTCTGAAAGGATGAAACCCAATTTCCTGCCACAGCCACAGGTAGTTGACAAGGTTATACATGTATGTTAGGTTTCATCCGGTTTTGAACAAGAAAAATCTTTAGTCAATACAACATGACATGGCCATTATGAACATTAAACAATGCCAACGGATAAAAATTATACACGCTGTAAGTCTCAAACAAGTATTAAGACAGTTTTATACAAAATTTTACACTTCAATACATTGTAATAAATACTCAACCACGACTCGCACAATTTACATGACGATACAAGACTTTTCTTCACTATTAGCACTATCGTCTGTCTTCTCTCTACAGTTTTTCTCGTTCGACAATCCATATTTAGCTCGAATTTCATCGCGTTTTTTCTGTCTTTCTTCGCTGCGTTTGGCATAAACCTGTTGCCTCTTCGCCTTCTCTGCTTTTCTTTCTCTTCGATTTTACGCGCTTCCTTTAATGTTAGGCCACCGGCTTCGTTTTCCTCTTTTTTTTCATCCCCAAAGCCGAAACCTTTGCTTACTGAATCGGTGACGGAGTTTACTTTACTCGTTAATACAGATTTTGCCAAAGAGTCCATATTTAAGTTCTTTCAACATTCGAGTACAGTTACTTCCGCTTTGAGGATCTCTAAACCTTCAAAGTTGCAGTCAGGCATCTCCCAATAATAATTTTTGCTTGATTAAAAGAATCAGTTTCACTTTTCATCCTTAGATAATTCGTCCAACTTTTATGAGTCATGAATTCAATAAAATTCAAATAGTCGCGAGTGGAATTGAAGCCTGAAATAGCTGTATTTCGCATGGAGGTAGCAGTTCAGTTCCCTTGACAACGTTGTTGATTTTTTAATTTTGAGTAAATTTTTTCTGTGCATCTGTCGAATGAATGGCTAGTGTAAAACTTCAACACAAATGGAAAGTCAACGTAGCCTTTATGAGATTGAACCACAGGGAAATTAAACGCCATGGAAAATGAGCATCTAGTTAATCAGTAAGTCCAGTGTGTGATACTTAAATATTTTCTTTTGTTGTTTTGTGGGAAAAAAACTATAGGTGAATAATGGCTGCTGCATTGAGGACTGTTTTGAAATAAAAGTGATTTTTATTTAAGAAATACAAACAGTGTGCACTTTAAATGTTTAAAATTTGTGCTTTGCGAAACACCTTTCCTACCTAGAAGCAATTCCACGTTGACAAGATTTGAAAAGTTAAAAGTACTCAGCAGGTTAACTGTGCAAGAGCTCGAGGCAATACAACAATCATTTCCTGTAAGTGTAGATGGTTATGAGCTTGCTCTTATATCAAAATAATTCCCTTTCATTGAGTTTGAAGTGTAATTGTATATTTGTCACTTTCAGATAATCTTATTCGATTCTGTGGAGGAAAGACGAGATGCTGATCAGTTCTGTGAACTGTTGTCCAGCATTATTCCCCACGGCAATGAAGATGAATTTCGAGAACTTTTTGATGTCATTGACACTGACAAAGAAGGGTTTGTGGATTGGGATAAATTTTGCTCTCATTTGCAACGCGACTATCAGGAAAAAGATGACAGAATGAAGACGACCCAGGTTTCTAGACAATATTTTACTTCATCATTTTCAATTTCCCCCACATAAATACATGTAATCTTTGTTCTCCAAAAATACAGGTACCGCAATGGAGGGAAGTGAAATACACAAATAGGTAAAGACATTTCAGTTTTTTTGTTTTTGTTATTGACTTGTCTTGTTCTTATGGTCCTAGACATAAGAGGGCAATTGAATGATTTTTATCCTTTCTTTACTTAGGGAAATGTGTAGATTTCATTCAATATTATAAAATAATCATAATGAAACGTGTACACCAATTGGTCTAGAGCTGTGTTTGCATTAGCCTGTTCTCCCAAAGGTCACCTTGCTTTGCATAAGTGTGTGCAAACACAGTAAAACCCAATCAATCCACCATATATCTTTATTTTAGTCCTCATAAAGAGAACATCCAGAAGATCACAATGTTGAAAAATCCACCAAGATATTTGACTGTTAGTAAGGTAAACAGCAGGTAGTACCATGCTCTTGATGATTGCGCACTTTTAAATGAGGAGGCTCTCGTTAAAAATTGATTTATATATCAGGCTGACTGATCTGATATTTCTATCCAAATATTTTGTTGAATTTTCTTAAACATTATTTAGGAAGGTGTTGCTGTTGTCTGGAATTTAAATATGAAGCCCTTGAGAACAATCCGCGTATGTGTGTGATATATATATACATATATTATTATCTAGATTTTTGTTCCACATCTTTTTTGTGTTTTTTTTCCTCTCCCTTTTTGAAAAATCTACTTTATCAACACTTAAATAAACACTTTATAAGCACTTAAATTACACAAGTTTCAAAATTAACTGATGCTTGACTGAGGCATCCGGTCTTATGTTTCAACATCAGATCACTCCTGATGAAGACACTAGACTGGAGTATATAAGGACTCAAGTTTCAACATCAGATCACTCCTGATGAAGACACTAGACTGGAGTATATAAGGACTCAAGTTTCAACATCAGATCACTCCTGATGAAGACACTAGACTGGAGTATATAAGGACTCAAGTTTCAACATCAGATCACTCCTGATGAAGACACTAGACTGGAGTATATAAAGACTCAAGTTTCTACATCAGATCACTCCTGATGAAGACACTAGACTGGAATACATAAGGACTCAAGTTTCAACATCAGATCACTCCTGATGAAGACACTAGACTGGAATACATAGGACTCAAGTTTCTACATCAGATCACTCCTGATGAAGACACTAGACTGGAATACATAAGGACTCAAGTTTCAACATCAGATCACTCCTGATGAAGACACTAGACTGGAGTATATAAGGACTCAAGTTTCAACATCAGATCACTCCTGATGAAGACACTAGACTGGAGTATATAAGGACTCAAGTTTTAACATCAGACCACTCCTGATGAAGACACTAGACTGGAGTATATAAGGACTCAAGTTTCAACATCAGATCACTCCTGATGAAGACACTAGACTGGAATACGTAATGACTCAAGTTTCAACATCAGATCACTCCTGATGAAGACACTAGACTGGAGAATGTAAGGACTTGAGTTTTAACATGAAATCACTCCTGATGAAGACACATAGACTCGAGTATAAAAGAATTCAAGTTTTAACATGAGATCACTCATGATGAAGACACTAGACTGGAGTAAACAAAGATTCAAGTTTCAAGTTGCATCTTAATCTTTTGTGCAGTGACAAATAAATCCAAAATAGCTCATCGTTGTTTAGATCACAACTGAACCAGACGATGTAAAGCAACGTGACTTATGGATCACAGATTTTGCTGCGATGCAAAATGTCTACAAGCTAGTTGTTGCTATGACAAGCAAAGAAATTGGTAATGCATACACTAACATACGAAGATTGTATCGTCCTGATTTGCTATGGATGAAAGGAGATTTGAAAAACCGCTTTCTTTTCAGCGATATACGAGCTCAGCTCCAAGTCGGAGTTTTTATGTTTGTATCGTGTTCGTGGATTGAAGTCAACACCGATTTCCTTGAACTTTTGGTGAGTTTTGATTTTGAATTGAGCGAATTTGTTATTGTATCTTTCAATCATAAGGGAACACAGTTAAAAGTATTGTGCACACCTCCTCTCACCATGTCAATGTATCTGATAAATTACTTGTACGTACTTCATGCTAATCATGGCTATAGCTAATCAATTCTCACAAAAATTGTATGTTTTAAGTTTCGAATGAGAACGGTTTTAAACCGGGGAGAATCGTTGCTACGCTTGTGAATGTTGATTGTCCAAGTTGGCGGTTGACGCTGAGACCTGGGGCCGACTGCACGAAGCATGGAGATAGCGTTATCCATTGGATGGCAAAAATTTTAAAACGGTTAAAACTTCTTACAAAGGAAAAATATATGGTTTGAGCTGAGCAATCACTGAAATAAAATATTTCTTCTAAGATTAAAAAATTTCTTTGTCGTAACAAAAATATAGCCACCTTTTTCACAAGTTTAAACATTTTTCTCTGCAATGGTCGACGCTATCCAAGCTTCGTGGAGCCGACCCTGACCACTAAAGTGTCGACGTCAAACATCGGCTGTCCTTCTCAGGTCTACAAAACATAGACGATCTTTATGTACAAACATGTTGGGAGCTGTTTCTTCCTCACAAGCATTCCGATATCTTATCCCCACAGATCCATATAAAACCCTAGCTTTGTCTCGTGAAATATTAACTCCTTGAAGACTCAAACTCTATAAAGATTATGACTAGGGATGGGCTGGGGTGAAGACTCCAAACTAAAACTCTATAAAGATGATGACTAGGGAGGGGGTAGGTAGCTACCCATTTTGGCTACCATTAGTTTGAATCACCATACATCTCTAATGAACCATTTAACTTGTTTAAAGGTCCAATCCTGATCAACCAAATGACTCCATTCTCGTTTTGGTGATGTTGCTGGTTACGTCAACGCTTTAATATTTTGTGAATCTACCATCTCTTTGTTTGATCGTCCTGCACAATCCAGTGCTAACCAACAAGGTACACAATTCTTTGTTTAATCATCCTGCACAGTCCAGTACTAACCAACAAGGCACACAATACTTTGTTTAATCATCCTGCATATTTTTCACAATACGTCATCGAAGGTGAATGTCTAACTTTACATTGATCTTTTTAGACATAACATTTATGGTTGACATTGGTGATATAACCAAAGGTCATTATAAAAACTGTCGCCATATTTATCATCACGGACATAGTGAATGGACCAGACAAGGTTAGTACGTGATGACGTTTAGTACGTGATGAAGCTCAGTACGTGATGAAGTTAAGTACGTGATGACGTTTAGTACGTGATGACGTTTAGTACATGATGAAGTTTAGTACGTGATAGCGTTTAGTACGTGATGAAGTTCAGTACGTGATGACGTTTAGTACGTGATGAAGTTCAGTACGTGATGAAGTTAAGTACGTGATGGCGTTTAGTACGTGATGACGTTTAGTACGTGATGAAGTTAAGTACGTGATGACGTTTAGTACGTGATGACGTTTAGTACATGATGAAGTTTAGTACGTGATAGCGTTTAGTACGTGATGAAGTTCAGTACGTGATGACGTTTAGTACGTGATGAAGTTTAGTACGTGATGACGTTTTGTACATGATGAAGTTTTGTACATGATGAAGTTTAGTACGTGATGACGATTAGGACGTGATAAAGTTTAGTACGGATGACGTTTAGTACTTAGTTCAGGACTTAGAATTAAATTCCCGTTGAACACATCGGAGGCTATTCAGATTGTCAAATCCACCAACAGACGACTGATACGAGCACGGATTAACGACTGTCACAGACGAATCAACTATTACATTACAATACACAATTGACACCCACATTTCCGGTACACACAATACAATGGCGTAAGAACCAGATAACAAATACGGCTAACCTGACGTTTACTCCTCATTTGACTCTGAAGATGACAACCGCTAAGGTTGTCGAAACTGTTAGGAATGACGATACATTAAATGTGTATTAAACCAAGTATAAGATATCTGATCATAGTACTAGTCACATGATCTGGTATGCACTACTTATTGTATGCTAATTTTACACTTACTCTCCTTTATCTTCTGTTCTGCTCGACACCGCATGGTTTAGAACAACGCTCGCTATGTAACTTAAACTATTAAATATATGTCGTTTTGTTTTTGCTTTAATATTAAATTAACAGTCAACAACAACAAAAAACAGTTCTTCTCAGGACTATACCAACCTGAACGATCTACATTTACAAACATGTAAAGTTTAGTACGTGATGAAGTTTAGTACGTGATGATTTTGACTTCAAACTGTGCTCAGAACAACTTAAGCCACACTTGAGAAAAGACTTTTTAATTTAAATTTTTTCCGTATCATTTGGCAATTGTTACTGACTAGAATTTTTTAGAGCAATTGAGTTTGCATGAACAAGAGCAAAGTGATCAAACTATAGCAATTTCTTCGTGTCATTTTCAGTGATGTATACCAGTGTACTAGATTGTTTCATATCATGTGCTACCAACTATAAGAACGCTCTTGTCCTTGGCTGGATGGAGAAAAACAAGAGTACGATGCGCACGTATGGATTGTGTTAACTGTTTACATTTATGCACAGTGACGGAGCCAGCTTGTATGTTTGGTTGTGCTGTGCAAAATTTTAGATTATTGACAGTAGTTATTTCTTTAGTAATAAGCCTTTAATAGCCGAGCTCGAGGTCTTTACGGAGAAATATTGGACCGAAGTCTATCTCAGTGAATACCGAGAAAGCGAGGTTATTAAAAGGTTTATTATATGGCATTTTTTGACCTGAAACGAAGCTTGCTTTCTTTCTCGTCCTTGCTGTTTTTACCAGTTGGCTTTCACTTTTCTAGTTTTCGTCCATAAAAAAATCGTTTTATGTTGTATCATCTGGATAGTTAAACTGTTTTTCCTTCGAATCACATTCGTAAATGGTTTTTTGTTTCGTTTATTTTGCGTTTTGCTGTTTGCATGACGAAGTTTGTTTGTTTTTATTTGACTGTAAAATTACGCGTTTTGGACCGTGGTCGATTACGGGGGAATAATGGACCGGTAAAAATGTCTCTGATCCAATCAAAGCGCGCCATTTAGCCGGAAGTAACGCTTGCCATATAATAAGATTACTTAGTTTAGCACAGCCAAACTTAAAGGATAGCTACGTCACTGTATTTGCACGAGGGAAGTCAGGAACAGTAAATAGTTCTATTTGAAACTTGAATTTCTTGCTTAAATTAATTCTGAATTGCGTGAATCTTGCGTGAATCTCGGACTTAACTTTTAAATTAATTCTGAATTGCGTGAATCTTGCGTGAATCTTGGACGTAACTTTTAAATTAATTCTGAATTGCTGAATCTCGGACGTAACTTTTGAATGCAGCAAAAACGAAACTCGTCAGCTGTTTATGTTTCCAAGACATGTTTCAGATTAGCTTTTCCTGTCGTATGGTTGTATCAGTCGTATGCTACCTGTTATTGTCTTCCTGTTGTATCAATCATTTACCCCATGCTCTTGCCTTCCTGTTGTATCAGTCATTTACTACCTGTTCTAGCTTTTCTTTTACATTATATTGTAGGACCGTGTTCAAAATATCTCAAGGAGTGAATGCTTTTGATTACAACGATAAACTGAACTTAATTGGTATTAAGATTTTGTTGTTGATTTGCATGATGTGTATAGACTTTTCACTGGATTACCGCCACCTGAGATAGTTTAAAAACAATCTAGTGAAACTTTACAATTTGGTGAACTCATTGTACTCCAGCATGCTTAATTTTTATGGCGTATATTTGATAGTTTAATCCTCGAGGACAGTCGGTGGCCAACTACGGCATTGTTTAACTTAAGAGTTAAGAATCCAATCACTAATTACCAGTCTCTTCATGTTTAGCCACGGCAGGTGTAAATCATCACGTGTTGCTATGGAATCCTTACGTCATCTCAAAACCTGTTGGAGTGCTTCGTGGTCACATGCAAAGCGTGATTGCCGTAAACTTCATCAGATCACGTGGCCAGATGATTAGCCTATCAAAGGACAAGGTGCAATCTTATAGTCATAATTCTTTTTAGTTCTGACATCTCCCTTTGGTTTTGAACTTAAACTGGCACTTTTCTTAATGGCCCGTTCAGACGATCCGATTGTTTCAGTTCCGACTTTTGGTTGCTTGTTCAGACGGTCCTATAATTTTATTGATATTTATATTCGTTTAGATATTTATAGTCATGGGAGCAGACATTAATTGTTGTCCCGTACATTTATCGATATATTTGCGTATTTTTCTTCTTGTTTCCAAGCGTTTTTCACATGTACAATGTTTTCGCCAAATGAAACTTGGAAAGTATGGAGAGTAAGAGGTCCAGGACGAGTCGGCTTTCTTTGATCTTGTCGGATGAAAATAGACCAAGTTCTATTTCCATCCGATTTTTTAGATTGACCGATCCAAATGTCTGAAGCTCACTTTATATGTGTTAACACGGTCCGTTTTTTAGGATTCGACAAAATCAGATCCGACAAATTGGATCGTGTGAACGGGCCTTTAAAGAGCTTTTGAGGCAAATTCTCAAACGCATTTTATTGACTTAATCAAAACTACTTGCTTTCAAAACCTGATCCGCGCACAAAGTTAAAATTGGTGTGTTATTGGCGTATCTGTTAGCCATCCTCCAAAGTCGCGATTTTGACGCTTCCTTGCTAACTTTTTCTTAGGGCCATGTTGACTCTTGTGACTTCATAACGAGTACAACTTCCTTTCCTCGAAGGTTTTTGAATGTAAGCTATTGTTCTTGTCAACTTTCTAAAGGTTCTTCGTGTGTGGGACACTCATTTGCAAGTATGTCTTCAACGTCTATCGGGAATGTTTCCGAAAGGACCTGAAATCTCGACCGTGTTGTACTTCGATGAAGAGAGAAGTACTTTGTTGACTGGATTTAATCGCCGGGTAATAAACTCCGGTAGTAAGTCAGTAGAAAACAATGGATTTTAGAGGAACTTAGTACAGCACATTATACATTTATGAATACTCTCCCTCCCCCAATCATCAACTTTAGCATTTTGTTTTGTTGTTATATATTGTGCAGGTGGCTGTCATGGTGATGAAACCGGAAGTAAAAGATCGAATCCTTAGCCATGAGCATCCGGTTACGGCTGCAATCTACAATCGCAAATTCAGTCAGGTAAAAGATACAGAAAAGGTTTCGTGTGCGTCAGTGCTTGAGTATTTGTTTTTCTAAGTGTACATGAAAGTTCAATTTGTTACAGGTTGTGAGCGCATGCTCTGGTTCTGTCGTCACGATGTGGATGATTGATACGGGACAAAAAGTCAAACAGGTTTTGTCTCATGTGAAAAATATGAAGAGATAAAATACATAAGAAATATGCCCCTTACCAGCTTGACTTCCACTTTAACTATCTAAGAATGCAAAACTTACCAGCTCAACTTCCACTTTAACTATCTAAGAATGCAAAGCATACCAGCTCAACTTCCACTTTAGCTATCTAAGAATGCAAAACTTACCAGCTCAACTTCCACTTTAGCTATCTAAGAATGCAAAACTTACCTGCTCAACTTCCACTTTAGCTATCTAAGAATGCAAAACTTACCAGCTCAACTTCCACTTTAGCTATCTAAGAATGCAAAACTTACCAGCTCAGCTTCCACTTTAGCTATCTAAGAATGCAAAACTTACCAGCTCAACTTCCACTTTAGCTATCTAAGAATGCAAAACATACCAGTCCAACTTCCACTTTACCTAACTATGAATATTGCAACACATGAAAACATATTAACTACTTTATTTAAGTATGAATATTGCAACTTACCGGCTCAACTTCCACTTTACCGAATTATAAAATAAAATTTAACAGTTTACTAGTGCTCATGGTAATTCGGAAATAACAACGCTGACTCAAGACGCGAGTGAAACAAGGTTATTCACCGGAAGCACAGATGGTACAGTAAAGGTAAGAATAGTTGAAAAAAGGGATTGATGGTAGTCATGGCAACCTCCTATTTATTTCGTGTTGAAAATTGCAAATATTGATGTCAGTTTTCTTGTATACTATTCACAGATCTGGGATTTCAATGGTCACTGCCATCACGTGTTGGTTGCTGGCGATGGCAGTCCTTGTGATATCACTCAAATCTTGCCTTTGAAAAGAATGATTCTCGTGGTGGGCTGGGACAGGTAACAACCATTTAATACTTTTACTACTCTGTTTTAGCTAATTAAGGTAAAGATTTCATCCTTTGACAACTCGTCAATGGCTAGTATAGGTAAAGATTTCATCCTTTGACAACTCGTTTATGGCTAGTATAGGTAAAGATTTCATCCTTTGACAACTCGTTTATGGCTAGTATAGGTAAAGATTTCATCCTTTGACAACTCGTTTATGGCTAGTATAGGTAAAGATTTCATCCTTTGATAACTCGTTTATGGCTAGTATAGGTAAAGATTTCATCCTTTGACAACTCGTTTATGGCTAGTATAGGTAAAGATTTCATCCTTTGACAACTCGTTTATGGCTAGTATAGGTAAAGATTTCATCCTTTGACAACTCGTTTATGGCTAGTATAGGTAAAGATTTGATACTTTGACAACTCGTTTATGGCTAGTATAGGTAAAGATTTGATACTTTGACAACTCGTTTATGGCTAGTATAGGTAAAGATTTTGATATTTTGACAACTTGTTTATGGTTAGTATAGGTGAAGATTTGATCCTTTGACAATTCTCCTTTGTTTGTATGCTTTGAGATCTACGTAATCCTTCGACAACCGTAAACAATTGTGCAAAATTTTGCAGCAAAATCACTCAACACTGCGCCTACTTGCGCAAAAGCAACTGAAGAATCTTCTTCACTTCATATACTTCCATTCAATGTAGGACATTGTGTGTGTTCCGTGACAGCCAGTTGACATCGTACTACGTGCATCCTTCAGACTGGAAAGGTCGTCAGGTTAGTGTATGACTGTTGTAAAAATCCCTGTGATTGTCACATGACACGAGACCGAAAACTGCGAATCTTATGAACTGCCTGCAATCAAAGGAAAACAAAGCAGCTAAATTGTAGACCCTCCCATCCCCTCACCCGCTCCTTTTCTGAACAACCGTAGATGCATATTGATGATAAAAACATCGTTGCAGCTTTATGTACAGATGCAGTAATGATTTAATTGATTTCAACTTGAACCTAACAAACAATGGCTACTGAATATATTCCCATTCTACAAGATCATTAAAAGGCTATGATAACTTGTACATTTCCATCAGGAATGCTAAATCTAGCTCATTAATTCTTTACTATAGCCGTAACTTTTAGTTGTAACTATTACATTATGTTTGGATATATGTGTGTTTATAAATGAACGCTAAGCAATCGCTTCTCTTTAAATCATTTTAAACACAGGAGCACCAGGATGACATTCAATGTATGTCATTCACGCCTCCACATACTCTGGCAACCGCGAGCTACGACGGGGAACTGGTCTTGTGGAACACAAGCTCCGAACAGGCATTTCGACATTTCAATTGTAAAGCACACAAAGATGGACGTGCTAGCAGACGGCAACGAAAACTTGTACGACAACTTTCCTATGTGTAGCTGAGTGAAATATGCATTCGCGAATGAGGCTTCAGTTTACTATAGTACCCAAATCCTAATGCTTACTCCAACTTTACTCTAGGAACGAGCCAACAGTGCTCTGTCACAAGCACGTGGAAAATCTCCGGTTTCCTTGACTACGGGTGACGCAATCCAAGATGACTTCTCGAAGTTTTTGTCAGCAGAGGTACGCATATATGGCTTTTGTGGGGAGAAAAACTGGCTCTGTTTTTGTCTCTCTTTCTTTTGGTAGAGTAAAAACGGCAAAAATCTTGAGAGACTAGTAGAATTTTTGCGCTGAGGTCTTTTTGCAACCTTTGAGAAATTTTTAGACAAGAAAACAAGTCGACTACATTTGCCGTTTATGTTAGTTTCCTTACACTTTTCAATATAGAATGAAAAGGAAGAAAACAGTGGATATTTTGTCAATAATCTAATATTTCTATACAACCGCCCTCCTCCAGCTGTACAGAACGAGGCAGCGGATCTTGTTTCCTGTGGCGCTAATGGTTGGGTATGTATGCAATGTATGGGTTGGGGTTAGGAAGGGATATGTATGGGTTAGGGTTAGGAAGGGATATGTATGGGTTAGGGTTAGGAAGGGATATGTATGGGTTAGAGTTAGGAAGGGATATGTATGGGTTAGGGTTAGGAAGCGATATGTATGGGTTAGGGTTAGGAAGGGATATGTATGGGATTGGTTTAGTTTAAGGTTGGGGTTAGGGCTACAAGGAGGCATGTATAGGATTGGTGCATTGGATAGTTTTTGAAACTTGTAAAAAATGTGTTTATGTTTTTCTTACGGCAAAGAAATTTCATAGTCTTCGAAACAATATTTTATTTCAGTGATTGTACAGCTCAAATCAGTTCAATTTATTCTCCTATAAGAGATTTTTTAAACGTTCAGAAAAATTTGCTATGCAGTGGATAGCGCCATTCGACCTGAACTCTGTTGGTGTTATAGAGTTTACTTACGCTTGTCGAATGTGTTGAATGTTGAGACAGCAACAGTTCTTCTCAGGACGGAACTATCCTTCAAGGATCAATATCTGCGAACGCGTAATCATCCTGTTATTTATTAAAATACGAATTCTTTTGCATACACGCTACTTGAGTCAGAACTTAAATCTTAGGGTCTGTTTATATGAAGCCGGGCTGGCCCGCGTAGCGGTGAATAGCCCGGTTTGTGAGACGAATTTTTGTTGTGTTTATATGACGTTCATCTCGCTTGCAGAGGCGTTTTTCGCTGTAGAAATGAAGACTTGTATAAAGCATCTTCTACTTATAATCAGACAGATTATCAATCGAATGCTCCACCATCTTTGTATCGCAGCGAAAGTTCTTTCTTTGAACCATTCTCGTGTCTTTTTTGCTCGCTTTTGCACATGCACGTATTCCGCCATTTGAATATGTTATCATATACGCATGCTCGAATAGTCCAAATTTAGCTCGGCAAGCGGGCTAGCTCGGCATTTGACACGGTTTACACGAGAAAAATTTTATCCCGGCAGGCGAAATCTCGCCTGTGCCCAGTGAGATCTCGCTAAGCGGGCCAGCTCGTGTCGCCATATAAACGAAAAGAGATTTTTAATATAATATCTACAACGTAGGGAGGTCTCGCTTAACGGGCTATCTCGGTAAGCTGGCCAGCTCGGCTTTCATATAAACAGGCCCTTAGTGGAAACGTTTCCTCGTTCAGAAAAATTTAACTGCTTGCTACAAGAAATCGTCAATTTCTAACTTAGCCTTACTATTTTACTATAAGTGTACATAACCCAAAATCCAATTCTCTGAAGTCTTGTTGAACTTTGTCGCCAGGTTCGATTCTGGAACACTGCTGATAACTCATTGGCTGGTGAATTCATAGCTCACAATCACGGTACGTATAAATTGATTGATTTTGTCCTCGCTGACGAGCAAAGAATTTTTTCTTCCAACACTGGGGGGAAACATTTCAAATCATCCAAGGGAACGTTTGTTGTGTAAACAACCTCGTTTGCATTCATTATAGCTGGAGCAATAACGATGGCAGTCGATGGTGACTGTCGTTACTTAGCAACTGGTGATGGCGATGGATTTGTGAAGGTTTATATCATTACAGAATACTGTGTGTCTGCTAATGTTGAAGGAGCATCGAAAATGCCACCTCGTAAGTGAGTCATAAAAATTTTTTTATGTACAGACCGAGCCCGTTGGGAGAGGTTTATACAAAAAGACAGAGGTCCGATATTTCTCCGTAAAGACTGAAAATGTGAGGTTATTAAAAGTTTCATTACATGGCATTATTTGACCTGAAACGAAGCTTGCTTTCTTTCTCGTCTTTGCTGTTTTGTACAGTTTGATTTGCCTTTCACTTTTCTAGTTTTTATCAGTAAAAATAAATCGTTTCAAATTGTATCGTCTGGATAGTTAAACTCTTTTCCAAGTGTTTTTTCTTTGAATCACATTCGTAAATGGTTTTTTGTTTCGTTTTTTTCTTGCGTTTTTCTGTTTGCTTTACGAAGTTTGTTTGCATTTAACTGTAAAATTATGCGTTTTGGACTGTGGTCGATTACGGGAAAATAATCAACCGGCAAAACTGTTTCTGAGCCAATCAAAGCGCGCCATTTTGCCGGAAGTGACGCTGCCATATAATAATGTATATATTTATACAGTTTTATGTCATAATATATGCATCATAGCGTATCCATAATAGTTCTATATCATAGTTAATCTATAACAATATGTCTATAGAATTCTATAGCTATAGTAGTTTATCTGTATCATCGTATTTCTGTCACGTGTAACTTCGTGTGTATTTTCGTGTTTACATGCAGCATTGCACCGTCACGTGTAACTTCGTGTGTATTTTCGTGTTTATATGCAGCATTGCACAGACAATTTCAGCCTCATTTTGACGCCATTACAAGCCTGGAGATTATACTCAGATTCGACAGAATGCTCTTGCTCACGTCATCAAACGACTCTTCGCTGGCATTGTGGGATATTCATGGAAGACAGTTGGGCGTATTTGGTCAGGTGCGTAAAGACAGGACACGAGTACATTATTTTTTAACATATCTGAAGTCCTTTTCTTGAAACGATTATGTATGAGCAGGAAAAACATTGGAAAATCGAAGATCTACCTGTTGAGCAACCTGAGAATGAAAATGACGAGTCTAATTTTCTTGCTAAGGTAATTTTGCCGTCCTAATTCTGCTTATAACGGCTTTATAGTGAAAACAATAATCATTTCTTGATGTATTCAAAGTGCATATTATGACTCTTGGTAGTGAAAATATTGACTGTTGAATTACACAAACAAAATATTTTATTGCTCAATAATGGTTTTATCTAAAGTTTGTGCCTATCTAAAGTGCTTGAACGGTTCAAGTGAAAATATTTTATTGCTCAATAATTGTTTTATCTAAAGTTTGTGCCTATCTAAAGTGCTTGAACGGTTCAAGTGAAAATATTTTATTGCTCAATAATGGTTTTATCTAAAGTTTGTGCCTACCTAAAGTTGCTTGAACGGTTCAAGTGAAAATATTTTCAGCCCAACGACGATGAGAAGAAAGACATTGACTCTCCTTATGTCAACGAAGAACGTCCAAATGTTGAAAGTCAGATCCCCGAAGACTGGGATCCAACAGATTCCACTTGGGACAGCAGCATATTAGGTACAGTTGTAATGTTTTAATGACGTCATGTTGCTAGGCAACTTCAAAGTTAAGTTGAAGTCGACATTCTTTTCACTACATGGGATTTTCTACCAACATGGCGACCGATGAAAACACCCTATAACTGGTGGACGAGTATTTTGGTGTCACGTGATTTGTGTTATTTCTGATACAGGCAAATCGTTCAGTGAACCTCGAAAGCAAAAACGTCAACGTCGCCAGCAAGTCATCGGTCGAGGAAAACTCACTGATCCTGAAAATGGGAAGCTGAACTCAACTGGATTGACCTATGGTGTAAGTCAAGAAGTTCATTTTTCATCCTTTGATGTTTAGTCAAACCTTCCGTACACAGACATCATTGGGACCGTGACATGGCGTCCGTTTACGAGAGGGGTTTGGTTATTGGGAAAGATGCGAAAGGAGTGATCATCTGCGTCATTATTATTCAACTTACATAAAATACAATCAAACCTCCCGTAAGCGGATGATTTTGGGGCCACAACCTGGTGTCTGTTAAGAGAGTTTCGATTCTGATAACAGCGATGAACAAAGACGTTTAAATTTACACTTCTCAGTTTTTAACATCATTTTTATGTAGCTATATCGGCCACTGTCAACTGCTGTCTGCGAATTATTTTCCTTAGGAAGCAGGAACTCTCCAAAAATGTCAATTACATATTATATTTAATCTTAGTTTTCTTATGGTGAAATGGATATATTGGGAAGAGGTTCCCCTCTTATCCACCACTGCCACTATCAAATCTAAATGATAAGAACACGTCACGTGCTTTACAAAAAGAGGCTCCCCTCTTATCCATCACTGCCACTATCAAATCTAAATAATAGGAACACGTTACGTGCTTTACAAAAACAGGTTCCCCTCTTATCCACCACTGCCACTATCAAATCTAAATAATAAGAACACGTTACGTGCTTCACAAAAAGAGGTTCCCCTCTTATCCATCACTGCCACTATCAAGTCTAAATAATAAGAACACGTCACGTGCTTTACAAAATCATTTACACTTCTTGCTAACGCGTTTGTGTTCTTTTTTGTAGACGTTGCGCACCGAAGAATTGTCTGCAATCCACAATTTACAGAAGCCCGATTTCGTGAGCAATCCTTCGAAATATTTTAGTGATGATTTTATGAACAGCAGAAAAAGTTCGCCGTCGAATATTGAAAATTTACCTCATACTTCTGAAAGTAAGCAAGTCATGTAGTTTGTTTTCCTGATGCTTAGGGGCTGTTCGCATGAGCCCGGTAACTGGGATTCAGCGAAGCGCTAAATCATTTTGGCAAATGGAAAAGATTAAATGCTTCACAACAAAAAACTTATTTGACCAATTTATATATGCTCTGACTTTGTAAATTTATAAAACCTTTAAAATGAAAACAAATAATTCAGCCTGATTCGAAATTACACTTAAAATGACTTATGACGCTTGCAAGAAAAGGTTGTAAGTTTTGCGTTTGAAGTTTTCGCTCCTTTCAACGACTCGAAATCATTTCACCTGAATCCCGGTTACCGCGGGCTCATGTGAACAGCCCCTTATCTTTCATCTTAATACACGAGAGTCACTGCGTGATCAGTTAATTAGGTTGGATCATGTGGTCATCACCAAGACACAATATAGGTTATTACAAAGTATAAAATTCATCATTCGAAAAGGGACATCTTGTAAACTCAAATTTACGTTATAAAACAAGACGATTTAAACTGTAATATTTCGGTTTTGTTTCAAAATCATTTTCAAACACAATGATGTATATTTACAAGCTGGCAGTAGTTTTATAAGTACAGTGAAGTGTTGGCTTTATTATGAGGAACTTTTATTGGCAATGTTCAATTGTTAATTAGTAATAATTACCATTAGATAAGACAGAGTAAGTGTTAGCTACATTATGAGGATTTTTATTGGCAATGTTCAATTGTTAATTAGTAATAATTACCATTAGATAAAAGTTGTTCTATTAGTGGCAACGAGTTAAGAGAAGAGTTTTAAACACTTGTTAGCTTTTACATCTGATGTTTTTATCAAGAAGCTTTTAAATTTTGTCTCTTGTCAATATAACTCAAATCTTGAGTTATCGAGATGGTTTTTTTTTACTGTGTTTTATCGTTTATTTCTTCAAATTTTCGACTGGAAAAAGGGAACATTTACTCGTGCATCTTCATGGAATTCGTTTAAATTTTATTAAAATTTGCAATAAACCTCGAAATACTATTTATCCAATTTCTCAAACCTAAACTTAACTCAGACGCAAAAAATTAAATGGTAAAGTAAATGATGTTTTTTGAAGTATATTTTATCATTTATACGTTCACTTGTTTTATAAAAGTGAATTGTGCTATGGTGGAGACTTATCATTTCTTGAAAACTGTCTTTTTCTTTAGCCATCAGTATGCGTTACGACGAGAAAAACCTTTTCCCGAAATACATTCTTGACATGGACATGAAGATGAAAGCATTGCATGCCATCGAAACGCACAGATCACGTGCGAATACGCGTGCTGCTGGCAGCAGTCGCTCGAAGATATCGACGGCAGCCCACAATTTGCTTGGTAAAAATCAACCTTTAAGAAAACATGCACAAAGATGGAAACTTTCCACGCAACATGAACGTTTGGATGCAAAAAAGCCCAATGTTTAAAATTCCATCTATCATGGTGTCCTTTCTGTTGTTCTCTCCTTTGGCCTACACCACTGACCGCCTAGATGAAGCTATTCCACGCGAGACGCGATACACGCAATTTAGGCTAGCTGGTGCTTAGTAATATACCTAATGTGAATCATGTCGGGAGCGAAATCCTGGATTTCCACCAGGGAGGGCTGCGTTTTTTGTACTATACGATCGATACTCACTATACGATAACATTTTCATTAACAAGCAATGATTACCAAGGAATTATACTAACTCAGGAGGGTGTTTGAACCCCTGCACTCCCTGTTGAACCCCCCAGCTTTCCTTTACTGCATCACAGCAACACAGATGTTCACTTCATTGGAGACTCTTCTCGGAACTGGTGTTTCCACTTTGTTATTCCTTAGAGTCTGAGCTTGTAATTTACTTGTGTTTGATGAATTGGGAGTATTCACCCATCCAAGTTTTCACTCAACACATTTGATTTTAAAATATTTATTTAGGGCAGTGATTGTTGCATTATTTGAACAAGTGATTGCATTGTTTGCATATCATCATCAGTGAACTCCATATATATATATATCTGGAATGATAACTACAATACATTTTATAGATATAAAATTGAAGCCAAAGTCCTAGTCTCTTGCGCGGTTTGTACGTCAGTTCCAGTCCTTCAAAGTCGAACATTCACGCGGTTTGTACGTCAGTTTCATTCCCCTGAGTGCCAAACATACACGGCCAATATAAATTTGAATACAAATTGCAAAAGCATAAACATATAAACAAAATCACGACAAACAACACACTAGGCCAACTCCTCGCAAAAGGTTATTTTTTACAGCTAAAACTTTACTACAGTGAGTTCGTTGTAACTTACAACTTGTAACGAGGAAAAGCCAACTGAAAATTACACTTTATGCTAAAAACGCAATACAATAAGAAAGTATGACGAGAAAATATTCAAGAATAAATTTTTCTTTCGTCGGAAGGTAAATTTTCAAACGGTGTCAGACAGTGTTTGTCTTTTTGGTCGTTTCAATGGATTTAAAGATCTGTTTTTCCGAAGATAAAAGAAACTTGAATATCCAGGTTCATAAAAAATATTGAGTCTATAACTCGCATTTTACTTTTTACAGAGCGATTGTATCTTTCATCGATTTTGATAGTGCTTGAAATACTAAATGGTTGTCATCTCGATATCAGTAATTGAATATCCTTAAAGACTTTGATATGTTTTAAAGGAAAACCGCAGCGTAAAAGCAGATCGACTAAGTTCACCTCACCCTGCTTCTCGATTTATCACTTTGATTCACTTTCCGTGAACCTTTTCATTCCAAAATTTCGTTATTTTACGCTCTGATCAAGATCCGAACTCTACCATTACCAAGGGACAAATGATTTAAAAAAATTAAAATGAACACGCGAGAGACTAGAGCCTGACGTGTGATGACGAATGATGACGACAAATATTTTTTTGGCTTCAATTTTTGGCTTCGGTTATCATTCCAGTTATTCAAATGTCGAGTTCACTGATCATCATACGGTGTGTTTGTTAAAAGCAGGTTTTTTATCTTTGACATGTCGACACTGAATCTAGTTCAATTCCTGTAAACTGACAATGCAAACTGACAATGCAAAAACTGACAATGCAAACTGACAATGCAAAAACATAGAATATAGCTTACTTTTCAATGAAAATATGTTAAATATCTTGTTCGTGCGAATGACCGCATACCCAAGTATTGCGGGCGTTGCATTCCATTCACAAAATTAGGCTTAGATAATAAATATTTTGACTGAGGTTTGTGATTGTTGCGTATATTCCTTTCAAAGTTTGTTCACAACCTTGAACGTCGATATTAAACTGAAAAAAGAGGTGCCAGGTAAGCTAGATTTGTTGTTCGTCTCCATTCAAGTTTTTTTTTGTTAATCTCAATACAACATTTTCAAAGTATTGCTGTGTTGTATTTTTCAAGCTATTTGTAAATGCCAATTAGTGACACCGTCCCTTTTGGTCTTACGAAATCAGAAGTTTCCCTCCGAAATTTGGCTTTGCTAGTATTCTTTTTAGTATGTTGTCGTAATTTTTCGTCGTTGTTTGTAGTACTTAGTCGATCACTTGAGTTAACTTATGGCGAATGTTTACATTGTCTGTAAATAGTTCGTAAATCGTAATTGTCAGAAGAAAAGAAGCTGCTTTAAATTCTGTCTTCCATTGATTTGAGGACATTATTGAGCAATTGAATGAATGCAAACGTTATTGTGTCATGTTTTGAATGACTTAGGTTGCCATTCACGTATTTCTCGTTGTAGCTTTATTTTATTTAACGTCAACTTATGTCTAAGATCTGTGTCGAGTGCATTTATTCAATTTATCAATTCGTTTTTCAGATCGAATCTCTGGCTGTTAGTCTACAATATAAAGATGATGAAGTATTTCTTGTCTATCTTGGTCATTTTTTTGGGCATTCATAAAGGTGTGTTGTAGTGAAGTACATTGGAACATTGAAGTGTTGTTTTTGACCAATCGCAGATGATTTGAAACCCGTTTAAAAACTTGCCACCCAAGGGGGCCTAAGCAATGTCAATGACTTCACAGACATCAAGTAACTTTAGCAATCCTCTGTTCTTTTATAATGGTATGAAAAAATGATATTCCCAAAGTCCCAAAGCTTGATGCTTTTTAGCATCAAGTGCAAATTAAAGACTATTTTAAGTTCACATAGATTCCTAAAGATCAAATGTGTAGGAATTGGTGTTTTAGTTACCCTTTTGATAATAGTGTTGTCTCATTCTTTGCTCATTATTCTTTGTTGGATTTCATGTGTTTTGTAAATTGTTAGTGGACTATAATTTAAGACATGCAATTGACTGCTTCCCGGCCCCCCATCCCCCAAGTGTTAATTCTTGCATACCTCCATTAAACGGCTACAAAGCCGATTCCTATGGGTGGTCGCTTAGTATAAGTTTAACTCTGTGTAGCACATTGTGTGACAATCTCAGATCTCAATCGATGCATTTAGAAATAAGCTCTGTGACTGCTGTCTTGAAAATTTTTTCATCATTATAACTTGAGAAATCTTAGTATGGCATGCATGAACTGTGTTATAATATAAGTCTTATTTGATTTTATAGTTGTTTCCATCAAGTGCTACATTTGTGTGAACGACAATATAGAAAATTGCTATAAAACCAATCAAACATGCGACAGTAGCTTCGACAAGTGCTTCAGTATGCAAAAAATAGACGATAGAGGTGGAAAATGGTACACTAAACTGTGTGCGGATGAATGGTATTGTGAGAGGAACGAGGGGGCATGCAGTGACTTGGATGGACCAGAGTATGCTTACTTGGATTGTAATGTGGGCTGTTGTACGGACAACTATTGTAATGATGTGCAAGGTGTTCGTCTAAGCCCGCTAGTAATCACATTAACCACGATCTTCACCGTTGTCGCATCTTTGTATCAATGGTAAATGGACAACGTCGAATGTTTTTGACATTGCAATCATGGGAGGACTCCGCATAATTTCTCTTTCCATATTAGTGCTTTGCTTTTTCATAAAATGTGGATTGTACACAGCATTCATTTCTTACTAAAAACGCAAGTTGAACATTTTTAGGTTTTTGCTATGTAGCTGCATGAGTGTAACGCGTAAAATCTGTAGTACATTGGTAGTCGTCATATGATGGGAAATTCATTATTATTATTATATCTGTATAATTTATGTGGAAATGACTAGTGGGTAATTTATGTAAATAAAACATTTTTTACTATAATTGTGTGTTTGGCTGGCGACATTCTGATTTAAACATTCGTCTTTTGGACATATGCTCAAAGCTGACGTATTCATACCTAGATTCAAACAAAACTTTTATCTTAAAGTGGATGGTTTGAACCTGAGAGTATCGTTTAGGTGCTTTTAGATGTAGACAGTAGACTGTTCAGGTTCGCGCAGTCCTGGGGCCGGTTGCACGAAGCCTGGATAGCGTTATCCATTAGATAGATAGATAGCAAGTTTTTTAAACTTTATGAAAAATTTTAAAAAGCAAAAAGTATAAGATTCGAACTGAACTATCACTGAAATAAAATATTGTTTCGAAGATTACGAAATTTCCTTGTCGTAAGAAAAATATAAACACATTTTTTGCAAGTTTGAACATATTTGCTATCCAATGGATAATGTCATTCAGGCGTCGTGCTACCGGCCCCTGAGAAGGACTGTTTGTGTTGGTGTTGACAGACGTTTTGACTACCTTAGCGGTAGTCGTCTTCTTAGTCAGACGCAACCAGCAGACCTGACGTTTACTTGACTCTATAAAGATCACTACCGCTAAGGATGCGGGTCAGTGCAGTCTACACTAACTCCCACCTCCTGTACTGACGTAGACGTTCAACATCTACAAACATGCAAACTTTTATCATGTCTAAGGGATGCTTCGTCGCCTGCGTTTTTGCTCGCCAGATCTATAGGAAAAATGTAAGCGGAATTGTATGGTTCTCAGTTAAATTATATTTTCTGGTTACTCTTATTTGCAAAATAAGAACTCGATGGTTTAATCAATTTCAATCGTGAAATTTTATTAAATATAGTCACTCTTTCTAATGCAGTTAATCCGCCATATTTATTTTTATTGCTTTCGTCTTTTGAAATTTCGCAATAATGAATCCAATTAAAATCGTTATGACAGTCGGCTGGCGTAATTTCCAGCGAACAATTGTACTTTTGCGTGCCACAAAATATACAAACATATCGGAGTCGTTATGGAGCGCATAAAACGTACGGAGCCAAATTTTGTTGAAAAAAGAATACTTGCGGGCGCACAGGGCAAGAGAAACAGTCTAACACTAAAGTACGAACGGCTTAACCGTGAAGAAAGCCTTTATTTCCTCAAACAATTTCATCAAACGGCAACTTTTGAGTCGGCAGAGTAAGCTTCATCAATTACAAGCAAACTTCAACAAAGGGGCTAGCCACGACTCTCGGCCAGCTGTTGAAAGTCGCATTAGTTTCCATGTTTGGTCGGCAATACAAATAAAAGTGGTTTGTTCAGGTGTTCCAGTAATTCAACATCGTCTTCGTCGCGAAGTGTTTTGAGAACGCCAGAGAAAAAACCGAAGAGAGTCGAGAGTAATTCAACTGTCAAAGATGGTACATATGAATTTGCAAAGAAAAGTTTTTCTACCATGGAAAGCAATGTGGTTGCTACCACCAGGCGTGCAACTGCTGTAGGCCGAAATTGTTCCTTTGGTGAAAAGGCTGGCGCGGTCGAAAATGATTTCGATAAAAGAAAGCAACCACCATTGTCGAAAGAAGTAGTCTTTCAAGTCAAAAATAATTCTCCTGCCAAGATGAGAAAAAGTAGATCTGCTAGAACTAGATCTAATGAAATAATTTCAGTAGAAAATAGAGGAAAGGAAGTAAGTTGTAGAAAATTAGACTCTAGTGATTTGATTGAAGTGTTAGGTCAATTAATTAACCATCAATGTTGCATTCTCTAGCAGAAGAAAAATGAAATCCGAAAAGAATTTGTTTTCAAATCGTACGTTTCGAATTCATCCACCACTATCAAGAGAAACGATTCGGATCCATCATCAAACATCGACCAGAAACCTGATTCAAAACGTTTTCAAGGAAATGCAGAAATGAGCTCTAATGTACGAGAACATTCAACAGACTTAGAACGTCAACGCAGCACGCAAGATACTGATTCTACTGATTCAACATTAAAAGTCAACGATCTTTCGTGTAAGACTGCCGACAAAAGTGTCTTTGATGTTTCTCCTTTGTTAAACGCAACCTCTGTTCCAAATGGATTAGAATCATTAGATGCATATCCGGGAACGAAAACAAAAATTGTTGAAGAGGACGTTTCGCCTTTCGGTGATACGGAAAATGTGGTGATAGAGCATTCAAGACCTTCCATACCCGTTCGTGTTGCCACAAAAATATCCAAAGACAATCTCGGCACACCTATAGTGATCCACAGTAATACTCGACAAAGTAAAGATCCCCCGTCGGACCATGCAATACCTAATGCTCCCTCCTTGATATCGCGACGACCGTCGTGGATTGGGACCGACGATATGCCAGCACTGGGTCATATTCGTCGCGGAAGTTTTTGCGATGTGAAAACCTTTACATCAGGAAAAGTTCTCCATTTGCTTTCGAGCTGTAGGTTGCCAAGTATGGAAAAGAAAAGCTTCAAGCAATTTTTGAATGTCGAAGATGAAAACTTGAAATACTGTCGGTATTTAAGGTCGGCGAGTCCGAAAGGCGAAGTGGATGAAGACAAAAATGAAAATTTATCTTTGAGTGTTCCGCTCAAGTATCGACCGTCGAGAAAGATTATTGTGGGGCATACTAAAGTAACTTTTCATAATTGTTTCCGCCCGTTCTGAAGACTCACGAAACTTTTAAAATTCTTCTTCAATTCCTGACTCGAGGCTTTCACGGATGAAAAGCCAAAATGATTGCGATTACTTATATGGCAGCAGTATTGGATTATTTTTATTGAATTTTAGTCGTAAAATACGTGTTTGGCTGGTTTTTAATGGATCAATAAAAATAGGCTCTTCTAAGGCAGCCATATTTGCATTTTTAACTTTTTGCTTGGTCTTCATGGTGTCAGTTTGTGTCAGTCTCGTCGACAAAAGCAATTCTAAATATATTTTTGTTCGACAAAAACAAAAAAACGTTTTTGCGTTTCAAAATTCGTTTTTTTTTTAATTTAGATAATCAAAAAGATAAAAATTGAACAGGCCGCTTCGTTTTTCATTTTTTGTAAAGCTGGAAAAACGACTGGCCTTTAATAAAATTATCTTGTGTTCTGCTTTGCTATAGAGAATATTTTATGAATTACGAAATTCCAAAGTAAGACAATCTTTTTGTTTTTTTCAACCTGGAAAAACGAATGGCCGTTTGGTACACGCATTAAAATGGTCCACCAAATTCAAAATCGAGGGAAGGGTAGAACAAACAAAAGATTGTGAAGATGACTAAATTGCGTAAAGGAAGATAAAAATGACAAGACACTTGCATCAAATCAAACACGATTTATTCTTAAGAAGTCAGTGTTGGAGTACAGGTGAACAAGTCAATTTCTCATCAAGGTGATAATATTTTACATCTCTCTACTATTTACTGACTTCGTCATATTTTCTTCCAAGTTCTACCAATGTTTTTTTCGAGAGTTCTTCTAAAGAGCTCGGAGCTTCGTGCACGCAACGAAATACCTTTTTCACTCCTCGATTCCAGAATTCTTGAAAATCGTACGACGTCTAGAAGCAAGGAGATATAGAAAGTACGACGTTTTCGTAATACAAAATATGACGAGTAAAAAATTTTTTTCAACTTGTCGTACGTGCATGAACCTTATTTTCACACAAGATTGCAATAAGTTGATCTCTAACTCGAAACACTGTAAACACAACATTCATATCATTGATATGACTCACCTGACCATTGGTAAACATCGCTTTGGTTATTGATTCATCGCTTTCACTTAACAGGTCTCGTTTTGCGTAAAAATTTTCTATATGATTAGGCATTGGAGGCCCGTGCGTGGCTCTCAGTGTTACATAAACTAAACTACCAGCCACGGCACTTTTAAGCACGAATTTTACCATCTTGGCCGCCATATTTGTTGACAGTTTGTTTGTTTTCGATTTTCCTTGTTGGAAGGAATTGTCACATTCATTTTCCTCATTTTCAGTCTAATCTTATACGTAATTTCTTTTTCATTTTCAATATTTTGTGGAAAAAATAAAGTACAAATAAGTTGAAATTTCTTAAGGTAGCGCTTTCAAAAGTATAAGGTCAATTGGCGCATTTTCCAACTTTTTATAACTTTTCTACTTTTACCATTTGTATAACATTCAAATTTATTTTAGTGCCAGTCTTCTCTCTCAACTCTTATGCAATCTCCTATTTTCTATTTGTTTACAAGCAATTTATAACTCCACATCATTTTAGGTCAAGACTGAATTATGAAATAGTATTTTTTAAAAAATTATTTTTATTAGAAACACAAATGCCATATTGCGATCATGAGCAATACATGCAAAAAAACGCAGAGCATGCCTCGTTCATGATTTAAAAGAATTTTAAGATGCCTGAACCGGTAAAAATTATCGAATGGGAGCATTTGGACAAAGGAAATTTTATGTCTTCGGTCCAACTTTGTTTTGCGGTATTCGTGCACTTTATATCCGGCGAATTTGGTGAAAACAAGACTTCAAGTGCAAAAGAAACGTGGCATGTACAAGGGAACATTTGATGCTTTCAGGAACATACAGAAGCTAGAAGGAATTCGTGGTTTTTACAAAGGATTTTTGGTGAGTAATTTTTCCGTCCTATCCGGACAATGCTACATCACTACCTATGAGTTAGTTCGTCAAAGGACATCTAAATACAACGTGGCTATTCGTGGGTTTCTTTCGGGTGGATGTGCATCGGTTGTTGGTCAAACTATAACTGTGCCTGTTGATATCATATCTCAGAAACTCATGGTGCAAGGCCAAGGTCAGTGTAGTAAAAGTATCAAATTAAAAGGTGCCGGAGTCATAATTAAAGAAATACTTGAGACCTCTGGACCTAAGGGGTTTTACAAGGGATTTGGAATATCATTAATGACTTATGGACCAACAAGTGGTCTATGGTGGGCTGCTTACTCTTCTTACCTTAGCATTTGGGGCAATTTGGTTCCTGAAGGAACGCCGTCCATAGTGGTTCAAGGGGTTTCTGGACCACTGGCTGGATTAACAGCTGCCATGGCGACCAATCCTCTTGACGTTATCCGAACTAGACTACAGGTATTACCTTATTGTGTGTCACTTATCAAAGATCTATTTTTGTTGATTGCATTTTACCTGTTTGTTATATGCCATAAAGTAAATGGTTTGAAGCCGGGAGTATCGTTACATGTTTGTAAATGTAGATCGTCCAGGTTGGTATAGTTCTGAGAAGGACTGTTTTTGTTGTTATTGACTGACATTTTGACAACCTTAGTGGTAGTCATCTTCAGAGCCAAAAGTCAGAGTCACATTTTGACACGATACTCCGGTTCAAACCATTTACTTTATGCTATATGCCATCTTAAGGATAATCTTTTTTGGTAGGTGCACGGAGGAAGTTCTGTTGTGACCGTCATAAGAGAATTAATTAGAGAAGAGGGTGTTACTGGCTTTAGCAAAGGCATGACTGCACGAATCGCAGCAATGATGCCATCAAGTTTATTAATCACACTAGGCTATGAAACACTCAAGAAATTGAGCTTAAGAAGAGACCTTGTTGAATCAGGAGATTTCGTAATCAAATAATTTTGCTACTTTGTATGACAACAGTCAATAATAGTTTTACCTAAAATTTTAAATATACAATTATCCCAGAATTGCCATAATATCCCAGAATGCCCCAAAACTGCATTTTGTAATAAATATGGTGTGTAAGTAACAGTGATTGTTACAAATAAATTACCACTGCCGCCTTCTAATGGCCAATCACGCGGCATTTTTTACGCGGATGTTGTTAATAAGTGACATTGTTTCCTTGTAATGACCTTCGTAGCGAAATTTTGCCAGCTACTACCATTGACATAGCCAGCATTTCAAACCCCCATTATCGTTATTCATGTCTCTTTGGAAATCTCCGTTTATGTGGCGAGTGAACACGAAAAAAAGGCCTAGCTGGACAAAACTTGCGGGCTTGTTACGTCACTGGCTACGTCACTGGCTACTTGTACCGGTTAGCTTCCGTTTGAGACACTTACCGACAGTTCCACACGTCAACTTGTGCTTACTTTTAGTAATTTTTTTTAGCACATAAAAATGCGGCTAAAACCCATTGAATTTAAGCATTTAAGCATGCTAAATCCTTGTGTTTTCCCGATGTTTGACTATATCAATAGATCTGTTTACACCAGCGATATTAATATACTAAACGATGACGTTTTATTGAGTAAGTCATTAGTGCCGAGAATCAACAGCACAAGAGAGCAATCGCACCCCCAGCTTTGACAATTTGAAGTCGTGTTTGTTGTCGAAAGGGCATTTTTTTAAAATTTACGTTTTGCTAATTGTTTGCAAACAATGTTTGGTCCGTCGTTTCCAGCTCGCTTTGGAGTGTCAGAAGGTAGCGCAGAGTTCGAAGAGGTTAAAAGATTTCTCCTCGCAGAGAATCGAGGAGAAAAGTGCGATGCGCATCATATTGAAGAGTCGCAAGATAAAGTTTCAGAATTCCTCGCTGGAGAAATCACAACCAATACCAGTCGTAAAGATGCACCTCCGCCTTTTCTCTCCAGGAACAGGGCAAACTCGTTGCCCTGTAAGTCTATTACGTGGTCAAGTAAGAAGGATCGCGAGCGCTCGGAGTCGGACGTGAGTACTGTTTTGTCGGTTGGTAAAACAAGAAGAAAAACATGAAATCGATGATGGAGAAAGCTGGTGCACGAAAGTCAAGGGCACAAACCTTTCCATGTATTTTATCAAATGAGATGTTTTGTGAAAAGAATGATGAAAAGATTGTTTCAAAACGTTCGTCGCCAATTGTTGGACATTCATTAGAATACAAAAGAGTGAATGTTCCAATGAATGGCCTTCGCGACTCCACTTATCAACCAGCAAGAACGGGAAATATTCTTATTGACAACGTTCCAATGGCTGATGATATGAAATTATTAAAGGTATGAGATTATTGTAACGAGGATTATTAAGTCATCCGGGGGGCGTCACCAGGTTGTTCAGACTGGGCTGGGGGGGGACGATACAAGTGTTAAAGGTACGAGACCTCAATGGGAATTCGGAGGTATGCCCTCCATTGAAAAATTTTTTTGCAGGTTCTCCAAAACAAGTGCTAAAGGTGCGAGATATCAATTAGAGGACATTTCCCCTGAAAAAAATTTCTTTAGGTTATCTAAAAGCTCCTTCTCTCTAGTGTAAGAAGGGCAGCTTTCTGTTCAGATGTGTCAACCGGTATATTCAACTATATCTTAACCACATGGATGCTAGATCATCATACTTATGAAATCATGATGAAATACTCTTACAAAGCATTTGAAAGCATTTCTGAATATTTTCCACGTCCATCTTACGTGGCTACGATTGTCGTCAAATTTTTAAGTTAAAATTACAACACTGTTTCTCAAACTGTTCGTAGAGACGAGAGTCCATGCCCACAGGATCTCTGACTACCTCAGTCAAACCATTCTCGAAGTGCTGGTCTCAACGCAGATCGAGTTTGCCGACGTCAGAAATGGATAAACTTCCTAAAATTTTCCCGACAATGACGTGGAAACATCCCGTTGACGTGGAGCGCGAAAAACATGAAAGAAACGATGTGGGAAAGGATGTTAGCTTAGAGCACGTGTTACGAGCGTGGAATGCAAGACTGCCCGCGAAGATCGTCAAAGACCTGAAACGAGAGCTGATAGATGAATGGCGCTATAAGCATAAGAAATAGCCTCGTTTTCATTCCGTGAGATGAAAATACGTTTTATGCACACAGAAGTATGGATGACCATTCTATTTTTGAAAAAACTGCAAATAAGCTTTCCACGAATTACACAATTAAAAATCACATCATGTATGATTTTTGACCTTTACGCGCTTTGATCATTTGTCATCACCAGGTGCATAGCATACGGAGTGTCTGGGGAGGGGGCAGTGTTACAACCCAGCTTTAGGGAAGTGGTCGGCGAAACGCAACATTGGTCGGTATTGATAAGATTTTCGTATCATTTTTCAACTAACAAACCGCTTTTCAACAATAATCAATGTTGGCTCATTGTCCTGAAACAAATTTTGCATGAAACCAATTCATGCAGCATGATACAACACAAACTCGTGTAGGTCGGTAAAATTTGCGCTTTGCACCCTCCCTCCCCATAGACTCAAAATGTTATGCTACGCCCATGGTCATTACATTACTATGAAGACTTTCTACTGCTATAAAACATATTGCCTTTAACTTAGTATATTTTGTGTATCATACACGACATTCACAACAACTTTTCCTGATCAATCGTCCTCCAGTATAGTAAATTAGTTCAAATTTAACCATGATATTTTTAAACATCTTCAGTTAAAACATCTTAATGGCACTCAATGGTTTGGTCAAAAATCTATCAGTAATTCACTATGTTTTGCTTTACATGTACTGTTTTGGACTCGACTATTCTTGTTGTAAAAATGGATTCGCGATAGCTTCCATACCATCCACAGGACACACAAGAACTACAGATGTGCCACGACATACAACTAATCCTAGGGGTCTGGTATTGTCTGATAACTTAAACGGATCATCGGGATCTGGAGTTGAAACAAAGAAAGATAACAACCTCTGCAGTGGTTCGAAAACAAATATGGATATTTCAATTTCACCTCTAAGATACTCTGTAGTTCCATCCAACACAAGATTTAGTAATGGATCAAATCCTTTCAAAACACCAGTTGCTGCAAACAAAAGGAGGGAGTCTTTCAAAAAATGCATTCATAGCATATAGGAGGTTTATAAGACAGCAAAATTCATGTTTTTTTGTTGTTGCAAAAACTTCAAACGGTAATTTACCTTCACGACCACCTTGAAATTTCACCCTAACAGGCTTATCCAAGAATTTCGACAGATCAAAAATACTTTCTTTTTTCTTTTTATCACCTCCCTAGTTTAAATATTGAATGTTTTTAGCGAACTACTTCTCGCGGAGTCTCTGTGTAATATATTCAGCGAGAATATCACAATTCATAAACGTGCTTACCGTCGCCATGTTTGGTCGTAAAGTAGCGCATGCGCTTTGACGATGAACTTGGCAACCATGAGTAACCAAGAAGGCCATAGGATGAAGGCAACCATTGCCAACCAAACCAAACACCACCTAAGGTAGTGGCAAGTGGCTGTGGTGTCAGCGATCAAGGCGAAGTGTACGGGTATTGTATGGAGAAGTATGAATTTCAGAGGTCTATACATGAAAACATCAGAAAATTGAATGATAAACAGGTGGATTTTTCTGAAGTTGTTCAAGAAAAATGGCTGGAAAAAGAAGTCGAACTGAATAAGATGCTCAAAATCATGTGTGTATTAAATTGAGTATTCATCATTCATTTTGAAACAATGTTATGCGCCAGTTATTTATGATTTTCACAATATTTTTCAGTCTTGCAAAGCGAAAGGAGCTTTTGAACAAACGCAAAGAAAACCTTTCAAGCAAAGAAAAGAAAGCCAATGATCTGTCTGAGGACTTTGAAACGGCAAAAATTAGAAACAGAAAGCTTATTGAAGTATGTTTATTGAAAAAGATTCAACATAATATTACACAACCACATTGGCAATGCTACACGTATATATTTGATAATTTATTTCTATACAACCAATACAACTAAATTGTTAAAAATTATTTAACTTTATTACAAAAACAATACAGAAGTTTTGACATTATGTTTCTCCAGGAAATCGAAACATTTGAAAGGAGTATTCGACATCAAGAAAAGAAAGCGAGAGATAACTCAACATTAGAAGATTTAAAGGTAAGTAGAACTTGTTATTACAATAAAAAGATATCAATATAATTGATTGAAAATCTTTAATTTATAAATCTATATGTTATCAGCACTATTCACTTATGAACAAAATAAGCGGCAAGTCCTTGCTGATGTCGATTAATTTTTGTTCAGGCAATGTTCTGGAAATGTTATGTTACAGCTGAACAATCGTACTTGCATCAACCAGTATAGTTTTTAATTGGTAACAATCTGGTAAATACAACTGGGTAACTTAAATTACATTACATTCATACTAATTCAAGTGTTTGAAACATTTTGTACATACAAAGTGAAACTACCTATGTTACAATGGTGATTTTAATTCATCATGAAGAAAGTTTTAAAGAAGTGTTCATTTTCTCTTCATAATATGCAGCAAGAGTCATCTTTAATGTCAATGCCATCAATGCTTGTGATTTTAATATAATTTTCAGTGTTTTTATTGCAAGGACTAAGGTAAAAGTAGGGATGTATCTCCCATCCGCAAGGATTTTCAAAACACAACAAATCAGGTTGTCTGGCACCATTTGGCCAAATAGAAAGTTTCTTAGCAGCACAGTCCAACTTCACATGCATGGTTCCTGCTTTTTGAGAATCGTACATCACACATGTGCCTTGACCAAACAAACCGATGCTTATGCCAACTCCAAAACCATTAGGGAAGCCAGAAACAGAGAAAATCCACGAATGCTTTCCATTTTTAATACCAGGTTTGCCAACAATAGCAGAGCTTGTGGTGGAAGTGGAACGCACAGTGAAGTCATTATCAAAAAATTTTAGATCAGCATTGTGCTGCACTCTTTTGGGGCCTAGTTTCCATTTGATATTTCTGGTTGCTTGCTCTTGTTCCGTAACAGGTTCACTTTGCGCTCGTGCAAAAGCTGGTCTGCGAAAATCATGGGTAAATCGTTGCTGCTGTTGTAATGTAGGCCTTTCAGCTTGAGGTGCTCTTTCCTCTACCCTTTCTGCTTGAGGCGCTCTCTCCTCAGCCTCCTTGTACTCATTTGCACCATCTCCAACCAATGAAATCTCACCAAAATTTGCAATGACATCAGCCAGTAACAGGTTGTTTGCATTAAAATATAGTGAACTGAGGTTGAAATGGGACACCAAATGTTCAGGCAGTGTATCTTCCATAAACAGTTGCTAAAAGATATTTTGTTATTTAGTTATTTGATTATAGTTTGTGATACGCAGATGACATAGAAACATTGTATTTTATTTTTACTCAATTTATCACTATACCTTATTCTTGAGCCTATTATATTCCTGTAGAAATTGCGTTGGATCATCAAGGCAGATCATGTTGTTACATACACCAATTTCACTTTCCATAGTGGCCTGCTTTATGGAAAGTCTATCTACTTCAAGTGTGAGGTCAGCAAGGTTCTTTTCATGGATATCAAAAGCTCTTTGTAGCATTGCTTCTTGTCTACTTTTTAGACTGTCAATGTGCATCTCGAAGGTATCAGTGATAACTTTTGTCACTTGAAGAAAGTCAGCTGTCTGTGCATCTCGTACTTCAGCAAGGGCCGAAGAATGTTTCATCACCCGAGATAACGAGTTGTTTTTCTTTAGTGCCCAATCTCTAACACTTAACCGACATTCCTCTACAACTGTTGTGATGTCATTATATGAATGTTGACCACAGGTACCCCAATGCGAAACACACTTATAGCAGATCAGCTTTGAGCAATCTCTGCAGAACAATTCACAGACACTCTCAGGATGCAAGGTGCAATATTTGGTGTTTGTATTTAAAGGTTCGGATTCTGACAATGAAGGTATTCTGTTTAATTCACCAAGAATATTATTGAGAGCAAAGTTAAGATTTAAGGTAGAAACATCACCATTAAGAACCTAAAGTAAAGGTAACAAAAATTATAGTTTAGTAGTTGCGACATAAAAGAAGCGAATTCCGAACGAAACAGCCATCTTGAAATTCAATTTTTGAGTTGAAACAAGAGACGTAAAATTGAGTGTTAATTTTTGACTATTTTATGGCACATTTAAAAATTTTTGGCTGGACATACTAGTTGCAATAGTACAACAAATAAATGGTGGAACTGTTCCATTGCAGTCTGCACTGGATTGAATATGAAGCTCTCAGCTTCAATTGTGGAAGCAAAGATGAAAACCACAGTTTGCACATATAGCTGTAGTGCGTACATACATGAAATTCCCGTCGACATTCAGGACATGTTATCATTTGCTGTTCATTAACGAGATCTTCAAGACATTTCGTACAAAAGGAGTGTACACACGGGAGAACTCTGGCTTCGACGAAGCTTTCCAGACATATTGAGCACATTGCAGCATCGGCAAGACCAGAAAGACCCGTCGCCATCATAGATAACTGTAGAAAATACGCAAAATAAGTAATTTGTAATGTTAATATGTTAATCTTTACCAGTGATTCTATCTGACAATCATTAAATAAATTAAATGTAGATATGATTCTTTCGTATAATCATTTAATAAGTGGATTTTCTAAAGAAATTTAAAATCATTTTACGTGAAGAAATAGTTTGCAGATTTAAAATTTCGTTTTGTCTGGTGTTTTTCTTACTTGTATTAGATGTTTTTAATTACTTTTTCCACTGTTTTCTTGCAAAATACTGACGCTTCTTGGAAAATATTTCACCATAAATTGCCTATTCTCAGGCTAATATGCGCACTGATGTAAAGGCTTGGGAACTAACTATGTGAATTTTTGGCATTTTGGCGTCGGTTTCGAAGTTTAGCTACGGAGTAAATGTATTTTCTTGGATGATTTTGAATCTGTTTGCATCTTGGTTGATAGGATTGTAGGAATAGCAAAATAGTTGTTTTTCCTGGAAAAATCAAGTAAGTTTGTGCACTTTATGTTTTATTTTATTTGTTTCTCCAAGCAAATTTACTATTCAGCTCTTTCTTTATTTGTGATTGTTGATGTTTTTGGAAGTGCTCGTCAATGCATTTGTGCAACTGTAAAATGCACCATGCAGTAATGTTTTGTTTGCAGTATTCATTTAATTTTTCGTTCAGTTACCAGGAACTGTATTTATGATTTCTACGCTTGCTGTACGAAACTTTTAAGACACGTTTCTTTTCATTTTCACTTTTCAGAATGAATCTTGTGCCAGGAAAAATTGTTCTCAAGAGCTCAACGTCAAAAACCCTTAGTCAGCGGTGGGTAATTTATTTTGATTATTGATTTGTGGGTAACTGTATTGGTCATATGATAAAGTAGCTTTATTTAAAATTGGACATTCTTCTCTTAGTTTTAGCGAAATTGCACAAAACAGAATTGAAAATGTTCGAAATAAGCAACGTTCCGAGAATGTTGCCAGCATCAAGAACAGACGTTTAGCTGCTCAAATGACAAAACGATTAGGTTCTATGGAATCAGTTGAAGGAGATGTTAAAAGCAGACTTACTATGCCTCTTGCAAATCGCCTTGGTTCGAAGAGGGGTGGAGGACAAGCTGGTGGCGGTGGTACATTTAAAACTAGAGGTCGAAGAGGTAGTGCTCGAGGTGGTAGTGTAACTCCTAGATCTCAAAGAGGAAGAGGTCGTCTTACATCTCGTGGTGGTAGAGCAACTCGTCTTACCGAGTAACAACCCGTCTTGGTGGAACAACACGTGGAGGCAAAACAGCTCGTGGAGGTAGGATGGCTCGAGGAGGTAGAGGTGGAATGACAGGCAGAGGTGGCGGGCAGACAACTCGTGGCCGTGGTAGATCCATTAGTCAGAGGGGAAAAGTTCGTGGACGAGGAAGAGGAAGAGGAAGGGGAAGAGGTGCTAATAAAAAACCGATAACAAAGGAACAATTAGACACTGAACTGGATACGTACATGTCAAAAACAAAGTCTGTTTTGAACTCACAGTTGGACGAGTACATGAAAGGCAGTGATTAGCATTCCAAATAGTTTTTATTTCATTTTGTAAATATGACTTTCTCTTGCCTGCAGCAAATTCAAGAAGAAGAATAGTGAAGAACGAATATTTTAACCCTATACTTCTAGTATTGCTATCAAATTATTTTTTAAATAGATAGTGCAATTTGTACAAGGCATTTTAGCCTCTCGGACATTAGTGCTTTTGTTATTGTCCTTCATATTACACAACGTACTTTGTCATTCGACTACATTTAATCACGAAGTAACCTCACTCCAATGGTTTAATTACAAAAAATATAAGGACTTGCAACTCGGTTTCATTCTCCCCCACCTGAAAATGCAAGACTAGGTGACGTCACCAAAATGACGTCATCTTTATCAACAAAATGGCGTCTGCCGGAGGAGTAAGAATTATTGAAAATGATACACGATTTAGTTCTCAACTCATGATGAATAGTGCTAAGGGAGTGCTAATGGTTGCGAATTTTAGAGCATCATGGTAGGACTGCTGGATTTTATACATCGCAGGGAATATTTTCAAATCATGATTCTTAATGGGGATGTTGCACGATCTTCAATTCATAGGTGTCCGCCATGCCAAGCTATCGCACCTAAGTTTCAAGAATTAAGTTTCAAGTATAATTCGGCTATCTTTTTGGAAGTTGATGTTGATGCTTGCAAGGTTTGGTACAAATAGAAATAATTTTAGTTTTTGGATCGATGTTAAAGTAATCCATTCAACAAAACTTTTTATTTACCGCGAATGTCGTTAGACTGTGCCTCAGAGCAGCACAGGAGGTCAGAAAGCGCTTCAAATCATTCGCATTTGACTTTCTTTCAGGCAACAAGCAATCGTTACAACGTCTCCGCCACCCCAACTTTCATTTTTTTTCGCTCTGGTATTAAACTGGACAGGTGTCAAGGAGGTGATGTGAAAGTTTTGGAAGAGAAAATTAAGAAATGGATCGGCGACTTTAAGGAAGTTGGTGGTGGATATGTAAGGCACACTTTTATTTATGAATGATTTTCAGCATGATATTGAGAATAATTCAGTCAAGAGTTAAGTTAAATTGTCAACAAATATATTTCATCTTTAAAAGTTCTAATTTGACAAGGACTACCCACTGAAGGACATAAGTGGTTTACACAAGAACCAAGCAGTTATCATTGTATAAATCTAGAATGTATTAAATAGACATATACTAAACTTTGGTAAGCTATGAATATATAAGATAAGGGCAACACATGAAAAAATGTTTGATCTTAGGTAAATATGGCCATGGCAACTGCAGTTGTTATTCAACATTTGTTCTTGTTAAAAATGTAATTATTTTTTGCTATCCTATATATGCACATGTTAAAACTTGATTATTATTAGCTACCCTATGTATCCACATGTTACAGCTCTGATCATTGTTGTTTCTCCCATATATCCACATGTTAAAAACTTGATTGTAGTTGGTTACCCTACATATCCACATGTTACAGCTCTGGTCATTCTTTTCCCCTATATATCCACATGTTACAGATCTTTACACTTCAATGATTGTTGTTAGAATTGTTATCCTACATTTTTTCATGTTACAGATGGTGCTTTCTCCATTAATAAATAAATCTCAATGCGAATGTCTTAATGAGAGTGATGATCATACTTTGAAGAACATTTTTGAAAAAGGAGAAAGTTCATACTTGGAAAGTGACTGTGATGAACAGGTTAGCACCATCCCACTCCTTGATAAAATCATAAAAACTACTGTAATGTAGGAATGGATTTAGGGTAGGGATGGTGGAGGGATGTGCAGCCCCATAGCCTTGGTTACAAGGGATGTAGAGGGGGTGCAAATTTCCTTACAAAATATTGATATATCTACCAATTAAGCTAACACAACTGTCAAACTAAACATTTTCCAGGGTCTCAAATCAAACCTAAAAAAATCTCAAATGTGAATGACATAACAACACCCATAAAGAAGCTGCCAAAATCTAATTCGAACTACATCTTATAAAAACTAGAGCACCCTCCCCTCCCCCCCAACAAAATCATCCTGGATCCATCATTGCTGTAATGAATAGGTTGACCCCCCTCTGCTTGATAGAAATGTGCTGTGATGAACTGGTTAGCACCGTCCTCATAGCTGATAGAGGATGGATAGAGCATGGATAGAGGATGATAGAAGATGATAGACAAATATTGTGTCATGTTCACATTTATTTACATTGTTGCGAGTTTTCTCGATGAAAATTGGTTCATAACAAAATACGTCTTGACTGACACATCCAGAAAGCAGCACGCTTTGTTTACCATTGACTGCCATTGTAAAGAATGTAAACAAAACACACTGCTTTCCATTGGTCTCAGTCAGTAAGTGACATTGTTTTCTTTCTAGATGCTAATATCAATATCATTCAATCTGCCTGTTAAACTTCACTCTTTACAACTTTTTGCACCAGATGATGGTAATTGAATTACTTCAAGAAGGAGATTCTAAAGATATTCAATGTAAGAACCTTATATAACCTTATTAGGAACTGCCCCAAAGACTGTAAAGATATTTATAAATCAGACAAGGACACTTGGTTTCGATGAGGCAGAGAAGACTGCGTTTGTTCAAGAGTTAAAGTATGCCATGTGTTTTTTACTTGTCATGTGTGGAATGCTCATCCTGATTTTGTTTCTTTTCTTCCAGTCTTACAGCTGAAGATGTTCTTGAAGATGCCCAAATTCCGTTGAAGTTTGTCAAATTTCAATATGTTCAATCCGTCACAGTAAGCTTTGTTGGTTTTGTAAACATTACAGCAAAATGCTTTGAGAAAATATTGCATAATCATTTAAAATTTTAAATACTTCTTTAAAGCTCTTTATCAAAGACAATCAGGGCGATCAAGATACAACAATTATTAACTCTTTGTCTTTCATTGGCACCACAGTTGAAGCTGCAAACATGAATGATTTCAAAAGGGTTAGTATTTTTAATTGTCACGTGACTTCTCGATGTCGCATGACTTTCATGTCAGTGAAAACGTCTTTTAATTGATGTTTTTTATTGATGGAAACAGTTGCCCTGTGCGCTTTAATACCATCCCAGTATTTTTATTGGTTCCTTTTCTTTTTTTGCAAAGGTTGCTGGGAAGGAAGGGGAAGTTCATGGTTGATTGCACATCTGTGCTTCTGCTTGCACCGAGTGGCAAAATTTAAGTATAGAGTTTAATCTGGCACGGGCAAAGTTCAACCATGTTACTGTTAACATTTCAGAACATAAATTGACGTTCCTGCGATTTTGTAATTTCGTAGTGGAGAATGTTTATGCTTTTGTTTGCGCATTCTTGAGCTGAGAAATATGGATAAGTGAACTATACATTGACCTTAGATGGTTGAAATCGAGATTGAAAGAACAGGAAATAACTTAAATAAATTTTCTTTAACTCAATGAGTTTTTTCAATAAACACTTCAAGGGTCACATACCGTCCGAACATATTAATTTTTAAAAGTTTTGAAATAATTTTACGAAAGAAAACGAAATTCATCCGAATCGGAATTAATGTAGGGAATAAGTTGATGTAAAATAAAAACGCATCTTAATCAGCTCAACATTACTGTGACGGCAAATTTCATGCTAATTTTTCGACGAGATTTTTCTATCACTTTCTAACATATCTCTCCCGACATTTTCTACATTCAACCGCTGAAACAAAATGTCAAACAGATCAACGACCCTGATTAACCACTCCAATATATCTTGTCTTCGGACTTTCTCCCTTGTGAACTTCTTGTTGATATTATTTCGTGCATATTTAAGGAAACAAAAAATTCTTTGCTTTGTTCGTGCATGTGTCCAGCATTGTCTTTGTCACGCAAACATTACACAAGTTGCTGTATCGGTGTTCAACATGGTCAAGAGGCTGCTCCATTTGATTCAAATCGATTTCGATTCGTATACGGTGGTAATATCAGCAAATATCTTTACTTATGTATTGTTATGCTTGAAAATCGTTTGTCAGGAAAAGTATTTGAGATATTTGAGGGTATAGTCAAGGCAGCTTCTTTATACAAAGAGGAGCGTATAGTATGCGTGTAGTATTTTCCTTTTACGACAATTGTAGATCGGTAAACCTTTTTTCCTTTTAGCTTTTAATTTTTTGACTTTATACTGACATAGCAATGTGTTTGCACAGGTTTGCTTGACGTTTGCACTTGTATGTTTCGAATATGGATCGGTCGTTTCGTTTTGTTTATATAATTGCAAATTTATAAATAGCTCTTTAAATGCTTGCTTTTCCTTTAGCTCTTTAATCGTGGCTCTCTCGAAGTGACGGAAAGTGATCAAAACTACGTGGATGGTCTTAAAGTTATGGCGATTATTTCTTAAGGACATTTTATATTGAATAGAGTAAGTGTTTGCTCTTTGTACTTGAATTTACAAATGGCTTAAAAACATGTCATCGGCCATTGGCTATGGTTTAGTATCGAAATGATTCTTAAGTTTAAGGCCTTCAGTTTCTGTTTAGTGTACAGCTTTGCTTCGTGTTGTATCCTACTGTATTGTGTAATATAAGCATTCCCATGCATTCGTAATACGTAACTAAATATGTCTTAATCCTCGTAGATGTTGTCATGTAGAAAGGCACGAAATTCAACATTGAAATGATGGATGGAATCTACATTCTATTGTGAATTTCATCATCTTCTAGAGTTTCGTTTCATATTCTCTTTGTATCGAATGTTAAATCACTCAATTTGACCCATTAATTTTCCCTTTTAGGTGGAGCTTCTCATTTATGTGGAAGTAATTATTGTCCTATTTAAAGCAATAGGAACATTGGCGCCAAATAGAAGTGAGTCGTTTTCACTTTGTTGTAATTATTGTGTATCCGTGCTTTTCATTATGCACTGTATGTGGTGAAGATCGCCAGCACGCTAGTTGTTTTGTCCGTAAAATTATCCCGACGATTCATGAATATCAAAACGGGTTTTACGTAATTCAACGGTGTTTCAGAAATGTTATCGTCGCATGTATGTCCACCAAAGTGACGAATTATGTATTCGTTTGCCGAAGATGCAGTTTCATGCCCTCTTACAACTAAAAGTTCTTAGTTTATTGTTGACGAAGAGAACTTTCCGCTGATTGCAAAAAAAGGCCACAAGGATCGCTTGCTAACTTTCCCATAACGCCTACACAAGTTATATTGAAGTGAGTTGACTTAAAAGGAACTATTGTTGATACTTTGATAGGAGTGTTTCTTTATTGAATCGATACGCAGTCTCGACTGTGTGAAAACGAAATCACTTCTCTCGAGAAAATACCATTTCATTTCTATTTGGAGAAAGAAAATTTGTCGTAGTACGCTGTTTTTTGTTGTTCGAAAATCAAAGTGAAATCAAATTGTTTTATATCATTTGCGTAAAAGCGAACTTGACCCGTTCACATGATTCGATTTAATGTGAATATTTCGTCTAGATGAAGTTAAAATGGATTTTGAAGTATTCACATTAAAAAATATGATCCACAGTTCTCTTTTTTAAGTGGATAAATTAAAGTAGTTAACCGGCATAAAATATTCATTACAGTTTCCTTGTTTCTTTGCCTACACTGACTTGTAGCTACAACTGGATGTTCGGATCTTCATAGAATTTCAGTCCGTAGTTTCTCACATATCGCGCGATATCAGAATCAAAAAAAGTTAGACGATTTAAAAATGTCCATAGAACTATCATTTCAGCAATAGTTTGCAAAATGTGTTAACGCCTATGTAGCTAAATTTTGGCATCGACTGGTTTTATCTAAAAGTAAAAACAATCAGAAAATTTTATCTCGAAAACCGGGAGAGCACTTTGTAGCTAAAAGCCTCGATTTTACATGCTTGCGCAAAGAAAATGTAAGGTTTGAAATTTAATTTAATTTAATGAGGTGAAAGTTTTAATTCTGCAGTGCCATGTACCAAAATTTTAGAAAATTTGATAAACATTAAGTTAACCGCGCAAGGTGTCAATATAATTTCAATTTTAAACCTTTCATTTTTTTCTGCGCAAGCGGTTAAAATTGAGGCTTTACAAACTTCTCTCCCGGTTTTCGAGGTATAATTTTTCCAATTGTTTTTGCTTTTAGACAAACCAGACGATGCCAACATACACAGACGTTGACACATTTTTGAGAAATTTTAAATAAATGATAGTTTTCTGGACATTTTTTAACTGTCCAACTTTTTTTGAGACACCCCGTAGTTTAACATTACTTATAATTTTATATAGCTCATGATGTGTAAAATGCCTTTTAGTTTCACATGTCTCACAGTAATGTTTAACATGCGTTGTAGTTTTACATGTCTCACAGTAATGTTTAACATGCGTTGTAGTTTTACATGTCTCACAGTAATGTTTAACATGCCTTATAGTTTTACATGTCTCACAGTAATGTTTAACATGCGTTGTAGTTTTACATGTCTCACAGTAATGTTTAACATGCGTTGTAGTTTTACATGTCTCACAGTAATGTTTAACATGCCTTATAGTTTTACATGTCTCACAGTAATGTTTAACATGTTTAACAGACATGTCTCATGGTGATGTGTAACATATCTCATGGTGATGTGTAACATGTCTCATGGTGATATGTAACATGTCTCATGGTGATGTGTAACATGTCTCATGGTAATGTGTAACATATCTCATGGTAATGTGTAACATGTCTCATGGTGATGTGTAACATGTCTCATGGTGATGTGTAACATGTCTCATGGTAATGTGTAACATATCTCATGGTGATGTGTAACATGTCTCATGGTAATGACACTTCCTTACAGAACTATGGGTCAACAAAGATCAAGAGCTGTGCACGACGACACAAACCCGGATGAAGAATCCTCGAATACCAATAATGGAGTGAATTCTATAGAAGCATTCACGTATGAGTCAGAGAAATGGGAAGCGAAGAGGAATAGTTCCGGCCGGTTCAAAGAAAATATTCCGCTTCTTGATATAGATTTTTCATCGAAGCGTTCTTCCCAGAGCTCCTCGAGTTCTGTCATGTCTGACGATAGCTTTCGAGATGATACATACAAACACATCTTGGACCCGCTGTACGAGAGGTCGGTGGATTATTTTAGCGATAAAGCCAGACACGGTGATGCTTTTGGTGCTTATTATGTTGGATTGGCGCACGAAAACGGTTTTGGTTTATGCGCTAAGGATCGCAAAGACGCGATAACGTGGTATCAGAAGTCCGCTGACCGAGGTTTTGTGTTGGGTGAGCATGCAGTCCTGCGTCTCTCTTGTGCGGAGGATGGGGCGGACCGAAAGGAAATACGGGTTGAGTCTCGTGCCAATCTCCTATTCCGTGCTGCACTTCAAGGTCATAGGCAGGCTGTCACCCGTCTCAGGTTGCTATGCAACAAAGACAAGGCAGCATTAGGGTTTTTGAAGAACAAACGAACTCAGATCGAACGCAAACTCGCTACGGAAAATGACGAAAGTGCCATAGCAGATTTACTGTGTAATCTCGCTTTTTTGACGTTATTCCTGGAACCGGTAAAGAATACCTACGATAAAGTCGTTGAAATGTTCACGCATGCTGCTGACATGTGTAACGACGACGCATCTTATTCCGTGGGTAGGCTCTATTTGAACGGAGTGGGGAAAATGCTTGTTCCAAATGAAAAACGTGCCATTAAGTATCTTACGATTGCCGCTGACCATGGTCATCTGATGGCTCAAATCGAACTTGGCAAGCGTTTTCTCATGAAATCGTCAGGGCTTGTAGGTAACGAGTCATACGAAGCAAAAGCTTATCGCTATTTTAAGGAGGCTGCTGACCAAGGTAGTGCTGAAGGATGGCTCAATATGGCCCATCAGTATTTGTACGCCGAGGTTATCGAAGCTGATATAAATAAGGCTGTCGAGTGTCTGGAACGCGCAGCAGTTACCGTCGACTACACGGATAATGGGCGGAGTAACAGTCGTGCTTTGTGCATTTTGGGAAGAATATACCGCAACGGTTTGAATGAGATCGAAATGGATCTAGCCAAAGCTATAGCCTATTTCACCGAATCAGCCAATAGAAAATTTCCCAATGCATGCTTGGAGTTGGGAAAATTGTACGTACGTGGCAAAGGCGTGACGAAAGACGAATCACGTGCTAGAGAACTTCTTGAGAGCGTGCACGTTTTCTCAGAAAGCCAGTATCAATTGGGTAAACTATACGAAACCTCCGGAGATACTGACACCGCTGGCCAGTATTACAGGCGTGCATTGAAAGGTTATTCGCGTGACGTTGCAAAACATCACGATTACACCATTGACTATATCGTATAGCGAAGATGCACGAAAGAGGCCGAGGTACCACGATGGATTTGACGAAGGCGAAAGCGTTTTACGAACGCACGTCGTCGTCTGCGAAGAAAACCTACATTTTATGGTGGAAAGGTTACGGTGAGAAGGCGAAAGTACGGTTGTCTACTCTCAAAGGAAAAGATCGTCACTCAACTGGCACATTATGAGGAATTGGTTTTCAACAATCAGCAAATGAAAAAGAATAAATGAAGATTACGAACATTCAGCATATAATTTTGCTTTCAATTGTATGATTTGTGTTATGTATAGCTAATTTAAATACAAAAATTTTAACACAGAATCAATTTTACTGTAATGTGTATTTACTCTTAACGAAACGCTGTGTTTCGTTGCTCTGTAGTTCCATCGTTATGTCTAAACTTCGACTGTCTCTCTTGTTCTTTTTTGCAGAGAATAAAACCGGTTATCACCTCGTCTGAAAACATTGAGAACAAGACAGCATTTATAGATAACCATATGTAGTTTATCTATAAAAAAGCAACAATAAAACGCGCGCTCTGATCGGTCTACAGCTGAGTTACAGATCTGACGTCAATCAATTAAATATATTGCAGAGAGCTTTGCTCATCAATTATCGACACATGTTAGAAGAAAAATTAAAACATTTTTTTGAAATTTATCTGTTTGGCTGTGCAATCATGAACATCGACAAATTCAATTCACCCGTTATTTCAAGTCCGGTCACAAGTCAATGTCATTCATTACCTTTGCGTAAATCCAGAGCTCTCTCCAGGAAAAACAATGTTTGTTTCCAGTGAGTTGTTGGACTGGATGGTTCCGTACTGAAAGTAATCTAAAAAAGATAGCACTTTGCTCGTTACAAAAAAGAGAATTATCAATTTCTAAAACTATACAGGTCAGAAAATGCGGTATTTAATATTTCTCAAGACGTGACAAAAGACTTTCCTATACGTAAGTGATGTGTGAAATTCACAAGGAAAACAAACAGTTTCGTTTTTGGGAGAATTTCAAGGTTTGAAAGAGTAACAACTTTCATTATTTCACGCACAGCATTGAATTAGGATCAGGCAAGCACAACTCAACAGTGATTTTAAACGTCTGCCACATGGAATCTCAAATGTAATATGAGGATTATTTTCACAAATCTTTCCACCTTATTTATGCAATCTTCCTCGAAGAAAATGTCAAAATATCCAACTATTATCTGGAAAAAATACATGAAATCCATTACATTACATTGTAATCGATCAAAACCATGCAGCGGAGTGTAATCAAGAATAAATAATTCCCAGAATTTTTCTACGCACATGCAAAGAACCATCGCGCAACGCTTTTAATTTGAAATCACTTTTGAAATCCAAATCTGCCACTTTCACCGCGTTCACATCGATCTCCTTGCAATAGAACGAATAAAAAGAATGTTAAGAATGTTCATTCATTTAATTAAGAACGAATAAAACATGTTTAGAAGTCTATAGATGGTCCTAAATTTATTGCGTATTGATTGTTGAACATTAATCTATGTACCTTTATTACACAGCTATCCGTTAACGTGGTACACGGATCGACGGCATCGATCACAGGTTCCCCAATTATTAAATTCTTCATACAACTCATCTTTACACCTGCAGTTAATTAATTAAATGAACTGTAGATGTTGATGCCGACGATTGCAAGATATTTAGACCTTCATAGTTCTTCATTACAAGTTTGTAAATGAAGATCGTCCAGGTTAATAGAGTCCTGAGAAGGACTGTTTTTCTCGTTGTTGACTGACGTTTTGACAGCTTTAGCGGTAGTCATCTTCAGAGTCAACAAAAACAAAAACAGTCCTTCTCAGGACTATACCAACCTGGACGATCTACATTTACAATCTTGTAACGATACTCCCGGGTTCAAACCGTTTACTTCATAGTTATTCAATGCAATTATTTTTACCGTATACATCATCCCAAAATCCTATTTTTTCTTTCATTCGCTTATCATCTTCCACACCAACTAAACTCATTGTACATCGGTCGGGATAAACTTTAAAGGTAAAACGTAAATATACTTTAGGACATCTTTTCATCCTACATTATTATATACCTTTCTGCCCATAACTACTCCATTTCCTTAGTCTGGTTTGAGTAGAACGATGTCCTAGTTGTTTTTAATGTTCTTCAAGATGCGGTGTTTTTTGAGATCAGATGGCGAAGGACGGTATGACGAGGTGTAACTTTGTGCGATGTGTTTGAGAACATTAAAAACAGCAAGAACATCATTCTACTCAAACCAGACTAAGGAAATGAGTAGTTATTATAGACAGAAAGGTACATAATAATGCATGCTTAAATAAAATTAACAAACATCTTTTCATCCCTTGCATGTTTTTTTACAAAGCATCGTTTAGATACCTTTACCACCATTCGTCAACCATTTGTCTCGGGCGAACAGAACAGTGTCCAACATCGATTCGAAGAGAAGGAAATATCCCTAAAAGTCAACAAGTACAGCAAAAGCTTTCACACAGGGTATAAATCGCAGTTGGTAAGGTTAGAAAAGTTGTCGAAGTTAAAAAACGCTACGAACCATCCATTCAGATATGATGACGTCAACCTTAAGGAAAAGCTTTTCATCAATTTCTTGTGTTCAAGACGCAAAGGCAAAGAAGATTTTTTCACACCTGTTTCAAATTTAAGTCGATGTCTTCCACTCGACCCCTCTTCAGTTCAATTATGTGATCAAGTTTATTTTCCCTACAGAGTTTTACACCGAGGAGCTTCAAAGTTTTCAAAGACACGGAATGAAGATGGCAAAGTAAATTTACAGTTTACCTAACAATGTCCATAGCATGATAGATTATTGAAGAATTGTCCACCGCGATGACGGTTTTCGCGCCAGCTTTGCAGCAAAATCGACAAAATCCCCGAACCGCAACCAACATCCAAAACAACCTTGTCTTCAAACAAATGCCGGTTCTCGAGCATAAAGTTTTTGTAACTCAACGTGCGAACGCTGTCCTATAACGAACAATTCACAGGAGATTGTAAAACGATGGACATTCCGTGGCCACATCATAATCCACGCACCTTCAGCATGTCTTCGTGAATTGAATAATGAGAGTAACTGCTGAAGTAGAAATCCTCACTGTCCTCGTTAACTTTTAGCTTGTTACGAACAAAGCTATAATATGAAAGCGACATGTTCATATCTGTTCACGAGTTTCAATACTCATGAATACCAAAAATTTTATCCACGTAAAAAGTTAATGTGCCAGAAAACAGAAGGTGAAACGTTTTGTAAAACTTACGCGGTTTCTTTGTCATTGCCAGCGACAAGATTCTGCATTCCTGCTCTGTAGAAAAGAGAACAAACTTTCAACAAAATGAGCCTTAACTACGTCGTTACACAATGGATGCCCGACCTCATTTGTTCCATATCTGCAAGTGCTTGTTGCAAAGCTGTTTCTGCCTTTCTAGCCCGCTGCATCGCGTTGTATAATCTGAACAGATTCAAAGATAAATTTTTAACTTGTGTGAGTACAAGTGAGTATTGATTCACAATCTCAATTTTCATTATTTTATAAAGATCAGTAACCTGTCATCTACTTCATCAACATCATCATCATGAAAACCATTGCAAACATTGCCATCAGTTTCGCTGTCTTCATCGGAATCATCAAAATCTAACGCGAGTCAAGGTAATTGGCATTTTTCTATTTCAAATTTTTCGTTACTTAAGTCTACTCTTTTTCATCAAAAAACACTGTCATTGTTTCAAATGTGTTTGTCCGAGCAGCATACCATATTGCAATAATGGATCATCTTCAATAAATGGATGAAGATACTTGTCATCATCCCATGGAAGGGGACCAGTTAGCCGAAGCACATCACCACATGCCATTTTCTATTGACATAAATAGTATGGTTCTTAATCCAGAATACAAGATAGATCAGTTATAAAGGATTACCCTAACTTAATATTCTTTCCTTTGGTACTACTGACCACGGCTTACCTTAGCTCTTAAATAATTCACCATTTTACGTAGCCATAAAATTCCAATCCTATATGTTAATTGATGGTGTTTTAACATCAAGATTTATATCTCTAGTCGCAATTGTAAGACACAAGTGTTTCACCTACTAAATTTTTTTTTGACTTTGTCAATGTTGAAATTGTGTGTGACTTTGCAGTGCTTCCATAGTTCATTTGCAGTTGGGAAAGTCTCACAACAAAATAAACAAACGACAGGTGAGCCATCAATTGTCTCCTCCTCTTCCCAATATTCTTCGTCACTTTCGTCTAAAGGAAAAGACAAAAAGAATTTAAATCATACTTTATGGTAGAAGTGGCATGGCCCGCTTGGAAATTTAGTGGTGGTATGCAAATTTCTGATTATTAGCATTATTTACTTCCTTGGAAATGTATTTTTCACAGTGATAGATGCAGAAATATTTACACATGACCAAACAATTTAACATGCAGGCAACAAGGCCACTTCATCAAATGCCTGTCAGAGGTAAAATTGGAATAAGGGGGTGGGCTATGAATCTTACTTTAGCAAATAATTTAGAGGGGGGCTGTAGCTTGGGCCACCAGTCCTCCCCCCCATGCCCCCACATAATCATACGATAAGATTCAAAAACAAAGTTATTAACAGTAGTTATTTATTGTTTATAGGTATTGGCTTTGAGAGAAAAGATGATTATCTTTACCTTCAATCATCTTTACCTTCAATAGTTACAAACACGTGCGACAATAGTTCTGTATCGCTTGAGTATTGAGTATTATGTTTACAAACGCTAACGCTTTGTTCCAAATTCAAAAGAACGCAAGTTGCGTTACGCAACCATTAAATGCATAATTTACGATTTGCACCGCTTGGGTAAATCTTTATGGAAACTGTTCAGTCATCATATAATCCATTGGGTTATATAGAATATTGTTACCATTTTCACAATTGTTTAATTCCTCGGGGGAAGCCGGAAATGTCCGCCAATTTACACAACAAGAAAGAAAAATCAAAATGGCGGCAGAATTGAACGAAATGCTGCGTAAACAGTTCGTAGAAAATGTCAACCAAGGTTTGTGTAGAAATGTGTAATTCGACAAAAATCAGATGCCCATAAAGTAATAGTACTAACTTTTGAGTTTCTTAGGTAATTTTGATGAAGTTTGCCGAATTTTAGAACTTGGACAAGTGGAGGCTGACATTTTGGATGAGGTATATCATTATATCATACATGTATATTCAGTGCTGTAGAAGTGGGGGCGCTTGGGGAGAAGCCCCTTCTACCTTTGAAATGGGTAATTCTTCATAATTTCATGGCTTCAGCTTCGTCAAGAGAGCCCCCCTCTGATAAATTTAGTTCTACAGCACTGTGTATATTCTTGCCGTCAGCGTCAGTCAGGCTTACTGTTTTTACTTTATACTGTAGTTTTTACTCAAAGAAAATTTGCTTTATTCTTTAACTTAAATTTATTTTATGATTATCTACGCAAAACCACCACTCATAAGTCATACTCAATTTTACTCATATGAAATACTATCCATTGATTTTAACTGTCGTGTATTGGTTGACTTTAGGAATGGTTTTTAAACACGTAAAATTGCGTCTAAAACTTAACAATTTTCCAAATGCTCAGCATGAATTGTGTTGTTGCAAAACAACGAACTGTACTATATGAAACTTGTTAAAAGTATGTAAATATCATTTCTTTCTTTCAACATGAAAAGCTTGCCCGTCATTTTGGTGAAGTGATATTTTTAAGAAAATTTATAGCTTATTGATTTCAATTTCAATGCATTTCAATATTTTCGACCAACTTTCCACTTTCACCAAGTTCTCTTTCGTCTTTCGCAGAAGCGTGGACTCAATTTAATATAGTAATGATCCATGCAGTGTGAGAATTAGTTGAGAAAAAACGACGTGCAATTTTTTTTTGATAAAAGTGTTTCCTTTAGAGGCATAATCAAATTTGGCTTCGTTTTCTCACCTTATCAAAATTCCCTTTGGTTTATTTTTCAAATTTGGCCTATTTGAGTTTTTTTGTCATTTTTTAAGAATCGAAATCAAAATGTTTCCTGATTTAAATGAAAATACTCAAAATAGCTATGATGCCATAAACAGTACATAACGGTTTACAAAACAATGAAAATGCAAAAATTGACATTAATAATGTATTACACCCCTATTGTCATAAGCATATAAGCACCATGTATGTAGACTGTTGACAGACTTCCCAGTCTCAAAGTGACAACGTCTTTGAATTTTATGACATTGTGACATCATGGATTTTAATGTCGTGCAGCACACTCCTTTATAAAGTAAAGATCAGTAAAGATTAAGCTTGAAAACTTTCTTCAATTTATGTGGTAGTAATCAATAACGACTTTTTTTGCATATCGTTTGAAAAAGTGATGTGCAATTGTTTTCATTTTAGCTAAAAGGATGTGCAAATTGCACATTGCACACCGTTAATTCGCACACTGGATCCATGTATTTATAATGCATGTAAATTGCTCTATTTATCATGTTGTAGAATGGAATGACCCCATTAATGCATGCTGCATACAAGGGAAAACATGAAATTTGCCAACTTCTCATTGACAAAGGTGCTGATGTCAACTGCGCCAAACACGAACACATGGTTTGATCAACTTTGATATTCCTGATATCATGTATGAAAAAAAAGAAACATTTTGAATTCTGTTTTTAGTACACGCCTTTGATGTTTGCCTGTTTATCAGGTAATATGATGTTTACGGCAAGTTTATTATATGGTTGGAAATTCATTAATTTAAGACCATAATGATGTTAAATTGTATTTCAGGCTCATTGGAGACGACCAAGGTTCTTTTGGAAGCAGGAGCTGATAAAGGAGCTAGAAATGACATTAATAGAACAGCGTCACAGTTAGGAGCATTTACAGGCAAGTTTCTCCTTGAGAGCTAGTCTCCTCCAGAAATTTTATAACTGTTTTGTTCTTTGTGGAAGTCACGAATATGACGACTAGATGCGCTAGATGTTCACAATTTGGCATAAGCACAGTGTAGGGAATATACAGTACTATAGTATATAGGAAATATACAGTTGCACTTCGCTGTGCAACTGGCTGCTGTATATTTAAGTAGATTACTGGCTGCTGTAAGCCATTTCATCATTCCTATCGAGTAAGATATGTATGGCACAAAAAAATTCAATGGAGTGTCTCTACTGTATATTCACTGTACTGTGACATAAGCCAACTTGTGCTTTGTATATGAACCTTTTCTGTCACAGACTGCACACTGCAAACATTTTTTATGTCTTCCTTGTTGAAATATTGCCAAATTTTACTCTTTTTGTGCTGTTCTGAGTGGAAAGAAGGAACTGGACTATTTTCTACTTCGGACATTTTATTATTTTAAAATGTTTACACCTGCAATAATGTGGGCGTTTGGCGGGAAGTGAACAGAAATATGAAACTGACACTATGGGTTTTTTGGCCTATAAAGTTTTGGTGCGTAAAAATGACAGAAAGAATTGATTTTTTCGGTTAACCGTGCAGCTTTATTCTTTTTGAATTTTCCCTTGGATGGTGTCTTTAGTCTGGGACAGTAGCGTTGCCACTTCACTAGTTTGATTGTAGGTGTATAAATATGTAGGTTTTAAAACAGCAGATTTCTAAATAAATAAATAAATAATATTAATGATCGGAAATTTACGTAGCCCGACCGAATTTTTAGCTACGTCACTGTTAGCTACGTCACTGGTCTGCGGGTTTCATTAATGTTGAAAAAAATGAAGAACGAATTTCATGCAAACAATCAAAATAGTAAACTGTATCATTTTACATGTTTGTAGATGTAGATCGTTTAGGTTAGTGGAGCTCTGAGAAAAAGTGTTGGTGTTGATGTTGACTGACGTTTCGACAACCTTAGCTGTAGTCATCTTCAGAGTCAAGTCAAGAAGAGTTGTCAGATTTGCTATAATTGTTGTTCAGCTCATACACATATTGGGAAGCAATTACGGCAAACCTGATATTTATTACTCATTTGACTTTAAAGACAACTTCAGCTAAGGATGTCCAAACGTCAGTCTACATCAACACCAACATTCTTTCTCGGGACTCTACTAACCTCGACGATCTACATCTACAAAAGTCCAGCGATACTCCTGGGTTCAAACTACGCAATCTATTTATATTTGTTTTCCCATACAAATGACTCGAGTTGGAGATTTTATCACAAATTTTTTTCTGTTGTGTTCAATCTTTGAATTTCATCTGCTGCGTAAGTTTTGAAGTCACGTGGTCATCACGCTCTGACATAATTTATGCAAAAAATCGCCATAAGTTTCTTTCTTATTTTAGGTCGTCACGACTGTGTCAGTCTCATCAACAATTTCATATCGCTTAAGGAGTTTGAATCTTTTACAAAAGGTAATTGCCTTGGAAATTCGACATCCTTGATTTTGGTCATTTTGTGTTATTTCAGCAGCAAATACCCACCTAAAATGTGTTAGTATAAAGATTTTCTGCATTTTTTATGAACGCAATCTCCAAGATTCTATCAGGCGAGCAATTAAATTGCATGTCAAAGTTAGTAGTGACTCAAACGAGAAAGGAGAGCGACTTTCTTTTGACTTTTGGGATTAGAAATTCACATAATCAGTTCTGTCATTTTCACAAATGTAAAAGCTAGCTCGTTCCCAAACCCCTCGCTACAATACTCCTTCGCTGCAAAAGATTTATATTGTAGATAACCATATTTGTTTCTTGATACCAAGTGGTACTTCTGTAAAATGTTGCCCTTTATGAAAGGAAAACAATAAAACGAGCACGCCGATTGGTCCATAGCTGAGTTACATGAGCCTGTACAGACCGATCTCAGCTCAACCAATTAAATTAATGAAAGAGAATATGCTAATCAATCATGAATACATGTTTGTGAAAAAAATCAAACATTTGTTTTGGATTTATCTATTTCGCATAATTGTCATTTTATAAAAAAAATAAAAGATGTTTTTCGTGTTTGCACAGGCTTATGCAAACCTCGGAGACGTTTTTGACAACTCTCGACATTCGGTCTCGGTCTCGCACTGATCTCTCCAGTCCTCCTAAAGGTCTCCTCGGCTTGCGTAAGCCTGTGCAAACACAGTAGTCATCTTTCCTAATAATGTATTTTTACATTCCAATGGGCTTTCCTCTCGACGAAGATGGGAGACGTTGCGTATCTTCATGTCAATTCATCGTTGGTTTAAACCCTGAGTTGATTTTTGAAACTTTAATCTATATTTTTTTCCTTTAAGGGTCAAATGCCGTAATTGATTCCGATTTGTTGGGACCTCTGCAGAACTATATCCTCAACAACAATCTGAGTCCAGTGAGGGTAAATATTATTGCAAATGAAGTTATTACACGTACTTCATGTTATTGCAAATGAAGTTATTACACGTACTTCATGTTTCGTAACTAGTCAGACCTGTTTTCTTTATGAACAGATTTGTTTTTCTAGCTAAACGAACTCCTTTGTTTCAACAATTATTTTATCACTGCGCATGAGTTAACTCGTTCGTTCACGTGCAGGGGCGGATTGAAATATTAGAAATCTTGCGGTGAATCCCTCAAATCACACCTGCATAACATCACTGTGACGTCAAATAATGACTAATCGATAGACTTCTGTACTATACAGGTACCAGCAGAAGCATCAAACCTTGTGTATGTAGGATGATGTGTACGTAGGAATCCTTATTAAATTACTAGAAATCATATTTTAAAAGTATACCAATAGGCATGCATTGGGATCTCCCAAGAAATCTCATGTTCATGCTTTGAGGACGAGCCCCCCCCCCCCTCCCACCACAATATGTCATAAAGTGTCCGCCATTGCTCGTGTCAATGAGCTATAAAGTCCTGAACCTTACTAGAGTAGTTTTTTCATATTATCGAGTCTTTTACTGAGATGAACTTGTTTTCTTTCTTGAATCAACTCGTTTTTCATCGCAATAGACCCATTTCCAATATAGATAAACACTTTTTTTACGCGAGTCACTAGTTTCCCTGACATTAATAAATGCGTTTGTTCATGAAATTTATCATCAATATAGCTACTAGTTTCTTCACATTAATGAACGTTGTTTATCCCTGCTGGCTCCTCATCATCATAATAGCCACTCGTTCCCTACATTAATGAACTCATTTATCCCTACTAGCTCCTCATCATCAATGTAGCCATTCGTTCCCAACATTAATGAACTCATTTATCCCTACTAGCTCCTCATCATCAATGTAGCCATTCGTTCCCAACATTAATGAACTCGTTTATCCCTACTAGCTTCTCATCCTCAATGTAGCCACTCGTTCCCTAAATTAATGAACTCATTTATCCATGTTAGTTCCTAATCTTCAATGTAACCATTCGTTCCCAACATTTATGAACTCAATTATCCCTACTAGCTCCTCATCATCAATGTAGCCATTCGTTCCCAACATTAATGAACTCGTTTATCCCTATTAGCTTCTCATCCTCATTGTAGCCACTCGTTCCCTAAATTAATGAACTCATTTATCTCTGTTAGTTCCTAATCTTCAATGTAGCCATTCGTTCCCAACATTTATGAACTCATTTATCCCTACTAGCTCCTCATCATCAATGTAGCCATTCTCGTCTCTCTACATTAATACACCGTTTTCGTTTAGTTGCGCATTCAGCTTGTTAATAATGAAGACATCTATTTAATTTCGTTCTTTTCAGTTGGTCTTCTTCCTTCAAGAAAACATGGAACTGGTTGAAAATTACCAGCCAATCGTTAAAGTCTTGAAGATAAAATGTAAATCGTATCTCAAAGATTCTCACGCCTCCAATGACGTAATGTCGATGAAGTTGCATTACGTCGCCAATGTGTTGCAACATTGTGCCCGTTGGCACCTTGGGATGCAAGGTCAACATGGTATCGATGGATTTTTAAAGTAGTAAGATATATTTAAATGCTTGAATGATCTCATTCTAACTTGAAGTTATCGTGTATTGCGCTTCAACAAAATTTATTTCCTTGTTTTGAAAATGCATGACATTTTATAACTACAAATGCAGTTCAAAGCTATGATAATTGACTTAAACCGCCCGAAGGCCAGGGATGAATTCAGGATGATTTTATATGGGGAAGATGGGAGTAAGGTTGTGCGCTCTCATTAAGATTAGATTTTGGACGTTGCTTATATTGGCGTCGCCATTCGTGTCGAGAATTGTGCGTCCAAATTCGTAGTCTCGACAAGTCACAATCGATCAAAGTGAAGCAATAAAATCACGCGACAATAAGGTTTACAAAGATATATTAACTAACAAAACTCTCAATAAAATAAGTACGTTCGTTATAGTATTATACAATAGACTCCGTCTCGCTCACATACGTCTCACAACTGCCTCGATTCTCTCACACTCTCTCTCAACTATCACTCCTTACTCTTGACGTCATTACTAATATTTCGTGCATGTTATCAAGGAATATTGAGTGATGTCCTTATCAGTTTCCGACAATTTCATGTAAGACGCTTCTTGTTGAAATCTTTTGCTCTTGTGCCATGATTGGAAGTTATAAAACATGAAATAGTGATCACGATTTCTCTTGCATAATTACTGGGTATGTAAATATTTTTTGGGGAAATTAGCACCTCTGCCACAGTTACTATAGCCTGGGCAAGGAGGGTTCTCACAAGCCAACCATTATTTACCAACCTACGCATTGTTAAAAGTAAATACTAGTTCCCGCTTTGGTCAACAAAATAAATTGACGAATTTTTAATATGAACATAATAGCCCAACATAAGACTTTTAAAAAAGCCATCACAATAATAAAATAAAAGGTTTTTTTACTAATAACGTTTCGTCTTTAACTGAAGACATCTTCAGATTATTTGAGATAAATTATATACATGAGGTTTTAAATACAAGCGTATATTACAGGGTGTTAAATTACATGTGAGGGGAGTAGGAAGTTTAAATGATGGAATTAAATGAGAATGGCGGTATATTAAAGAAGGCGAAGGGGGATTGAGTTGCCTTGGGTGCTAAGAGAGGGTTTAAGTTTGGATATAAGAAGGCTTTCATGAATCATAAGGTCATAATTGTCGGAGGAGAAGGAGAAAATTGAGAAGTCATTAAAATCGGCAGAGTGAGATGTATTTCTTATAAGGGAAAGAACTGCAGATGGTGGTGGACATAAGGAAGGTTTCCCTGTTAAGGGAGAGATTCCCAAGTGTTCCGATATTCTGGTGTGTAAATGACGCGTGGTTTGACCCACATACGATGCAGAGCAGCATCGACACTTAAATGAGTATACAACACCAGATCTCAGGAGATCCGTCATCTAAACTTCCTACTCCCCTCGCATGTAATTTAACACCCTGTAATATATGCTTGTATTTAAAACCTCATGTATATAATTTATCTCAAATAATATGAAGATGTCTCAAGTTCAAGACAAAACGTTATTAATAAAAAAACCCTTTTATTTTATTATTGTGATGGCTTTTTTAAAAGTCTTATGTTGGGCTATTATGTTCATATTAAAAAATTCGCTTTCCGCCTGGCAAATCTCTGGCGACGATTATAAATTGACGACTTTTGATCAAGATAGATATTATTGACAATCAATAAACTTTTATGATATTATCACTAAAGGCTTTTTCCATTAAAGAAGGATATGGACTTTAATTTTACTTTTTGCACCTTACTATGCACCCCTATTGACCCTTGACTACAGGGGGGACCACCGCAGTGCATCCTCCCTCTTTAAAATCACCACCGATTGCGATACGTATCCTCGCCATTTTTTCAGTATGTTATGATATGATGATTATCATCAGTTATTCGCTCTTCTCCATTTCAGCTTGATAAAAGGTCGACCGAGCGACGGTTTCCCGTTAGGAACAGAAGATTTCATCAGGCAGACTATCCGGGAATATAGTTATTCTGAGACAACAATATTACGTCAGCTTGTGACGTCAATAGCTCCTGTGAAAAAGGTGATGAACGGATGTTTTGTTTTTTTTTCATTTTTTCCGTATTTTTCCTCTTTGGTAATTATGGTTAAATTTTAACAGGGCGATGAACCTACGGCATTAAGTTGCCTTACACAAGTCATCAACGGCATTCACAGGTGAGCTTTCTGTACTTGAAAATTGAATTGTCACGTGTGAGGGGAATAAGGATCTGCTAGGTCCATCTGCCATTCTATTCTATGATTGCAAATGATACATAGAGTAAATTGAAACTGACTTTTATATATTAAAGCCCTGTATACAGTGCTGTAGAAGTGGGGCGCTTGGTGGAGGATCTACCTTTGAAATGGGTAATTTTTCATAATTTCATGGCTTCTGCTTCGTCAAGAGAGCCCCCCATCTGATAAATTTAGTTCTACAGCACTGCCTGTATGTAATGCGTAAAACAGCTATAAAGAGTCCATTCCCTCCTGGTTCAATTGAAACTGACGTCATGCTCACTGAGGGGGATGTGGGGTATGTGAGGTCCATCCGCCATTCTATCATTGAAAACGATATACGAAATAAACTGAATCTTACTTAATCGTCAATGAGGTGGGCGGTGGAAGCTAGGAAGTGAACATAATTTCATGTCATCCGAATTCATTTTGCTGTATTAATGAAAATGAAATGCTACTATCTAATTGCATGTTGTTTTCAGCATGCAACAAAGCAATTTGTGCTCTACGTGCTCTCAACCTAATGCTGAGCGAAGATGCTCCGCTTGTAAAACGGTAAATACGCAAAGATCATCCCGAGATCATGTTCCTCCTGATCATAAAATTTCCCATCGTCTTGCTTTCAGGTCACGTATTGCAACTCTAAATGTCAGAAACTTCATTGGTTCACGCATAAAAAAATGTGCAAGCTCGCGACGAACGCAGAAAGAGAAATTTAACGAAGTTAAGATAATTATTGCTAATTTAATTATGATATAAATGTTCAGTGCGGAGTATGTTGATGCAATGTCAACCCTCGGCTAGTTTGCCGTGCAAACTTATACATAACTGTTTTAGTGGCTATGAAAGAAAATGAACGATAAAAGCCGTATTGTGTATAGTACTTAACTTGTAAAAATTGCATGACTTGCCAGGTCTATCAACGAATTATTGCTCGATACGAAATTATAATTTAAATCATCTCTGTAGGTCGTGTTCGTCTTCTTTGTCGAACGTTCACAGTACAATATGTGATAGGAGATATTCTGACATTCATAGAGCAAAGTTTGGTTTGCAACTTGTGTCCTTTGACCCTTTCTCCAGGTGGTAAAACCGTAAAAGCTTACTCTGTTTTAATAATTCGAGAAATTCAACTACGCAGTTAGTCAGGGCGATGGAATCAGCTGCAAATGAAAAACTTTTTTATAAATTCACTGACTTAAATTTGCGTTTCGCATTTTACAGTCTGGATCACAGTGACACGTGACTTTGTTAATGGCTTGTAAAGTGAATTTGACCTTTCGCTTTTGCCATCATGTGTTAATCAAGTGAAACTTTCCATTGATTTTACGCTGCATCACTTTAATCACGAGAGCGTCACTCTAATTGCTCATGTCATGGGAATTGGCATGTTAAATTTATTCGTATTGTGCTTTCGATTCATTTCTTTTATTGTAAAAGCATTAAAATATTTTTGAACATCCTTTTGCTCGGAATAAAGCTAAAATTAAAAGTCAAAAAGAAGGAAGTTGTGCGCTTTTAGCGTTTAATTAGCATTTAATGCGCCATAGCTGTTTTAAGAAGAAAACTCCCCGATTTGGCTTTGGCTTTGTTTTTTGCCTATAGCTATATACATTACATGTTTAATCTATTGAAACTAAAATTTCAGCAAAAAACTTATTTATGGTTAACTTAAAGATGTTTGTATTCATTGCCGAAATGTTTGAATAAATTAACTTGTAATTATGCAAGATTCATACTTTATTTTTTCCTATCCTCTCATTGGGCCATGAATACAATTGTGACCAATGATATGATCATGTTCTTGTCAAAACAAACTAGTTCCTCTCACACGTGTAAAATTATTTCAATGAGGTTTAGCTTGACTGGCTACCAAGTATAAGAGCGAGCAGGTCACTTAGCTGCCGAAGATGAGAAAACTTTTCATTCGCACAACGTTAAAGGCTGAAATACAGTAGTAAACCTTATTGTCGCTTATACCTTTCTCGGTTTTAAATTTGCTCAATATCCATGGCTTCAACGAAGGTATGTTTCAATCAGCTCGTGACTTCTTTCATTTACGTTGTGTTTACCTGTCTATTTGGATTAGTACTTGAAAGCGTTGAAAACATAATCCCTACATTATTTTAACCTTTCCTACTCGTTTGTTTGTTGCTCTTACTTGGACATGATAGTGTTTGATATAGATGCTTCGACGAGAAGCGTAGTGCATGGATCCTGTTTACGTAGTCTGATTATCATCAAATGTACAAGGTCTTGTCATTCATTTAGCTATCAATTGTATTTATTATCGAAGAATAGAAAACTCTAGCTAATTGTTGTCATATCATGCATAAAATAGTTTCTTTCTTACTTAGTCGAACGCCTTTTAATATTGACGTAATTTGTTGCCAGCACCAAATCAAATATTTTATGTATTTCGTATTCAATTGGCTCTTAAAAAGTTCCGCTGACAAGCGTAATGCTATTTTTTCAACCGAATTTGACGAAAGATTTTCATTATACTTCAGAAAGTTCCTTGCGAATTTCAACATGCACTTTACTTTCGTTTAATATCATCGTAGGCCGTTTAAGGACATGTCAGTCATTGTTAGTTTCAATTATTTATATATTATCTTTTTTCTCTTTCACTACTTCAGTCTTCAGCTGTGGGCGGTCTTGTTTTATAGGCTGATTCCGAAGATTCAGGGGTCGACATGTTCACAAACATTAGTGCTCTTCTGGAACACGGTAGCTGTGAGATGTCCAAACTGCCTGGTACGTGATGCATCTAAATATTTATTAGCAATGAAAACAACTCCGTTCATTCATGCGCCTTTTTGTGAATTATCCAAAGCGCTGTGTTTTGACTTGTTGGACCATTATGTGACCTTTAGCCTTACAATTACATGCTATATAGATATTCTGAATGCAACGTGTGGCTTTTCAAATTCCTTCTCGACGAACGCGTTTTCGGGCCCACAACCAAGTAATGGCTGGTCTACATTTCCTCCTACACCGAACAGTTCACGATCATCTAGCCCTGTGGACGATGAGCTGCGTTACGACACTGTTCTGGTATGGTTAGCATTTGTATTTTTTGAATGATCGATAAATCCTTTGAAAATTACGACTAATTACTGCAAACAATGAAAGAAACTCGTTAGAACCAATTTATTGCCCACTGCTTTTCTTAACTCGCGCATATCATTAAACTGGACTTCCTTTGATGTCGACATATTTTTTTGTGTGCATTATTCCCGGCATGTTCTGCTTTTATAAATTTAGTAAACCAGACGTAAATATTTGATTTTTGTTCGATGTCACGCTATCTTTATGTAAACACCATGTCAAAACCCCGAAACTTTACTTCTAACAAAATATGGTCGTACAGTTCTATTTCGTGGCCACAGTCATAAATATTCTGTTTTTTTGCTTTGCCGTTTTATATTTTAAAGGTACAAAATAGTTCCTATCGATTCAACTCAACATCTTGCTTTATTTTAATTTTTCGTTTGCGAACTAAGGTCTTTGTTAAATTTTTGTTGCTGAAGCTGTTATTTTACTTATTTTACTGAAAGGACAAAGGTAGTTAGATGCCTTTCGACTGTTTGCCAAAAATCGAAAATTTAGGTTATAGCTATATTATTTTTTGTGAAAGTTCCCCCGCCTCAACTCTCAAGCTGTCTTTACATTACTATTGTGTATGCTCGAGTGATTGCAATTTTATGAATGCTTAATATTGGACGTAGGTATTTTCGTTAACCGTTTTGGGAAAAATTGAAAATAAGAACTGATAATGTCCATTCTTGGGGTTACGCGGTCGCCCTCCTTAATGCAGAGCGTACGCGATGGAAATAGAACGAGACGAGACGTGTAATTTTTAATGCTGATGCAGACGTGTCTCCGGAAATATTTTAAAGAAAGAATATATTTTTTTTCATTTCCGTTTGTCAATATTACAGTTATGTTGATTACAGGGTCGAAATCTCTTATCAAGACTTAATTGCCAGCAGGCTTGTCAGCCGCTTGCGGGCTGGATGACTCCACCTGGAAGTTTACCTCCAACCCCGCCTGCCTTTTCACCAAACCCCGCAGACCTCGAGCATTCACTGGTGTTCGGTTTTCCAAACTCCCTCATGCCACGGCACACTGTCATTCCGGCGACTTCACAATATCAACATGGTGACGATCAACACCCACCAACGTCGCTTGATGGTGCAGACAGCGGACCTCTATCACCAACGTCTACGATAAACTTACTCATGGATAGGCGATGGGGTTTCACTCCGAACTCAAGTCCCGGCATAACCCCTGTCCAACAAGATGTTCGTCAAGCCTTGTTGCAACAAGCTGCTGCTGGTTTGTGACATTCGACCTTTTTTGCCAACATCACGTGAATAACGCTTTTCAACGGTTTTGCAATGTGTTTCTTTCTAAGACATGTTTTTCCTTCTCAGCTTCAAGTAACGAAGTGACGTATACGTGGAGTGGCCAATTGCCACCTCGGCATTACAAGAATCCAACATATTCTACGAAAGTTTTTCTCGGCGGTGTACCATGGGATATCACTGAAAGTACGTAATCTAAAGCGATATGACCTTCTTCACACGAGTGAAATATGAGCCTTAGCACTAACTCAAACATATATACAAAGAGTTCACATGTGTGCCATCGGTTTTATGCATAAACGCAAGAATAGAATCTTTGTCTCATTCTTGTCGTTGTGTTTATTTTTGCGTTTATGCCATCGTATGAACCAGGCGTAAAATCTTCAAATTTTTACTGAATTCAAAGCCATTCTAAGCATTTAAACGATTGAAATATGCCTGCTCATGTCCACGCTGTTTATGTCTGTTTTACGAAGTTTCACCACAGGAAATTAATCAAATTGTTTAATTTAAAATACCTACCTTAAGGTGAAATGGCAAGTTTTTACATCCTCTAAGAACTCGCGTTGAATCTTTTCCGTAGCCGTTTTTTCATGACACGTATAATTTTTACACTTGTCAGGTACGCTTATTCAGTCATTCAAACCGTTCGGTAATGTTCGCATTGAGTGGCCTGGGAAAGAGGGAAGACATGCAGTAAACCCACCAAAAGGTATGGTGCCTACCGCGCATGTGCACTCGCTGTTTTAGGGCATTTTTGGAATTTCTATACTTGATTGTTTGCGGTTTATAGAGAAACAATATGTAATGATGGAGCTCTCTTATATATGTTTATCCAAGTCGTTTATTCTGTTGTTTACAAAGGTTATGTGTATTTGGTGTTCGACTCGGAGAAATCCATAAAGGCTTTGTTGTCTTCTTGCACTCAAGACTGCAGTAACGGGGGAGATTGGTACTTTCAGCTGTCAAGTAGACGCATCAGATGCAAAGAAGTAAGTGAAATTGCTGGGGAAAGCAAGGTCATGTTTTTTGCGTTTAACATTTATGTTTTCATCGGGGAACTTTAGAAACTTTAAGACTATAATTTCAAAATAAGACTGGTGTCTGGAGAGTGCTATATATCAATCGAACGTTCATCTAGTGTATTGCGCTTCCTAAATTATAAAGCGTGGTTCCTTCCAAGCTACTTAACTGATAGTTTTTACGTTCTTAAAGAAGCCAAAGTTTTTAAGATCACAAGAGTTTTCCTGTAGCTTTGATTTTCAGCGTTTATTTACACTGTTAAAAACGAAAGCCAACATCATCGGGTTCCCTACAATGGCCAACCGCCAAGCGCGTCAGAGCTTGACCGTGCTACGCATTCTTCAAAGTTTGTAAATTTCATTGTTAATCGTCTCTCGTGTATTGACAGGTTCAAGTCATACCATGGGTTCTTGTCGACAGTAACTATGTTTGTGGCCGTTATCAAAAACTTGATCCAAGTAAAACAGTTTTTGTGGGCGGACTTCACGGCATGCTCAATGCAGGTTGGTGTTTTTTCCTGCGTTTACTACGTCTTAGAAACCTTAGGATCAAGTGGGATCCTACGTCATAAAAACCTTGGGATCAATGTAGGAAACCATTACATATACATCAAACTATATCTGTTCCAGTTAATATCTTTAAATGATTTGAATTGGAAAATGAATGTAGACCTTTTTTTACACAAAATCATCTTGAAGAAAACTTGCCAAGTAAAGCTGAAATTTACAAGGTTCATTTTCACTGCTCAAAGTCCAATTAACACGACATAAAATAATCTGGGTTCAACGCAGGTTCATCAAATTAACTCAGATTAATTGTTGTTTTCGTGTAGACACTGCTAACCCAGGTTTAATCTTGGTTAAATTCAACCTACCTCTTAAGTTTGGTTTTTTTATGTCGTGTGAACAGGGCCTAAGGTTCAAGCGATGAAATTGTTCAATCACGAGTTTTTGTTTTTATGCTAACAACAGATATTGAAGCGCGGTAAAAATCTTTATATCGTAAAGCAGAAGGAGAATCTCTACGGACGAAAGCATAAGGGAAAAAACTAACACAAAAGAACTTTTTGTACTTAACAAAGCGTTTTTCTCTTTAAGTTCCTCCCTCGTTACATCAAAAACGGATTCGAGCACTCGACAGCATAGCGAAACTAATTTTTTTGCGTAAATTGGTCGTTTTTCAATGATGAATGATTTTTGTCTTTAATTTCGGCATATGTTTGTATTACAGAGGGCTTGGCGCACATTATGCAAGACCTCTTCGCTGGTGTTGTATATGCTGGCATCGATACAGACAAGCACAAATATCCCATAGGTAAGAAGAGAAACAACCTTGGTTTTGGTCTTCAACACCATTCAAATCTTTTTGAAACATCTCAAACATATTTTAGACATGTTTGAACATTCATATCATTGGGACCTCAGCCGCCCTCCTTTTCATAAACATCTTATAACTTACAATTTGAATAATATTATAATTTGAAGTTGTTATTAAGAACATCACACTTGACCGTAGACTGACCCTTTGAGGGCGTGGGCCGAGTGTTAAGTCAAGGCTCTCGGATTTTGGTACTGATTTGGGTTGTACGTCGTTGTCTTTCCGTTCTCTCAGGTGTTTTGAATACTTATTATTTCACTGACTGTTTAGGCTCACTCAAAAAGTCTTCATTAGTTGTGTGGTTATGTTAGTATGTTATTACATGAAGTACTTTGAGCTTATACCTACACGGAAGGATCCCTTGAGTAAATTTTGAGAGTTTTGACAACGCCCTACGAAAAATCCGGTATCACTTTAACTAGTATCCCTGAATTCGGAATACAGAAAAATTTAAGCTTTGAAATCCGGTATCTACGACCTCGGATCCGGAATTGGACATGACAATGAATCTTTTACATAATGGTATTAGCAAAACAAACTTAAACTGCACCGGTTTCACTTCCGTTACACACTACAAGATCGCGTCACTCTAGTACATAAAATGCGAGGGAAAAAATCTACGTATCTTTGATAAAATAGGTACGCAATGCGATCTGGGCTACCTACGGAAAGGCTATCCCACAATCCCGGGATTTGATAGTTGCTCATTCAATATAGGTGGTGTATTGTCTGTCTTTCTTTACCAGGTTCTGGCCGTGTAACATTTAACAATCACAAGAGCTATATGAAAGCAGTTTGTGCTGGATTCATTGAGTTAAAAACACCCAAGTTCACAAAAAAGGTATCTGCTGTTTTCTATTTATTTAGAATTGTAATAACAGTCGGACAGGCTTGAGACTACGACTTTGTATGCTGCAAAAAAATAAATTGTACGATCTGTTCTAGACTATTCACGTAGTTTTGTCTTTAAACGGTATATGACGGGAAATTTGTGCTATTCAGATTATATTTCCATTGAACATAACTTTGGAAATGACTGTACACTCTAAAACAGTTTATTCATATCACTTTTCGTTCTCAAGATGTTGTATTATATTTAATGCAAGCTTCACACAACCCGTGACATCACATTACGTAACGAGAATTTGAAATAGCAGGTTTAGTTGCCGACATGTCACTTCAACCGAGCTGAGCTCCCTTCATTGGGAAGAGTTGATGATATAAAAAAAATTGCCTGATCATTTTAACTAAAAGTTGCCAGAACTAAAGGATTTTTGAAATTGTGCAGCGACTCACTGTGCATGAAGACGTCAAAAGTTGTGTAAATCGGACATTACAAAAACTTCAACATTTTCAGAATGGAAAGAACTGTTTATGGAAAGAGCTATGCACGAACTGTTTTAGAAAATACTCTGTCATTTTAAAAGTTTTGTTCAATGAAAATATAATTGAAGTAGCAAAATTTTCCGGTCATATTTTTTAGAATGGAAAGAGCTATGCATGAACTGTTTTAGAAAATACTCTGTCATTTTAAAAGTTTTGTTCAATGAAAATATAATTAAAGTAGCAAATTTTTCGGGTCATATTTTTCAGAATGGAAAGAGCTATGCATGAACTGTTTTAGAAAATACTCTGTCATTTTAAAAGTTTTGTTCAATGAAAATATAATTAAAGTAGCAAAATTTTCGAGTCATATTTTTCAGAATGCAAAGAGCTATGCATGAACTGTTTTAGAAAATACTCTGTCATTTTAAAAGTTTTGTTCAATGAAAATATAATTAAAGTAGCAAAAGTTTCGGGTCATATTTGTTAGAATGGAAAGAGCTATGCATGAACTGTTTTAGAAAATACTCTGTCATTTTAAAAGTTTTGTTCAATGAAAATATAATTGAAGTAGAAAAATTTTCGAGTCATGCGCACTTTAAATCGCGTACATTGCAAATTAGCCTGGATAATGTACTTCAAGACAAGTTTGGTGCGTGGCAGCAAAAATGTTCACTCAATAAAAATGCTCTATTGCTTTGTGTTTTTCTTTTTTTGTTGTTGACAGTGTGTGTATTGTTGATTTGTGACTGTAAATAATCATCTTAATTGGAGAAATTCTGTTTTATACTTTCCCAGGTTCAGGTTGATCCTTATTTAGAAGATTCCCTCTGCGGTACATGTCATACGAACGCGGGCCCTTATTTCTGTCGCGAACTTTCCTGCTTCAAATATTACTGTCGTTCGTGCTGGCAGTGGCATCATTCTATTGAAGGACTACGTCATCACAAGCCAAAGACTCGTACCAGTAAAAGTGCCTCGAGTTCCGGCATCGGTCTCTTCGCATTCTGATGACGTGTTTCCTGCTGAACAAAACGACAGATGTACCCCGATGTACTAGTCCATTCTGAAAAGGTGGGTCTGTGATCTTGGCAGTACGTATTATAGTGATTATCCTTTAAGTTCCTAAAATGTCCACTGGTATCCATGATTATGGCTGTGGTTCTTAAAAATTTGAGTGCTTTAACTTTGATTGTCATAGCGTGTTGAAGTGTTTCAGTTTATTTCGTAATGAGCCTTGATTTTATAGTTTATAAGACGTTGTGTGATTGGTGCGTTTTAACACGTAGCTAACCAATCAACGACAACGGTAAACACCCGTGACACAGTCAACTTTACTGTGTGATCACGTGTGTTCTTGAAATGTTTAAATATTTACGTCGGATTTGAAGTAATCAACATCCCACAAAAAAAAATGAACGTTTTGTGGCGAAAATATCGACCTCTGTAAGTTCAATATTTTAGAGGTTTTCGCAAATAGTGTAGTTTTCTTAAAGTTAGTTTGTTTTCATTTTGTTTTAACATTGCCGCAACGTCATCAGGACATAAGAAAGTTGCGCGCGCATGGGATTGGTTCGATTCCATTTTTATTGCATGCGTTGTTGGCTCTCGTTCCCAAAACCACTCACCCCCACCCCTCGTTCCTGAATTTATTTGCCACATCGCTTTAAAGTTTTGTTAAATAGACAGTATAATTTTTTATTCGTTTATATAATTAATGCTATTTTTGACAAGCATGTTTTGACGTGACAGAAAAACATTGAAAATATTCTAAAAAACATGGATATATTATAGTGTTTTAAGAAAAAAAAATCACGCGTGACTTTTAAAGATCCTTCACACACTTTATTATTTATATTTCTATGTAGAGTTTGAATAAATTATTATTAATATATTAAAATTGGGGACGGCGCTTATCGTCATGTTTGTTGTGAACGTTCAAATCTACATGTGTGATTTACGCTTCAAGGTTTCTATAGTTTCGGGTAAAGTTTTATGAAAGCCTGCCTTTCTGGAAATTTCAAGAAATTCTTTGAATCGGCTCTGTGAACGTTCGTCACTTTTTCGGCCCTTCTATCCAATCTGACAAAAGTCAATTTGCAATGATGATGATTTGAGAGAATATTTACGTGAATCGCGTTCATACTCGACAGACTTGTGTAGAACTTTATTGTATGTTATCTAAATCAAAGTAATGTACTGCAGTGATTACTTCTCTGCATTCGGTTTGCAATTGTCTGTTGTTACATTGACTTCAATGTTTGTATGAACGCGAACTGTTATATATATACTCTCTGAATCGCATGTAAAGTTTTATGAAAGCCTGCCTTTCTGGAAATTTCAAGAAATTCTTTGAATCGGCTCTGTGAACGTTCGTCACTTTTTCGGCCTTCCATCCAATCTGACAAAAGTCAATTTGCAATGAAGATGATTTGAGAGAATATTTATATGAATCGCGTTCATACTCGACAGACTTGTGTAGAACTTTATTGTATGTTATTTAAATCAAAGTAATGTACTGCAGTGATTACTTCTGTATTCGGTTTGCAATTGTCTGTTGTTACATTGACTTCAATGTTTGTATGAACGCGGACTGTTATATATATATACTCTCGCAATTGCATGTAAGATAAGCGCTATCTCCAATCGACGTAAATTTGAAGCATTGTAGTGTGTAAAATAAGCAATAAAATCTTCATACATTGTTTTATGTATTAAAAATAAAAATTGACATTTGCCGATAACCTGTTTATCCTGACGTTATTGAACAATTGTTTCCAAATATTTACTCACGACTTCAGAGGCTTTAGTACGTAGCATGTGACTTGTGCTACTGAATTTTCAGTCTATACACGATTGTATACGTATATATTATTGAATTATCAAGTGTGAACGATGTACATTTGGGGATGCTATACTACTCAACTTAAGGAATAGCTTGGTGTTTCGTACTTGACATTTCATAATGTCAACTTTGGTCGAAATAACATTGTATAACACAACAAGAAACGTCGCTATAGAAGACTTGTCCTGTTTACCTTTTCCTTGCAAGCAGGTTTGGTCGAGTGCCCTTAGACAACACCAGCAACAATGCTTAAACACCCTTGGGATTAATCTGCCTGGGGCCGGTGGCACGAAGCCTGGATAGCGTTATTCATTGGATAGCAAGTTTTTTAAACTTTTATAAAACCATTCAAAAGCAAAAAATATAAGATTCAAACTGAACAATCGCTGAAATTAAATATTGTTTGGAAGATTGCGAAATTTCTTTGTCGTAAGAAAAATACAAACTCCTTTTTTACAAATTTGGAAATTTGTGCTATCCAATGGATAACACTATCCAGGCTTCGTTCAACCGGCCCCTGGCTGAAAAACGTAAAGTCATCTGTACCAAATGCGTATGAACTATTTTAAATGGCACATGACTTAAAAATTTTACTACTTACTTATTAGTTTCATTTAACAGAACTTTGAAAATGACAGTATATTTTCTAAAACAGTTTGTGCATATTTCTTTTCATTCTCGAAATATTGAAGTTTTTGTAATGTTCGATCTACACAACTTTCTACGTCATTTTGCATAAGTCCCTGCAAAGTTTCAAACATCTTTTATATTCAAGTCAACTTTTCGTTGAAATGATCATGCAATTGTTTATACCATTAATTCAAAGGGAGCTCTGCTCGGTTGAGGTAACAAAACGGCAAATATACCTGCTATTTCAAATTCTCATTATGCAAAATGACGTAGAAAGTTGCATAGATCGGACATTACAAAAATTTCAATATGTCGAGAATGAAAAGAGATGCAAAAACTGTTTTAGAAAATACACTGTCATTTTCAAAGTTCTGTTAAATGAAACTATAATTTAAGTAGTAAAATTCTTAAGTCTATGCCCTTTAACGAAGGTGTGATCACATTTATCAGATCACTCTTTATAGTAAATTATCGTTTCCTGTCATTGGTTATGTTTATTGCTTCCGGTTTACGAATATGTGTCACCTGATCTTCGTCATACACCGGGCCTAAAGAAACAAATATAACACGTGACCGATACATCATCTGAAAGCAGTCCCGTCTGGTAACAAAAGGACCTCGTGAACAGTAGCTACCGCTGACCCAAATCAACCAGTGTTCAGGAAACCATTTTGGTCGAAGGTAATTGCCAGAAGAAAGCAGAATTTTTTCATATATTGAACCTCACCATTTTCCAAATTCGCGATTACATCTCCATTCGTCACGGTGGTTTGTGGCTTAAGGTCTTTAATGTGTTTTTCTTTCAAAGAATGCGCCAGTATGCTGTACAATAACGGTCTGTCAATAAGTACGTACAGGTTTACATGCTGGGTGAAGGACACGTAAAAAAATTCATTGCTGCCATAAAACTTACACTGGTTTTGTCGTTTTATCTTCAGCAATGTTCAACTCGTTGGCCAGGAACTCGTGACTCAAACATTCTTTTGGCTGACCAGTTTCTGAGAAGGAAGGCACAATACGAAATAGCTCAAGGTACCGTTCTAGGTTAAGTAACTATACTTTAAGATAATCACATAGACTCCCCCCGTCTTTCCTCATGAATAACTACGAACTCGGGGGGGGGGGAAAGCTCGACCTACTAGCAGGCGAACTTGTTGAGTAGCCTGAGCTTTCAGCAGGAATACATTACACGTTAACGAAGAGGTAGCTACGCTAGTTGTGTAGAATGTTCGGCCAGAATAAAGCGTTGTATTGCTGCTGCTGCATGTTATAATTTAACAGAAAAATTCCCTCACCCGTCAACAGCACAGATAATGTGTACTTGTATCTGTTAAACTCCAGGTATTCCCTGATCAGTTCGTTTATCAGCATATTCTCATTTGAGAGGCTTGGCTTCTCTTCGTCCTGATCGTCTAACGCTCGTAAAACCTCGGCACGAATTCTTGCCTTGATTTGACCAAGCACACCTCTATTTTCTAACGTTTCTTTCAAAACTAATAAAAGAAAATGAATACTGCAACGATAACCAACTCGATTCTTGTGTGTAGTATCAACACATTTCAATAAAGGAAATTTAAAGGGTAGAAAATAAATTTTACCGTTTTCAAGTCCTCTGCCGTCGCCATGTTTGAATTCTTGTTTTGAGTAGAGTCGATACTTCATGTAATCATATTTTATAAGAACTACTCCCATCTTCGCCAGGTGGGGAAGTAAGGGTTGCGTTGTAAGTTTGTAACAAAAAGATCATTAAAAGGAGAGAGATGATTAAAAAGACACGAGCGAGTCCTACACCTAAGCAAGAAAACGAGCATTTTAATCCATACTTCATGTAATCATTAATAAGTACAAACAATTGTTTCTGACGAAGACTGAGTGGTTACAAAAAAATTTTCGTCAAAACAAGACAGGTTAAAATATTCATATGCACTAATATTACACATATTCCTCAACTTCTAAAAGCAGAGTAATTTTAGCATTTTCAAAAAATGTGCACGAAATAAAATATATAATCTTCCCGTAAAACTCCTCTTCCTTTTACAATGTGTACAAGCATTAAGAATAATAATAAATAGAAGTAAAACGAATCTCTTAGTAAACTTTGTGTAACGTTGCAGTCAGTAGAAATCTTGAGCAAGCTGTTGCATACACTAGTCCAACGTGACTGCGGGCGCGTTGGTACCCCATGACGTAGGAAACGCATTGTTATCCACCAAAATATCATTCACTAAAATATCTAAATTAGCATTTGATGTGTCGATCGCAAACTCGTCAAAACCTAACCCGGCTAATGGGTCATACGTCACATTTTGTTGCTTGTTTTGCTGAAAAGTGGAAGTTGGCATTGTCCAAGTGGATGGATTCTCCAGCTCTGCCATTAAATTACGTTTTGCACGGTGAGAACCGTACGCAGCTGTTCCGTTTACATGAAGTACATCACGTACTCCGCTGTTGTTGTTTGTATCGCCGTGTAAAATACGATTTCTAAGTTGCTTAAGTTCATCAGCGTTTCTGTTAGTCGAAAGAACGCTTGGACTGCTCGCGCATTCATTTGCACTTGATGCGCCTAGAGCCACTTGCGTGCCAGCATTAGACACGTGACCATTTGTATTCAAGAAGCTGCCGTTGGTGTTGATCAGATGACAATTTGCGCTTAACATGTTTGCCATGCGTGGCGCGACGAACTGATGACGACCGTCGGCTTGCGGCGTCAGCAGTTGAAAGCTTGTGTTCATGTTTTGTAAGTTTTGAGTGAGAGGTGGAACAGACTGACATCGGTTTGCTTGTACAGCGGTTGCGTTATTGTTCGTTAGTTGACTACAGAGAGCTTCCAGTTCCTCCTCCGATGGTAGATGATCAAGTAGAGTCTGGTTGACGGGAATTTGTTGAGTTGGAGAACATGGAGTCGTTGCTTTTGGAAAACGACAGTCTGACGTCATCATGTTTCTGTAGAAACAGAGATAATTACGTATAAAGGACGCTCAAGAATAAATGGATATTTTTTTCTCACCTAAACTGAAGGGAGGCGTTTTGCGATGAATGAGAAAGGCCCTGCATTGCCGCTTGAGAATTGGATGGAATAGTCGGTAAGGTTACATTACAGGACGATGGCCGTTGCATAGCAACCTGATACCGGAATGTTCTTGAGTCGCGAGATGATATTGGCGTTCGTACTTTGTTTAGACTGCGCATGTTCTGTTGTTTTTGCAATGGAGAATATCGATTAGGCCCTGACAAGAATAAAGCGAAAATTATTCGTACAAATTAAGCAAAATCTCAAGAGATTCATAGAAAGCAAGTAACTTCGATGGAGTTAATCATAGCTGTACGTTTGTTCACACGGGAAGATATTAATGGCTGGATCAAATATCCGTTGACTAAGGGCTGTGTCTGGTTCCCGGTGGATCTTTGAGAGCAATACGAGGTTGTTTGCGAGGCGAACCTGAAGTAACTTTGAGTAATAAAGGTTGGTCAAACTATAGAGTCATAATGAAAAGAGTTTCAGGAATCGCTCTATTTTATTGATCAAAACACTTACCTCTAATATGGGGGCATTTAAACGAAGTGTAGTCTTCGAATGAGAACTCCAGTTGCTGCTTGCTTCAGGGTGAGTTGCAGTGGGTCTCTTCAGCGCAGGTGGACTTAAGTTGTCTCCATGTAAAATGGTCTTATTCTCTGGTATTCCATTATTTATTGGAGTAAAGACAAATCTTGTGATTTCACCGTTAGGAGTGTACTTCGGGGTTGTACTGACGGGGCTCGATGTTATGGTTCCGGTCCGTGGGGTGAGTGGACCATTGCGCTTAGGAGACTTTGTTTTATAAGGAGATTGAACACTGGGACTTTTCATGGATGGAGTGCCTGGACTGTGATTAGTAGATGGGGGCAGATGACCAATGGTCTTCTGAGTGTTTTGATTAAAAATAACAGGTGTGCCAGATGTGTGCGGGTTGCCAGTAATGTTCAGCTTTGGCGATAGTTGAAGCTGTTGAGGCTTAGTCTGAATTCGAATGCCATTGACAAGGGTGACTTCGTTGACCTGAAATGAAACTGCGATTTAAAGAGTTTTCTTTTGTTTAAACAGTTCATTTGCTTGCTGGCGAAATTGCTGATATATATTTATTCATGAAGTAAATGGTTTGAACCCGGGAGTATCGTTACATGTTTGTAAATGTAGATCGTCCAGGTTAGTATACACACAATACAATGACGTAAAAACCAGATAACAAATACGGCTAACCTGACGTTTACTCTTCATTTGCTCTGAAGATGACTACCGCTAAGGTTGTCGAAACGTCAGTCAAGAATAACAAAAACAGTCCTTCTCAGGACTATAACGACCTGGACGATCTACATTTGCAAATATATATTTACTAATATCACTTCTTAAACCTTGTGCGTTTGAGGTAAAATAGGCGTGAATTGCTTGCCAGTTGGGGTTGACGGATGGAGTAGCAAGTTGAGTTGCTGTTGCTGTTGTTGCTTATGTTCCTGACGTTCTTGGATTTTTCGTTGCAAATGCTGTTGAGTATGCTTGCGTTTAAGGCTGGTCGAATCTTCTTCTTCGTTGGTTTTACGGCCAGTGAGAGTTAATCTAAATCAAAGTATCACGACCTCTTATCATTACTAAGACGTTAGCTATCCAGTTAAAATGAAGTCAGAAGGTGGTCATTCTAGGTCTCCGAGAGGTGAGGAAGTTCCCCAAGAAATTCACGAATGGCATACTTACATTCCATATGATCTAGTGTTGCTTCCAGACATCACAACGAACGAGGCCATGGATTTATTGGAAACATAACTGCCACCGACTAAAATTTTCCAAGTTCTATGAGTGAAGTGAACACACGACCCAAGAGTTTGTTTGCCCACTCGCAAACAAGATCGCATGCCGCTATTAATGTTTGTTCCTCACCAATTTTGTCGCCGTTTAGTGATAACGACGAATTACCCTGAAGGAAACGTTTTGTTTACTCTGACTGCAGTATCTTTGTGGAATGTGATATTTGAGCATAGCTTACCGAGTTCCCGCCAACTGGTGCGACGAGATTTGGAAGCTGTGGTGATTTGACAATTTGCTTTTTTTGAATACCACTATAGCAATATCTAAAGTATTTGTTAAAGTTACGTAGAACTCTTGCATTGACACATCATGGACCATGATGGGGATAAGTGAAATGAAATGCAACAGAATTGAAATGGCATTGGTCAATCATCATTCACTGAAAATGAAAAGGATACTTGGAATTTCCTCTTGTTCCCAGTCTCCTCGCCTTCACGTTCGGGAAGACACATTTTATGATCTTGCCGAAATCCGGAGCGCTGAGAACTCGTACGGCATTAACGCTGTCACAATACGCTCTATATTCATCGTAAACTTCGTGTTTTGGTAAAGTGGAGTTATTTTCGCATTCATCTAAATGGCAACGTATCCTAAAATGCCATAAAAATATGTTGTTTATAAACTGCAATCGATTTTCCATTTAGTTTTTTACTCAGTACTGCTACAATATACAGACTGCCTTTTTCATCCAACGATTTTAAAATTATAAAAGCAAGCATACTTAAGACAGCATCATCTTGTAACTAAGGCATCTCATAAAATGGCGTTATACGACGGTGTTATAAATGTTATAAAATGGCGTCTAACGTTTTTCCCTGTTCGGTGAATTTAGATTTATAGAAATATTTACATTTTGGTAAAGTCCAGTCAATACTCTAATGTATGTTAAAGTCTACGCAATACAATACTTCATAAAGTCCAGTCAATACTCTAATGTATGTTAAAGTCTACGCAATACAATACTTCATAAAGTGCAGTCAATACTCTAATGTATGTTAAAGTCTACTCAATACAATACTTCATAAAGTCCAGTCAATACTCTAATGTATGTTAAAGTCTACGCCATACAATACTTCATAAAGTGCAGTCAATACTCTAATGTATGTTAAAGTCTACGCCATACAATACTTCATAAAGTGCAGTCAATACTCTAATGTATGTTAAAGTCTACTCAATACAATACTTCATAAAGTCCAGTCAATACTCTAATGTATGTTAAAGTCTATGCAATACAATACTTCATAAAGTGCAGTCAATACTCTAATGTATGTTAAAGTCTACGCAATACAATACTTCATAAAGTGCAGTCAATACTCTAATGTATGTTAAAGTCTACGCCATACAATACTTTATAAAGTGCAGTCAATACTCTAATGTATGTTAAAGTCTACGCCATACAATACTTCATAAAGTCCGTTCAATACCAATGAAATGCTTGAGTTTGTTCAGCTCTGGTCGTCGACAAAGGTATCGCGTAAGGGCTGCAAAATGAAATAAAATGTTTCAATAAATTAAAAGTTAGTTGACGCCTTGTTTTCTTTAGTGGTAGTCACTACCACTGCGGTTGCAAAACGTGAGTCAATGCACTATAAGACCAATCGTCCTTCTCAGGACTTTGGCCTACCTAGACGAACTACATCATCTATTTATTTTTTGTTTTCAAACGAATCTTTTCACTGGATAGTCACTTCAAAAAATATTGTAAAATTACATAACGTTTTTTATCAATACGAGTCTTGCCGAATGAGAATCCAATAAGCGAACTAATTCATGCAATAAAATACAAATATTGCAAGAAAAATTAAAAAAATGTATAAGAGATAAAAAAATTTTGTTAAAAATCATTTTTAAAAAGACTGTTGAAAATGTCAAAGTTTATTAAGTCATATTGTGGAGTTTTTCTCCCTTACAAAAAAGATGCCTCTTCTCTACACCAGACGGATTTTCGGAAATTCCCTTGTTTCTGGTCCCTACATTGTGTCGTGTTCTAGAGTGTGGTAGCATGAAACAATAGCTGTATACTGCTATAAATGATATTATTATATGGCAAACGTTACTTCCGGCAAAATGGCGCGCTTTGATTGGCTCAGAAACATTCTTGTTGGTCCATTAATTTCCCGTAATCGACCACGGTCAAAAACTACAGTCAAATGTAAACAAACTTCGTAAAGCAAACAGCAAAACGCAAAATAAACGAAACAAAAAGCCATTTACGAATGTGATTCGAAGGAAAAACACTAGGAAAACAGTTTAACTATCCAGACGATACAATATGAAACGATTTATTTTTTTATGGACGAAAACTAGAAAAGTGAAAGGCTGAAAGCCAACTCGTACAAAACAACAAAGACGAGAAAGAAAGCAAGCTTCGTTTCAGGTCAAATAATGTCATAAATTAAACTTTTAATTACCTCGCTCGGTCTTTACTGAGAAATGTCGGATCTGTCTTTTTGTACAAACCTCGCCTTACGGGCTCGGTCTGTACAAAAAGACCTCGGTCCGATATTTCTCCGTAAAGACTTCGAGCTCAGGTATTAAGGGTTTAATAATCTACGAACATTAAACAGTTTGTCTTCAAAGACTTACTCTTGTTCGTCTCTGTTTTTTTCACCATATTTACTACCGGGCAATTTAAGGTAGAGCAGCAACTTCTCAGTGTCAGACCACAATTGGACGTCGACCTAAAGTGTATTTACATTATACATGAAACGCTACAGAGGAGAGAAGCTGCGTCGACGGAGAATGCTGTGAAAGCGTACCAAAATTTTCTCTATCTTTTCTTTGATTTCATCCCTGAAAAGATACACATATGAGTACACATATGAGTACACATATGGATACGTACATGGATATATATGTATGTGTGTGTGTGTGTTTGGTACACATAAAAATCTCTAGAGGCAAACACACATCCTCTCTTGTATGTTAGTATAAGATAGTATATTCTGTGACGGAGCAAAAGATCAGATGAATACATACATGGATATATAAAAGATAAAAGTTTCTCCGAATGATTTTTATTGAGCTTTCGACTCGTTGCTTCGAGCCTTCATCTCTCGAAGCAACGAGTCGAAAGCTCAATAAAAATCATTCAAAATCCGGAGAAACTTTTATCTTTTATATATTCAATGCCTGGATTACAAATTTTCAAACTCATACATGGATATGTATATATATATGTGTGTGTGTGTGTGTGTGTGGACATACATAAAAATCTCTAAAGAGGCAAACACACATCCTCTCTTGTATGTTAGTATAAGATAGTATATTCTTTGACGGAGCAAAAGATCAGATGAATACATACATGGATATATATATATATATGTGTGTGTGTGTGTGTGTGTGTGGACATACATAAAAATCTCTAAAGAGCCGAACACACATCCTCTCTTGTATATTAGTATAAGATAGTATATTCTGTGATGGAGCAAAACATCAAAACGATATAACTTATGAGGACTATACCAACACTCTTTTCAAAAATCAATACTGTCAATGCTTGGAAACCACGGATGAATGTGAACAAATCGAGTAGGACAGCTTGTTTGGTTGTGCAACTGTTCAGAACGAAATCGTAAAAACATACACAACTAGCTTAAACTTTTCTATCAAGTGGAACACAAAATAGCAGATTTCCTGCAAAGACGAGTGGGCGAGATGTAGCGGAAAAACGTCGTAGGACAGTTGGACTGACAATCCAAAGAAGTCAAAACTATTCTAGATGCAATTGGTCAAAAACTATGCGTCCATCCCACTGTTCTTCCGGGATGAGAAATATAATTTGTAAATTTACCGACTCAGCCTTAACGTTTTACATATTGCGTTCGGCACGCGAAAATCTAGAGTCAGCTGTTTGACATAAGGCTCGCTGTACAACGTCAATCAGACTGTTTTGACAAATAAAGCATTAATAAAACCTTTAATTAATATTGGTTTATCTTATTTGAGTAAATTGTTTTTGTGGAGGATTATACTCCGCAAAGATTGATATATGTAGCGTTATTCGCAAACTACGTCTGCCGTGGGTTAAAATGCGATAATCCCTTCTCGTGAAAGGTACAAGTCGCATTTAATTTGTAGTATATATTACGAACTTAATGCCGAATAAATCTGCAAGAAGTCGATTGGCTCGCGATGTCAAATATCTATTTTAACTTATCTTGCATGAACTGATAAGCTTAGTTCTAATTGGTATCAATGCACGAAGCCAAGTTGAAGAATGCTTGATCCAAAATCGAAGAAAAATTTAGAGGAAAAAGTGTTACTATTTTCAACGATGTTATAGTGTTAAAGGCGGAAATCCACTAATTTTTATAATACGTCTTGACACTTTTTCTAAATGTTACCTTACCAAGTATTTAGATAGTTTTCTATGCAAGTTGTAATCTGTTTATTCGTTGATTTATACAACTGCGTCGTTCAAGTATTTTCATTAAGCTAAATATATATGTATATATATATATATAAACACACAACACAGATGCCGTCCAGCTTGTCGTGAAAACATGTAAATTGTAAATTTTTTTCTCCATTCAATACGCAAGCCACGAGTATTTAATAAGCTACATCCACAGGCTGCATTACTATGCTAACGCAGACAATAGTTAAATTAGCACGTTTTCTGATAATTTTTTACTAATCAAATTTGCCATCCCGTCAAACTTTCGTGTTCGTTTTAAACATAGTTTGCAAACATTTTTTCAACATAAACACGAAATGCCAAAGCATCATAGTCATCTCTATTTCTCTTATATAAACCAATTCATGAATGACACACGCTTTTAGCATGAAAAAGTTTAAATTACGCTTTCCACGCATTTCCTTTATCATATGGCAGAAGCGCGACACATGGACGAACAATGGGCAGTCTCGTTTTATGCTTAACATTACACAAATAGTTTATTTTCAACGTGTTTTACACAAAGATATCGAACATCTGCTGTGAAGACGGCCAATTGACCAAACGCAATTCAATTAGAAAGCGATAAGACCTCTCTGTTTACATCGTTTAACTAACTTGGAGTTTATAAATTACCTCACTGTGACATTGTATGCTATTCATATGATTATACTCCACAAAGGACAAATGAAATAATTTAATTTTTTGTTTTTAAAATAAATTCGTGACTGATGAAGCCACGGTTTTGCAGTGGATCAGATCGAATATCTGGTGTGACAAAATCACCAAATTTGCATTTTGGACTTTTCAATAAAAGCACTCTTCAATAATCAACATAATAAATCAAGTCGCCGAAGAACACATTTCCCTTTTTTCCATCACATGTAAACAAAAGCATAGCCCGATTAATTTTCATCACGATTTGGTGATGGAACTTGAAGGAAATCTCCAATTATATAAAAGAAGACGCTCTACAGCTAACATTATCGTCTTTGTTTGATTTCGTAAATTGAAATATCTGAATCACGTACGCATTAAAAAAGCTATACCCCACTTTCTGAGCAAAACCATTTATCAAACAATCTTTATTTGGTAGTGGTTGTGCAAACAAGAGAATCATCGTAAATTATATCCATTAATGTACATGAACAAAAAAGGAATCAAATATAGTTAGATATCCTAGGTAGTATTCAAATTTGTTGGTAACTTTCGATTTCAGCTTGCAGAAATCCTTCGAAACAGACTACCTCAGGGTCAAAATCGAGTATTCCAACAACAACATGTAATAAATACGCACAAATTTAGCAATATGTTTGTTACATAAAAACTGATTTCTTCATATAACTTTCTTCATCTTGCTAAGACAAAACTAGTGGAAATGTTAATTTATCCGGTTTTCGCGTACGACCCCCACCCATCCTCATAGCATGTAAATCTTTAACCTAACACAAATTGGATGCCGCTGATGACGAGGTCAATGTCTGCTTTTTTGATTAAAAAATGGTTGGCGTTCGAGATTGCCGCTATTTTCATCGGTATTTCCAACGTAAAAAGCTAGTATAATAAAATTGTGATGTTTTAATTTATATAAAGCACTTGAATCATTCCTTATCGCTATGTATTTATTTTTCATTTCTCAAACTACAAAATTTTCCCATTTTCACAAAGCTCGAACCTTGGGTTCATGCTGTCGCGTAAAATTTTCCACGAGTAACCGAAAATTCCAACGCTTATTTACACCGGATCTACCCGTGATAGATTTTGATGTGGTAACCGAAGATGAAACGGCATCCAATTACAATAAGCTGCATACGTAGATTAGTATTTTTTGGTATCGTAAATATTAATACGAATCACTCCTACAGAAGCACATAGAGACGAAAGTAAAAGCCAATACTGTTTATCTTGCCATGGAAACTACATAGGCAAGAAATGACGTTTTGCAAAAAGGACGGTAGTAGCGCGTTCTTAGCTCGGAATAGGTGAAATGAACTTTATGTAAACCTTGATATAACACGGTCGACTTACCTTACGGTCTCCAAAAGCGATGACTCTAGAGAAGAACGATTTCCCCTCTCGGTATTTTCGCTAACTTCCGTCTCATTGGTTAGTTGAGCCGCCTCTGAAATCATTTACGTTTTAAGCTATGGTTTGACGACTAAGCTAAGCTTTCGATCTTCACAAATTCTCTGTGTGTGTTTGGGGGGTATTAACACAAAGACGACATCTAAAGTTATGGAAAGTCGATGAACCATAGAAATCTAAGCGAATTGCCAGCTATCGACCTACAACCTTCATGTCATGCCATTTACGGTTCTCTAAAAAGTCCAACGACGTTACCAGAACAATTTTAGCACCTCATGGATTTCTCGCCTCAATTTGCTACATTGACCCCATCTCGTACAATCGGTAGGACTTAAAACCCAAAATACACCACATGGTCCGAACAATTACAAACGAGCATGCGTTAATTTGCATAGCAAATTTAGCCAATCGCTGCCATGCCGTAATATCCTGATGCATGTTCAATTTGTATATATTATGTTTAGAGAGATGTATGTATATGTAATCCACTTGAGCCATCAAATTTCATGGCGTTTTTCTGCATTATCTGACTGATCTTTGCAATAGCACAATAGATAGTAATCAAATTCTTTGCGTCATTTAACGCAAAGATAAGTTAAAGCCCAAATTTTCGACTTAGTTATCTTAAAAGGATGTCTGATAGAGACTGGTATCGCTTTCAAAAGATCTTTGTTTTCTAAACAGGGTACTGTACGCGACTTGTCTCGGCAAAATTGAGCAAGCACGAAGTTTGGTGGTTTTCCTGGAAGAGCCTTTTCGAGCGAGAAAGAACTCCCATTATCCACGTGTTTTCTTTTCAAACACGCGTGTGCTGCGAAACGGTAATCGATATTGGTAAGTCAACGATGTTACATTAACTCATGTCACCTGCCTTTACACTATCAGATGAACACAGAGAGTTATAAAAAAACATCGCTAACTAAACAAAAGCTCACATATATGGTCATATATACAAAATAAGCTAATCTGAACCGTTTTTAAAGCTAAACCAAGCCGCCTGGGGCGTGGGGAGGAGATATTGCTTCATTCATTCTCGCGGCGTCCCGTACTTGTTCCCAGTTCTTCAAAGTCCCCCCCCCCGTATAATCTAAACAGTTTTTAAACCTAAACCAAACCGCATGGGACGTGGGAGGAGCTATTGCTTCATTCATTCTCACGGCGTCACGTACTTGTTCCCAGCTCATCAAAGTTCCCCGTATTCTCACGTCAATGCAACGAGACGGAAGGAGCTTTCAAAGAAAGTATCATAGTGAATGGTTGATAGGTTACTATTTTGCTGCAGAAACGTTTTAAAAAAATGCTGAAAACGCTTCTAAACTTCTCGTGTAAGAGAACGCGCCTTGAGACAGAAGTAATTACCATTGAATGCGCAGGGTCACATTCGCCGTGGGACACCACAAAACTAAACCTGGAATGCCATCACTTGCGATATCAACAAATGATCATACTTAAATTTACATCATGAATAACCTAAACAACATATATAGGCGTTTTCGGCCAATTTTAAGTTCAATGACAGAAGCTAAATCTGGAAGATGGACTCTACGATAATATGATAATAGTTCTAGCTAGGAAATACACCCATGACACATTTCCGTACATCACAAGGATCGTGTCTGGGAGCGTACTTCGGATTGGTTGGACCACTTGTCGTTGTGAGAAATGTCCCTTGATCGGGGGGGTGACGCGGGAATATGACTCGAATGTCCGTATGAAGGTATACACGACCAGATTTCGACGATGCAAATCTAAAAATTACGTTGAAAATAACGCTAAGAAATTAAAAAAAAAGTCTAATGGATTATGTTTGTCGGGTTCACAGCAAAAATACCTCAAATGGATCAAATAATGAAGATTATCGTGTATCTAAAACAGCGGGAAAAAACATAAATCAGTTGGATTTTCAACATCCAACACCTCGACTATCTATAGTGAATCGTTTTTTATAAGAATCGATTGTGTATATTGCCCATCGCTACATGAGTAGTACGCAGCATTGAGTTAGAAAATTAAATGAAGTGGAAGCCTATCTTCGGTCAAAATTCGGACTAGATTTAAAAAAACTTGGCTGTCCAGTTATGCATTCACTTCAATGGTATGCAGTTGGAGCTAGTCCTTCACGTATGTCACTGTGTGGGGGGGGGGCTGATTTTTTAGCCGGGTGCATGGAGGATGCGCAACAACTAAATTTTCTATCATCCCCATAACAATTCAAAAATGGCGAGCGGACTTTGCTATCATAACATTATTATGTGCTGGAAAATAAGATGGCAACCTATTTATAACTTCAATAAACAACAGCACCCTCCCCCCTCCCCCCTCCCCCACCAAGTAAAAATTCTACTACTCTAGTCAGATGAGCATAGATCTATCGCTGCTTGTGGCAAATAGCCTCTATCTCCGATAACACCAAAAGACCATAAACCAAAATCATAAATAATGACAGCACTGTGTTATCCTTACTTTTTTTTTATGATCATTTGATGGAGCAATTGAGGTAGTCTTTTGCCGTAGACACGTTTGACAATCCGGTTGCATGTCCGAGAAATCGTATAAGACGACGAAAACCTTCACTACAGTTTGATTAGGATTGAAAAGCGTCTAAAATATACAAAAACCCTTGGTTGAAAATTCAAGATGAGTTTAAACGTTGAAAGGTTTGTGAAAATGGCAAATATGTCATCAGTGGCGCAGTTTTGACTGTGAGGGGAGAAGGGGCATGGCGTGTAACATCTGGTGTTAAAAATTATCACGTGACTTTAATCCGTTCTCTATTTAGTTTCGACGCATCATACTTTTTGCCGAGGAATACAGTAAGTTATCGCCCCCCTCCTCCACACATTCTATGATTTCATATTTGTCCAAAGTAGCAGAGAAATAATTTAAAAATACCAATTGAATTGTTCCCTTTTTTGGCACGTGGTAGCCCTTCCTCGACAAACCTGATGCATCCAACGATATGTAACCCTGCAATGACGTAAGAAATAATGATGAGACGAACCCATTCACAGGCTGGAATAAGGTGAATAACAAACACAGGTACAGACTGCCGTGTAAACATTTATGCATGTTTTTTATTAGATCTGGTCTGAAGAGCTTAGATTCTTCCACTTGCTTTATATAGTCGCAACATTCAGAGCGGGGGGATGGAGGTAGAGTGTAAGCTTATTCGACTAGATCCAATAAAAATGTGCATATACGGTCACACAGGTACAGAGTTGGATAGAATGATGCCTGGTTCATACTAGTAAAATAAGCATGAACGACAAGACTTTTGTTTCATTTGCTAAAGAGGTTTACAAAGACAAAGACATCGGCGTTTTTATTTAAATATTCTTTTTGTTCTTCGTTCAGCTTATGCTTGACTCCTTTTCTTTATTCTGATGCTTATGTCACATGCTTCGTTTAAATTCTTTTTGTTTAATCTTTTGTCTTCGCTTTTGCTTGTGCTTATTTCACTCGAGTGAAAGATCCTTAAACAGTCTCGGTTTAAGTCTCGGTTTATGGATTCACTTCGCCAACAAGTTTTTGGCGTATGCACTTGATTTCATTATTAAAGTATGCGTTATCCTCGAAAGGCGAATTTTCCTTTAACACTGCGGGCCAAGTTATGTGGAAAACTACGCAGAATGGATATGCGCCATTTCTATTATAGCTTACTGACCATATAAGGTGACGGTGCATCGTCGTCAGATAACTTAAAAAAGTTGGCCAGAACAGGAAGAGTGACGTGGGGAAGACATTTCTTTGATCCACTTGCGCTCAGTTCGGCAGTGAAACCCTTTGTATAAAAATAACTCCATTTTAAGTCACCTCATTAATGTTTGCGATCAGCTCGATAGTCGTGTTTGTCGTTTCATTAATTTTCTTTTTCGTTCCTTGTCATGCTTATTAAAGTTACCTAAACTTGTAGTAACGTATTTGTGAGGTTTTTTGCATTATGTGAACTTGTTGTGTTGTATTTGAACTAGTTATGCTGTATTTGTTAGGGTTATAAAAGTTATGTTTGTTTTATTTTTAAGCTTAAGAAAGAAATGTTGCGTGTATTTGTTGGGCTTATTTAAGTATTGTGAAACTGTTGTGATGTATTTTTAAGATTATTGAAGTAAACAGAACTAGTCGTGTGGTATCTGTTAGGATTATTGAAGTTTTGTAAACTTGTTGTGCCGTATTTGTTAGGCTTATTAAACTTGAATAAACCTGTTGTGTTTTATTTGTTAGCCTTAAAAGCGTTATGTCAGCCTGTTGTGTCGCAATTGTTGTGTTTAAGAGTTTAAGAGTTTAAGAGTTTTAGAGGTTTTATTTGAACCTGTTGTGTTGTATTCGTTGGGTTTAAAAACGTTATGTGAACCTGTTGTGTTGTATTCGTTGGGTTTAAAAACGTTATGTGAACCTGTTGTGTTGTATTCCTTGGGTTTAAAAACGTTATTTGAATCTATTGTGTTGTATTTGTTGGGTTTGAAAACGTTATGTGAACCTGTTGTGTTGTATTCGTTGGGTTTAAAAACGTTATGTGAACCTGTTGTGTCGTATTCGTTGAGTTTTAAAAGCGTTATATGAGCCAGTTGCGTTTTATTTGTTGGGTTAAAAACGTTATGTTATGTAAGCCTGTTGTATTGTATTTGTTGGGATTATTGAACTTTGTGAACCAGTTGTGTTGTTTCTTTTAGGGTAATCAAAGAGTTGTGATGGAGGCTGTAAAATCATTGAAAATTATTTCACACCTCAACAACGCCGTCTGGAGGTAAACGACCGTTCAAAACAGATTCCTGCGAGAAATGATAAAGAATAAACACAAGTAAGAACACTTTTTTATTGTGTGTTGGCGGCCAAAGTTAAAATTTTCACCATTCATGGTATCGTGAATAGAAATTGGGAAAACTATAATTGCAACAAAAACAAAAGAGTTTCGAGTACCTCAAAATTTCCCAATAACTGACTTTGCGTCGCTAATGTAGGTGCGCTTAGACTGTACTGATGAGAGAGGCTCGCGTTTATACCACGTGACGGGCTGTCGAAAAAAAGACAAATCTCCTTTACAAGCGGATATTTTTGTTTAGAATCTTAGCTACGATCTACCTGCACATATCATCGACAGTCTGTCCCTTTGAGGTCTTTCGAAACGGAGCCTAAATACGTGAAATGAATGAACGAAAGTTTAGAAGAATAAGAACCAGCAAGGGATACATGAGGCTTTTATAGAGGAGGGGGGTGGTGGGGAAGTTTTAGTTTTGTTTAGATTTTGGTGGCTTCTGGTTGCTGTGGCATATCAGACTTGTTATGCTTGAGAGATCTTTCGAATTGCTTTGCTTAACTGTTTGATATATTGGTATTTTGTTGAAAAATTGGCATTCCTCCTCTGCACCCCCTCTTACAGAGGCGCACCCCTCCTCTAAACCTTTTATCATTCCAACGTTGCTAATTTTCATTATAAAACTATCACGCAATCAACAAAAGTTTACTCAGGAAAAACTATACCGGACTGGAGGACATAGGTAAACCAGTCCTGGGATGAAAGACAGCCAAAGTCCCCGTCGACGCATGTCTATAATGATTTCTTGTTTGTTGAAAACGAGTACTAGACTCAATCTTTTGCTTTACAAATACATTATTCTTTATGCCTTCATCATCATCCTTAAGGTTTCCCTCGTCGGAAACGAAGCTTTTGTAATTTCTTCCATGTAATCGTTGCCCGGCTACCGATCCTGTCATTTCGCGTTTCAACTTTCGTTGTACAACGCATTCATAATCGTTGTTATTCTTTAAATTTTTTAAAGCTTTCTCTTCGGTGCTATTGCCATTGCTATTATTCACATCTGCAATAAAACCACAACTGAAATCAGATTCTTTGCTCGTCGCTTCCTCGTCATCATAAGTGAAATTCATTTTTGTTCTACAACTTGGATTATGTCCTTTTTCCTTGCATTTCTCATTCATGAAACAAGCTTTCGTTTCCGTGTTTGAATAAGCACTTTTCACGTTTTGCTCTGAGTTTTTGCAGCTTGCGTGACATCCTTCTTGCATAATTGAGCATTTCACAGCGTCGTAATGCAAAATATTATTCTCGTGGTTTCTGTTTTCGCGCATATTTTCCCATCTTTTATATACTCGATCGCAACATTCTGGTTTCAAAGAAGCATTCTTTGAAAATGATGTCTTTTCATTCAAACACTTTTCATGCAAACTATCCCCTTTAATTTTTGAGCTTTTTTGTCCTTCCACGAAACCATCAGATGCATTTTTCTCTACTTTGCCAACACTTCCAAACTCCAATCTTCTAGCAACATGAGAACGTCTATCTCTCGAGCGTTCATCGTGAAGCGATTTAGTTTTATCATATGATTTCGGAGTTTGATCTGTAGGTGTATGACCAAATACCCATGAATAACACTGCCAGTCTAATGTTGAATCAGAATGTGGAAGAGAATGAACGGAGACATTAAGAGTCTTTGTGTCGAGCGCAACATGAGGAAATTGATGGAAATCTGGTGTCAGTATGAATGTTTTTAAAGGTGTTTTGTCCTCCATTTGACAAAACCTTGAAAAAAGATAAACATTTTATATCGAATCTCAAATGTCAATGTAAGCAGCAACAAGCCGCCAAGAACAATTGGTTAGAATTACCTGAAATATACGTGTCTTGGAAATTTACCTTGACTTAAACTAAGCCAAGCACTAAGCTGTGAAAAGTACAACTTTGACTTGATAGCTTGCAGCAGCATTTTGTGGGTACAGTGTAGTCCGCCATTTGAATTTCTAGACATAGAAGTACAGATTTGAGCATGTGTATTGTCTTATAATAACAATATCAACATTTCAAGTATAAAAAAACACCTTTCTGATTTAATTTCAATCCGCCATTGTTCAAGTAATAAATGATCCTTATTGCCATATACTGCATCATTGGCATTGAATGTTTCTCCTCGATGCAGCCAAACTTCCAAAAATATCAACTCTCTTAATTTCCATGAAGTCAAAAGATCTTTTTGATTCTGAATGAAAATGAGAGAATGAGAGAAAATGAGAGAATAAGTTTATCTACTTATGATTAAATTTTAAACTTTTGGCATTCCATGGATTTAATGAATGTTTGATGAGTACTCAGCCAAGCAATCTTGCATATTAACAAGTCAATTTTTTTAACCATTCTAAATATCTTGGACCAAATGACCAACCTCACACTAGGTCAACAAGCACTTAACACGAGAACAAATTCCTTTCTCGATTTTCATATGGTGACAAACCTTATCACATTTTTTGAAAACATCACTGAAGCTCTTATCTTTCATGTTGATCTTGTCATTGTGGGTTTTGCGTCCTTCATGAATGAGCATCCAAATTTCACCGACAAGGTCTTCATGATTATATCCAGTTTCATTACCTAAATATGAGCAGTTTACAAAAAGATCAACTTGAGGCCTCTACATCAAAGTATGAGACAAGATATGATGTGAATACACAGAGAATACTTCATGTACTACATTAGGGTCTTTTTAGTTTGGAATTAACTGTAATCAAACGAAGGCCGAGGAAACCATATTTCTTAAGACAATGGTGCAAGAAACCAACAAACATAGGCATAACAACACTTTCAACAAAGGTTATAAAATATTTCGATGTTAGGTACAAAAGAAATCGAATGCTACGATGAAATTATCTTCCATTTTTTTTGGCGTTTATATTTTAATTATCAGATCCCAAAACATGCGCAGGAGTATAAAGTATTCAATTGTCAAAACATTTTTGTAAATGTCAAATATTTGTAAAATAAATCTAAAATATTTTTAAATATGCATACTTAGAAATACCAAAACTGCTTTGTTTTGATGCTAATTTTCATTTGTAGATAGTAATGTGTGCATGAATGTAATCGTAAGAATTACCTTCATTTGGTCTCATCTTGAACTGTTGAAGTTTTTCTTGTTGACCCTTTAGACAAAATAATCAGTTTTATTTCATTTTCCTTTGTTTTCTTATCAAAATTATTGATCGAGTATAGACTTGTTTTGGTTGGCACTTGGCAAGTCAAAGTACAAAATTATTAATAATAAAAACAAGCATTCTGATTGGACAAATTAGTAATTTAAGATGACGTATCTTATTTCACGTTCTTGGGCTTCCACTTGCAGGAAGTTTCCTGGCAAAAGGCAATAAAAGGGCTTTGGTAGAAAAACTCTCCGGAAATAGTCTATTGTGAGATTGAGAAGGCTTGTAAAACGATTGTAATGTATGATTGGAAGCATTGTAAAGTTTCAGGGGCTAAACAACAGATGAGATTATGAAGCATCATCTAGCGTGACAAACAAGTTCCGTTCCATTCATTGATCTTTGACACTGCTAAACATGAAGACATAGAAACTATACAATTTTTAGAAAAACTTGCCACTGCCTGTTAACAATTTTTATAATTTATTATTATCTGGTTCTGGCAATGGTGGCTGGGGCAATAACGCATGCGCATTAATTCTACTCCCTTCAAAACAAGCCGAACTCCCCTGTAATATCAGTTGCGCATGCGCCGTGGTACTTTCTTTTTGTTGAAGTCGACAATCAAGGTCGAAAACATGCCTGTGAGTTTGTCGAAAATACTGGAGTTTTTAATGTTTAATTTAGTTTTAGTCTCAGATTTTTGTCTCGAAAAGCGTAATGATGTGTGCTTTTTATTGTGAAGTGAAATAAGCTCTACTTGCCGTCCAATTTTCGTTTTTATGAGCGTTCGTTAGTTGTTACAAGTTTGTGCTTGACCGCGTGTTGTCGTAGCATGTTGAGTGATGAATTTTGTCCACTGCTGTGTAAAGCGTTCTTACCGTTAACTTCTTCTCAAATTGTCTGGAAATCCAGTAAACATTTTCTTTACTTTACTCAATGCAGTTTGCTGTTAGCGAAACTGGTTATCACTTGATTTATTTGATTAAATAATCACCTCCCCTGGATATGCAAGCTTTATTTTTCTAAGGCGTTTTGTAGATTTCGTGCATTTTGTGTTCTTGTCAATGATCATTTAGTATTGTCCATGTAATTTGTATCGTTATATTTTTAAATTTATAAACTGCTTGTAAGGTTCTGTAAGCCAAGTGAACATGTCTTTATTGATGTGAATATATTTGTAGTTGTATAAAGATTTACTACATCCTACTGCTGAAGAAGAGAAAAGAAAACACAAATTAAAAAGGCTTGTGCAGTCACCCAATTCATACTTCATGGATGTAAAATGTCCTGGTAAGTTCTGTTGTGGAATATGGAAAATATTCTTACATGTTTGTAAATGTAGATCGTCCAGGTTGGTATAGTCGTGAGAAGGACTGTTTTTGTTGTTGTTGACTGACGTTTCAACAACCTTAGCGGTAGTCATCTTCAGAGTCTTTTGACATTTACATTTACAAACATGTAACAATACTCTCGGGTTCAAACCATTTACTTTATGAGGAAAATATTCTTGTTGAGTTCTATTTCAATTTCTGATTCCTTTTTGCTACAGGTTGTTACAAGATTACGACCGTATTCAGTCATGCCCAGACAGTTGTGCTATGCGTTAGCTGTTCGACAGTTCTGTGTCAGCCCACTGGTGGTCGTGCAAGATTAACTGAAGGTTGCCATGCCTTTTTGTTTTATAAATTTTATACAATATGTAATGTATTTTTATTTTTGTTTCTTAGGCTGCTCATTCAGAAGGAAGCAACAATAAGTAATTACTACTAAGAAAATTGTAATGTTGATATTGTATTAAACAATAGCTTTGATTCTGTCTCACACTTTCTAATGATATATTTTTGATGATAAGTTATAGTTCAACCATTCAGTGTTTGGCCACAAATGTATCAGCAGCCACAAAATTTTTTGTATACTGCGACATACACATCTATTTCAATCAATAGACTTTTTTTCATGCACCCCATTGATAATATTGAATATTTTTCGGTGTTATTAAGATGAGATGATGCTTGTTTTTGACTCTGTTCTAGCACATGGTTTGTGTTAGTGAGAATTTCTGACACACATTGACAACCCTGGGTTTATTGCTACTTTAGACATTGTTAGGTATAAAAAGATTTATTTAAGTCAAAATCTTTTTCATTTTTATGTTACAAAGAGTAAGGTATGTCATGAAAGTGTAATTATAAATGATATATTTTCATGTAATCTATTCGTTTTAGCTATCAAAAATTGTTACTAGTTTGCCTGTTGCCTTTTTCTCATGTTTTCTAGATCAGATTTCTAAACTAATAACACTTTGACTATGTATAATGAATTTAAAACTATGTTGTTTTGTCAAAAGCACTAGTTGCTGATTGCAAAATTTTAAATTTTGATTCACAATGAAATGTTTGTCTTTGCTAGGGTTGCTTTTCATTGAATTTAGTATGAGAAATTCTTTGTTAATGATAATCTAAGAATCTATTTAAGAGTATGATCTTGAGAGAATTTTGAATTTTTGTCTTATTAAACTTGGGAAAATCTATCTTACCAATAATTTTACAAGTTGAAATAATTCTTTGAAATTGCCTTTTACTGTGTATGATATGACTTCACAGTTGTATTTTATCTTCAATGTGAGGCAATAATATAATTAACATCAAGAAATAGATCTTGTTAGTTAAGAGAAAGTACTTGAGAAATTTGCATATTATGCGCGTGGGTGTTAATGGGAGGGAACTGTTGTCAGGGGGGTTGACACTTTAAATTTTTTGTTTCGTAATTTAGAATTCACTGCTTCGCGTTAGTCTAGAAGAAAGACAACACAGAAGTCTTCAACAATCAAGTAATTAACGCTTTTCTACAATTTATGAGCATTTTTTTGAACTTGCGTTTGAGAAGAATACGTCCATAAGCTAAGAATAAAATAACGTGTGTCTGCTGATACAACTCTGTTTAAGGAACTAAATCGACGACATTTGAACTTTGTAAATTTGAACGTCACGATCAACATTTCAACAAATTATGTCGAATGTGGAAAACAGTGAGTTGGATGATCTACGTTTGCTTGAAGGACTATCCTTACAAGATATCGAAGAGCTTTCCAATGCCATTGACCCAGAGGTAAGCCAAATTGAATATTCGAGTACTGTACTAAATATTTTAGCCACTCTATAGTTGATACGCGATCAATTTTAGACATTCCGAATGAGCATTTAGTTATTTTAATTGTGACCAAAGATACTACACAAATTTTTTTTGTGTTTCAATTCAAAGTATTTCGTAAATAGGCATGTTTACGAGTTCATCAGTCAAGCTTAATACAATTTACGCTGAGTAAACATTCTAGTTTTCCTTGTACATGGTTTTTGGGGCGTTTTTTACCTCGGTGTGTAAATCATTCATATAAGCGATTTGAAGCCTACGTAATTTATTATTTATTATTTATAAGTAGTACAGAATGCTTGTCTTGTGTAGATACTGGTTTGATACATTTTCTTTTGCTATTTCTACAATTTTCAAGATAGGTAAACAAACACAGCGTTTATTGAACCTTTTGCCGGCGGATGCTGCACTTTGTTACCATGGGAATTAACATCACATATATATCTATATTCCTGATTTTCCTTTTGTCTTTCTAAGAGCTTTTGTTTCTGGAAATAAATGCATCAAGTGATTGGAATTTTAATTGTATATAATTGTTATAATAAATTGCAACAAGAGGGCATATCAATTTTCAAGTGGTGTCCATACTTCATAATGCCCATAACGATATATAGACATAATTTTTGCAACTAGAATGAATTGCTACCAGCCGGTGAAAGGCAAGAGAACCAGACTGAGAAAGAACCCACCGGTCCGTTCAGTCGAGAACATCTTCTGAAACACATGGAAAAGGAGGCGTTAGAATCTAAAGTTGGCGAGAATTACTTGCCATTCAAGAAGGAAACTCGTGGTAAAGTTTGGAAAGCAAAACCAAAACAGAAACCTCAGGCTACAATATTGCCAGATGACCTAAGTGATGCACTAGATGGGGCTTCCGTTGATGAAATTGCAGAACTCGCTGGTCAGTTGAAATATTTGAGCTGTTTTATTAAATAGTAGTAGAGAGTTTTCACTGACTACTATGTCCATAAAAAAACTTGTACAGCTTTAAAAATTAGGCAGGTTCAGTGCAATATTGATTATAGGAAATTTTGTTGTAATCCACCAACATGTAAACTTGAGGTCATTTGGAAAGGAAGAATATTTTGTGTCAGACCCTTATGAACCTTTCTCCCTTATCTTAAGTTTTCAATCAATAATTATATAGCTGTTCTGGGGCTCCATGGGCTGCTGACCCAGGAACAAAGTACCTTTCTCGCTTATCTTAAGTTTTCAATCAATTATTATATAGCTGTTCTGGGGCTCCATGGGCTGCTGACCCAGGAACAAAGTACCTTTCTCACTTATCTTAAGTTTTCAATCAATTATTTTATAGCTGTTCTGGGGCTTCATGGGCTGCTGACCCAGGAACAAAGTTCTATTGGAGATGCAAGTCTGGTTGGGAAATCTTTGCGTGGCAGTGGCTTGCGCAAAGCAAAACCAAGTAAGAATTGTTCATTGAAATTGCACAATAGATGCCCACATGGCCTATTGCCTAACCATTTGTGATTTTGCAGAGTATGTTAGTGCTAGCAAACAGAAGAAAGATCCAAGTTTGAAAGCGGTAAACGAGCTAGATCTGGCTAACGCATTGCAAAAACTGGAATCAAATGATCCAAGTCTTACTAATCTCAATGTAAATAATCACAAAGATATTGATGAGCTTGATGCGATCAACAGGATTATAGAATGCATCCCCGGCAATACAAACTTAAATGTTCTGTCCATGGCGAACACAAAAATGTGTGATAGACATGTCAAGGTGAGGTTATCTTGCCTTTAACATTGTGTGAATTGAATGTCGTATTGCTCGCAATGCTTGTAATTGCTCGTAATGTCGTCCAGCAAAGTGCGAAGATCATATCTTCATTTAATTTCAAACACCGCACTGCATAAAACATTCATACGACATTCCTTTCACGAGAAAACATTGTGTGAATTAGTAAAGAGAAAACAATGTGTAATTTTTTAAGAAAAATTTACATCCAAAGTCATGATCAAATTGATATTAGTTTTTGCATGCAGCTACTTAGACTCACATTAAAACAGATACTCCACAAAGCTGAATATGATGCAGCAGTTTGCTAATATCTTTAAATTGTGTGATTGATGTACCATAATGTAATGTACTGCAATTCTGTGTCCACTTTCTTTTGTTTTCATGTTTTTATGGAGGTTTAAATAATTTTAAAATTTTCATAGTGTGATCTCATATTACAAATGTCAATTTGCATACTAGTAATCAATGGATATTATGTGCTTATTTTGTGTATTGTTTGAAAAAATTTTGTGAAATTTGCCCGATTTTGGCCAAAATAATGTGCAAATTGCACATTGTTAATTCACACATTTGTAATTAAAGTGCCAAGTAATACATGAAATGGTAACTTATGTATTTTAATGGTTTAGCAAATCGCCAAAGCTTTGCATGGAAATACAACAATTACATCTCTCAATGTTGAATCAAACAATCTCACTGGCGAAGGAATCAAGTGCCTTATTCAGGCGTTGAGAGTGAACACTACTTTAAAAGAATTACGTATTGCCAATCAGGTGTGAAGTTTTTGTATTATAATTTAGTTTTGAAAACATAGAACAGTTAAACATGCAAGGCACATTTGGGTACATTATTTAGGCTCAAATGATTGGTAGTCAAGCGGAGGATGAGATAGCTAATGTTTTGAAAGTGAATAAGACTTTGTTGAAGTTAGGATGTTCATTTGACTCACGTGGACCACAAGTGCTGGTTGATAAATACTTACTAAGAAACAATGATATAGGTATGTATTTATGTGGAGAGTAACCCAACCAGATCAATTTATGTCTTTAGGACTGTGTTTTCAACTTTATAAAGCATGTTTTTTGTCTGATGGACTTTTCACTTCAACTTTTTTCAAAATTTAGCCCGCAAAGAGCGCAAACGTCTAGAAGAAGAGTGATTTTGGTCCATGATCATGAGCACATGTGCTGTAGGTTAAATCTAGGCTGTAAAGTTTGAAGCTTTTCGTTAACAATTACATATTGACCAGTGCAATAAATACGTATTTAATTCATCAAGAAAATCAAGATAGTTAATGCAATTTGTTGGAATAGGTAGTTTAGAATAATTTGTTGACCTGTACTTTAGTTGATTTGAGAAGTTTTAGGGTTCATATAAAATACTTGATAGTAAATAATGAGATTCAAATTTGAACCCTGGTAGACTTTTTAACATCTAGTTGATCATTTTAAATAATACATTCATATTAAATCATTAAGCTTCCATGTATGTTTGCTTTGTCAATCTTTGTGATGACCTCCTAAAATAACAGCAACAATGTTTTAAATTAATAAATCAGCAGTGAATATTAAAACCAAAACAAAAAATGCATACATACAATCTGCCATCACATGTCTTGATGCTGTTACAATCTTCCGTTGTCTTTTTGGCGTAATGGTCTCTGATGTATCGAAAAGCCTGTGCCGTTGCATACGGTAGACCTGTCACCGGATCCTTATATTTGGCTGGAAGCCCGGTAACTGGACAATATGCTTTTTGAGGAACTGTCACTTTATTACCACAGGTAAAATAGTTTCCTGGAAATGTTTTCGGATCTGTGAATATTATAAAGTTTCTAGAACATTTGACCAGGGGAGTTTTGGTCATGGTTTCAATTTCATCCATTTGGTCTTCCTTAATGTCATCATCAACATCAACTTTGATCTCATTGATGGTCTCAATCATGGGCATGGATAAGGAAAGGTATCGAATCATAGGTTCTTTGCGAACAGGCTTGAGATTTTTTGCTTTTTTCTTTGTTTCTTCCATTTGCTGGTAGGCTTTTAGCGAGGCAATGTTGATTTTTGTGACTTCTGCTTCTGCTAACAGTTCTTTTTGCGTAAGTGGCCTGAGTTGGGAGAAGGTCACTTGTTTTTTTTCTACCTACATATGCAATGAATTATCACAGAGTACATGTCATGTCAGGTAGCATTGTTTTTTGTAAATCAATGGGGACAATCTTCTGTATGTCAATTGTCAGGTTTGGCTGTGTAAACTCAGGGGCATAGCCTGGTAGGAAGTTTATGTAGGTGTGCAATGTAAATTTCAGAACATCTTCATCATATATGCGTTTAGAATCTAATGTTTATGGAGTGAGTAAAGAGGGAAAAAATTGCTTAACAAGAAATAAACAACCTGGCTGGTCAAGCTAGTGGCACGACCCCACAACCGTAATGCTGTATGCAACTGGCTGCCTATGCCGTAATGCTGTGTGCAACTGGCTGCTGTATATTTAATAAGATTACAGGCTGCCATAAGCCATTTCATCATTCCTATTGGTCATAAATTGCAATTGACTAGTTGCCACTATGGTAATCACATGTGCCATGGGATATTCGTGTCTCTACTGTATGTTCTCTATATTGTGCACTTTCAATGGAGTGGCTCTACTGTATGTTCTCTATACTGTGCACTTTCAATGTAGTGGCTCTACTGTATGTTCTCTATACTGGGACACAGCGTACACAACCTGCAAGTTCCTTCAATCCTGAACTACCTGTTTCTTTTCAATTCTTTTTCGTTCCTTATCTGCACTTCGTACAGTTGCAGCTCTGGTCGATTTCCTGCTCGAAGTTCTCAATTCCACCGGTGACTTCTTCCCTCCAGTAGTACTAGTAGAAGACTTTCTTTCTTTATTTGCTTTTTTCGCTTGCTGTTTGTCACCTCTTTCATTTACGCTGTGCTTTGACTTGAATATTCTTTTCGTTTTTTGCGTTTCTTATTTTCATCTTCATCTTGTTCGACGATTTCTTCTGTTTCGGACAAGCTGAAGTCGGAATCGACTTGATCGGATTGTTCATCTTCCGACATATACTCTTCATCGTCAGACTCATCCTCAAACCCACCAAGGGCTGTTTTGTAGAAATCGTCATCCCTAGCTCATCTGCAAGCAGTTTTGACATTTTATTGCCGGCATTTTTGCGCTGTTCCCTTGATTTAGCTAGGCTTTCGCTATCGACGCTCTCCTCCTTTTCCGCCATCTTAAGTCAGGGTCTTATCAAGGATAATCGTGGTTATTACATGGATAAGTGAACGAGGACTTTCACGGTAATTTGTGAATCGCATGAACTTTCCCTGCTTGCACGTGGAACCCGCACGCCTCTCTGATCAAAAAAAAGATGTCGCCTGCACAACGTCTTCTGCCGTTGTTTCACAGTACATTTTCAACGCCTATATGTGCAAATAAAGCATATAAGGTTGGAATAAAGTCATAAAATTGGAAATGTAGACATTTACAAGTTACGCGTATGGAATTAATGGAAAGAACCGCGAAAGAGTCCTGTTTTGTAAAGTTTTTTGAAGCTCGAAGGCCGTTTTGATTCGTCATTTGAATTTCATGTAACGTGAAGCAATTTGTTGTTGAATTTTGCAATTGATATCCTGTTCTCAGTCGTTTAATTTTTTATCAACATAATTTGTTTGAACTATATTCAATATCTAAACGAGAATTGTTTTAAAATTTCGTAGGTTGTTGCTTGAGTAAATTTTACGGATCGGGACCAGGTGCTGATGGGCCGAGGCAGGTGAGTGAGTTATTTTCAATGTTTTTGTTTTAAACTGCCCATTTATTTTACAACAAGTCTCAAGTCTGAAAATATATGCATGGTCGTCGAGTTTACAGTATTTTATGCGCAGAGCGCGTTTAGGAATTCTGTATGAGAAGGGTTTGAGTTGGATTACATAATGTTTTTCGTGGTCGATTGTCCGACATTTGCAATTGCGTTACATAAAAAATTTGTGTTTCCGTGCTTACATATGTTTCCAGATTTAAATCCTATGCTTATGGAGTGCTCCTTTGTGGATATTTTATGTAGTCTCGCTATATTATTGCTTTTTTCATTAAACATGTACATCCATGGCCTTAAGGATGTTTTTGTTGGGGTGGCTGGTCGTGTTAAATTAAGTGTTGAAGGCGTAAGAAGGCAAAACAAATTATATTTTACCAGAAAGGGGAGTATTGGTTGCAATAACATTAAATCATCTCGGTGACTTGATCGAAACTTGCAAACTTGAGAAATGTCGATGTTGTAATCTCCATTGACTTTTTAGATAATTATTTTTTACATCGCGACGTCAACAAGCAGTGAATTAAAGGTTAATAAATAAAGTTCAATAAGCAAATACATATAATGTTAAAAACTTCGAAAATACTACCTAAACTAGTAAACTCAAATCATGTACTTGGAAATATAAATTATTGCTGATGACCTTCGTATGTTAGTGTTCCGTGATGAAAAAGGCTTCAAACATGTTGAAAGTTGCTTTGTGTCATGATAGCGCAAAGGAAAATTACTTTAAACAAATTTACTTGGTGCATATACAATTGCTGGACCTTGTCAATAACGGGCTAACGTATTATTGCGAAGAAATCAAGAAGCTATTTACAAATTTGATGTCCCCGGCTGTGTGACAAAATACATTTGAAATGTAGTCTTTGTTTGATTTTCAACAAGTTCATCAATGTTCATTCAAAATATTGTTGTACAGTTCCTGATATCATTTCTTGTCTCCTGATAACGTGATTGAAATACTGACATGAAGTCTCTGCTAAAATATGAAATAAGGACAAACACAAAAATGAAATTAGCTAACAAGTGTCTTTTCCAGTATCTTCTCCACACACGGCCAATGGGAATGTTGTAGTGATACATCTGAACATGATTTGATAAACAGTTAAAAATAAATTCAATGGCGAGACCAATTCCATGTTTGTATTTCAAAACTTTGAAGGTGGTAAAAAGTAAAGTAAGCTTGACTCAGAACGATAGTGCTGTATTCAAAAAGCATATCTTGTATTTCCAAGTCAGCTTGCAACCGTCTTGCATGTGCTGTGTTCCACGTTGATGCACGAAATCGTTGGAAATAGCCCAGAGAGTGTAACTTTAAGATTGTGCGTTTCCAAAAATTGATGAAACGTTGTCGAGTGGTCCTTATAAAAAACCCTGAAATTGATGACAATAATGAAAGACCAACGAATAGCCAAATACTTTGGAAATCAGATTGCATTATTCGAAACAAAAATATAGCTCCACCTCGGATAACGTACACGAGTACAAAACACCGACCAGGGTGAATAAGCTCTGAACTTTTGCTCAGTGCCATTTGCATACATATCATGGCAGGAACAATGGTTATCGCTGGAGAGGAGACGGCGATAAGGAATTTGAACCTATGCTCTTCTACTTTGTTGAAAAGGAAAATAATAGCGTATCTATTGATGTATGAAATAAAAGCACATAAAATTAACTCGATTAGAATAAGGGTCATAATATGAACATTCGAATATGAAACCACGATGTCGTTGGAACGGATGTTGTAAACTATTACGGAAGTTGAACACACTAACATAATGCAAAAGCAAACGCTTCTTGGATATCCATAGTACATTTCTGTGTTGTAAAGCTGAAACTCCATCAAAATCTGATCGTATATCACTATTAACAAGCCAAAAATTACAGCAATATAAGCAACAGATAAATACTTCGTTTTGAACTCTTTCCAACTGAATAATAAGATCATAGTAATTGGGAACCAAGTGTATATCACCAACGTTTGAACATTATGGCCATACAAGTGAGCACGTTGCACAGACAACGGCAGACTCTTGTTGTAATGATTCTGCAATTGCAAACATCTGTAAGTGGTGTTTATTGCCAATAATATTATTGCCATGGCCATAGCAGTTGATGGAATGATCGCTAGGAGGAGATGGATTGTCATCCACGTACTTTTCAAAAGAGATTTGCAAATGGTTCTACCATTTTGCAAGTTCGTTGTGTTCTGAAGTCCTTCATTCGCGATCTCCGAAATTAAAATTTGATCATTGTTGTCATTTATATCCATGTCGTCGTATTCTTTGTTAATATACGATACAAATGGTTCATTTTCAAGTTCTTTGAATTCAAAACCCATCTTTGCACGTCTTGAACTGCGAACGATAAAATCAATGATCTACCGAGAATCTTTTACGAAACAAGCTACAAACACAGTACACGCAAACTTAACTCGTGAATTAAAATGTAGTTCCGTTTTCTATAATGCTTCCGGGTGTAGATAAAAGCGGACCCGGACTACGGAGGCAAAACGCGCAAATAAAATGCTTTAGGTCCGTTCGTAAAATACTCTTATTCTACGTCGAAAAATAAACATTGAAAAAGCTAAAATAAAAACGAAACTAAATGATGCTTTTAAAAGCCAGTTTCGTGCAGCTCTGTTTTTAATGATTGTACGAACGTCTGTTTGTACAAGCTTTATCTTTCAGGATATATTTTTTGACCTCATTATTTAAAGCAATTAAACATGCATATTTTAATTTTCAGTCAGTCATATAGAGTGTAACGCAATGAAACCTCATTGTATTTTTTTCGTGTTTTGCGCGTTTTGCGTCCGCCGTCCGCGTCCGCTTTTTATCTACACCCAATGCTTCCTCCTAATATTTGTTGGTCCGTGACCTATCGACAATATCAAGTGTTTTTCCATTGCTAGATACACAACATTCAAGACTTGAAAAAATATTTTCCGAGACTCAAATAGTTAATAACGTACATACATGTATATTTTCCAAAAGCAATAATCTTATTGGACTGTTCAGTCTGATTAAACTACAAAACAATCAAAGCTTTGCTTATATTTGCTTTCGTGAACTTATAATCATTTAAAATTGATTATTGCAGTTAAAAGGTTGTAGTGTATACTTTGTAATTCACAACAAACAATTAATAACGTCAAATGAAATCGATTGCAGTAAGGATCATGATATGAACATTTGAAAACGATTGGTAAACTATAGGATTTCTGACCGCAAATTTTCAATCGCTACTACTACTGCCAATTAGATTTCTGGAAAAGATGGGATTCTGCACGCTGCTGATTTTTAAAAGAATTGCACAATTTCACGATATCTTACGGCGGTGCGGAATCCTACAATAAGTTTTTAAAATTTGAGCAAAGGGTTGTTTTGTTTGGTTTGCTTTGCTTGCTTTGGTTTTGTTTTGCAATGTATATTATTTGGCAATCTTGGTAATTGTGACAATTTATTTTAATGAACAACACAAAAAAATAATGCTTTATCCACAACTATAAACAAGTTATCTAACAACATTTGAATGTTAACCTTCCTCTCCTCTTCCTTGTGACGTTCAAATGTTGTTAACATTCAATTCCTCTTTTAACATTCAAATGTTGTTAGATGAGGCCGTGTTATTGTTTATAGTTCCTTGATAAAGCATTATGCTATTTTTTCTTGTTGTTTGATAACATTTCAACTATTTGACCTTATATTTTAATGAATTTGAGTTTTCAATCATAAAAAGTATAGAAAAAGCAGTTTTAAGATCTTTATTGAATCTAACTGTACACAGTAAAACTTGTTTCCTTTGGCAAAAAATAATTGTTTTTTTATCATGACTGTTCTTTTTACTTTTCCATCACGACTGTTTTTTCTAATTTTATTAATACGACTCGTTTTTAAATGATGCACTAAACAACTACTAATTATTATAAGGAAGAGGTTTTGAATTATTCGTGCTCATAACGTACATGTTTTCATACAACGAAACTGCTGAACTGCATCGGTGAACAATTGATGTAATTCATTGCACTTTCTATTTAGTCTTCACTTAAAAATAAATGAAATGTTGGAGGAGATAATCGGGTTTGCCTTGTCGGTCTGTTCACTTTTTGCTGCAGATACACCAAGAGTAAGTTCTAACACAGAAACTCTACCCGAAAATACAAATGTTGAATTTAGAGAAATCGAGAATGACGCACAAAAAACTTTCATCAACAAAGAATACGACGAGAATAATTATGCTAGATCAAGCGAAGATTTTGTCCACGGTCGCTCAAACCTTATTGAAAGAAATTATGAGAATTGTCAAAATAGTAGAAAAGTTTGGAGGACATTTTGGAAATGCTTGTGGATTAACTTAAATATCATTGTGGCCTCCATTATTTCTATTGCATTTTGTACAACGCTTGTTTACGTGGCAATGAATACCGCTTACAGCTGTCTGGATTGGCAGAGTCACAACAACAACAAGACATTACCGTTATCTATAAAACGTGCTCACATTTTTGGTCGTTGCGTGGAGTCGTTAACAGTGTATTTGTGGTTTCCATTTACAATGATGATATTATTTGGATGGAAAGAGTTTAAGGCAATGTTTTTATCCACGATTTATATAGCTGTCATATTTAGCGAGTTGAACGTTATTTATAAATTGATTTCATTTCAGTTTAATGTTTATGATACATATAGCTACTATGTATATCCTCCAAGTGTTTTGTTTTGGGTCTCAATAGTTTTATCGACGTTTGTGGTACTTTACAACATCCGTGCTTTCAAACCTTTCATCCCTTACTCCAACTTTCACATTACAGTGCTTATCATTATGCAATTTGTCTTTTGTACTTTGATTTCATATTTCTACAAGTTTATAATTATTCCTGAGTTCAATAACGTTCGTGTTAACTTGTTTAAATTCTTGATCGCCACGTCTTCACCATTGTTAGCGATTATTCCTACAGTCTTGTGTGGGCATTTGGCGTCGAGAAAAAGTTCTAAGGTCGTTCATCCCGGTCGTAGCTTTATCATGGTCTATATGATTCGAGGCGGCGTTATATTCCTTTATAGAACAATGCAGACAAACTTCAAAAGTATTTGGCTTTTTCTTGGTCTTTCATTGTTTTCAGCAGTTTTAAACTTTTCAAAAAAGGCGACCCAAGAACTTCGTTTCAAATTATGGAAACGAATGATTTCAGCTTTGAATAAGCTACGTTGTTTTAAAAGACTACAAGTTTTACCATGGAACACTGCTCGTGCAAGACGGTTGAAAGCTGACCTTGAAATTCAAGATATACTTTTTGAATACAACACCCTTGTTTTGAGCCAAGCTTACTTCATTTCATATCAGCTTCAAAGTTTTAACATCGCCACTGAACCATTGTTGTATGAGTTCCTGAAAAGAATTGTGATTGGTGTTTTAATAGATTTTATCTTTAACTGTCTGTCCAACTATGTGCAAATGTATTATTACAACATTCCCATTGGCCGCGTGTGGAAAAAGTACTGGAAACGACATTTGTTTGCCAATGTAGTAGTGGTTTTAGTAATTATTTCTTATTTCAGCCGAGATTTAGAATCTGTTTTTCAATCGCATTTTCAAAAGTCTGGAGCCAGTTCTACAAAGCACTCTATAAGAAATTGTTCTTTGCTTTAGTTAAGAATCATTATGATCTTTTATTAATAAATAAATTGTGTTTTAATAATATTAGTAATTGAATAGAAATATTAAAATATTCAGTCACATTACCAATAATATTTTCTAACCATAAAACACTGTATGGAGAAATTCACTTTGTCTTTCGCTCTTCTGCACGTCTTTCATCCTTCTTTCCTTTCAAAGATAGAGCTTTCAAATTTCTGAAATTTGGTGTTTTTTATCTGTTTAAGTGTCGACACTGCTCTGCGTCGTACGTGGGTCAAACCACGCGCCATTTACACACCAGAGTATCGGAACATTTGGGTAATTCTCTTTTGACAGAAAAAACTTCATCGAGTCCAATCAATTCCAGTGTGCTCACCATCTCAAAACCACTAATCACTCCACTAACTTTGACGACTTCGACATTCTATCATCCTCTCCTAATGCATACGAACTATCCATCCACGAAAGCCTCCTTATCTCCAACCTTAAACCATCTCTTAACGTCCAAGGCAGTTCCATCCCACTAAGTCTTATCGAATCTGTCTTTCGATCACATTTTAAAGAGTCTGTAAAGACATCTGTAAACTATGTTCGAAATTGTTCTTTGTTTTAGTCGAGAACCATACTGCACTTTTCCATTACCAATCATTTTTCAAGAGCAGTATCAACCATCATGCATTGCGCGTGTTTGTTTGTTTTTATCAGTGAATTGTAATATAAACTGGAACGATAACTTCTATAGTTTGTCCCGTGATTGGTTGAAGCCAAACATGCAGCTAAATTTTAATCAACTCCCCTCTGAAATAATGTGTGTTTTAATCATTGTTTTTGATTGTTTTCTTCGCGACTAACATTAGTTTTGGCTTCTTGGTAGTTAAAAAACGTGAAAAAATTAGTTATTGTTGTATTTTTGACAGATTTTTTTTAAATTGCGTCTACCATACTTAGTGTATTCTACAGCAAGATATTTTCGAGGAGAAAATTAATCGGCAAGAATCGAGGACAATTGATCGACCAACTAATACTATAAATAATGACGGACTAAATGGCAAAAAATACATAAAAATATTTCAATATTTGGAGCATTTTATAAAACTAATATGATTCTGTATGATTCACGTCCTTTTACGTTTTAAAAATGTTCCAGTGATATATCATATTCAATGACCTACAATTTTCTTTGTTTATTTATTCTTGTCTTTTAACAACACATACCAAGCTTACCGGCTCGTTTTATGAACGTGTTTTTTTTTCTTTGCTCACTTTTTATGCTTTACACGGACAGCACAAGAGCTAGGTGTTATGTATTTAAAATAAAATCTTGATTTTATGCATTTACATCATTAAGAAAAGCTTTTTAAAAACTCTTTTTGTGAGGATCTTGAACTTTTCTTAATAACGCTGAGCTGTATACATATTTGTATTGTGTGTGTGTTTCATGGCATGAAAAGTGCTTCTACGTATACTTAAAAACGTATTTTTCTCTTGTAAATACCTCAATTTTTACCATACCTTGTAGGTTGTGTATTTGACATGGAACTACAAAATTTTGGTGGTTTGAACTTTTGGCTATCCCTGGAACTTTCAAAAACTCAGAAACAGCAACAAAAAATCGCGCGGACATTTTCTTATTTTAGACTTTGCTTTCAAGTTTCTCAGCAATATGACTTTTGGCCAACTTTTTTCGACAATCTTTAAATTTGACCATTATTCTTCAAATTTAATAGTATTTACAAAAAGTAACGCAAAGTTTACTTTTAAAATTTTATAAATATAAAAATTTCATTTAGTTTACAAAAGGACTGGAGCGACCTCATCCGACTGCCATCATCTGCCTTCAATTTCCCCCTGACTTATAGTTCCAGTTGTTATTACAGTTCACTAGTTTTTATATGATGGCAGCGTGTAGCCATAAATGCAAGTTTCTTTACTAGATCTTGCCTGATGAGCTTAGACACCCTACCTGCTTAAAACTGTTAAAAATTTGAAAACGGGGGAGCGCTTAAACTTATCTAACCAATCAGGTAAAAAATTGCATGTATAGTCAGACTGCTGGAGTCCCACTGTATTTCATGGCCGATTGGGATTGTTTTAAATATCCTGTTTTATTAAAAGAAATTAGAATATTTGTCGAATCAGTTATTAACTACAATTACTGAAAAATTCCTTATTTTAACAAGGATTGCAGCAATTACAAAGGCCGCAAAGAGTGAAGGTCAACCATCACCCGCGCTATGCATGATGGTTTACACGCACTTTTTGATGATATTACACATGCATTAACTTCGAAACATGAAAACTATCAATTACTTTATATTATATTATGGAAAGCGTCACTTTCAGCAAAAATGTCGTGCTATGATTGGCTCAGAAACATTTTTGAAAAACAGCAAAGACCAGAAAGAAAGTAAGCTTTGTTTCAGGTCAAATAATGCCATATAATAAACTTTTAATAACCTCGCTTTCTCGGTCTTTACTGAGAAATATCGGACCTCTGTCTTTTTGTACAAATCTCGCACTACGGGCTCGGTCTCAACAAAAAGACCTCTGTCCGATATTTCTCTGTAAAGACTTCGCGCTTGGTTATCAAGGGCTTAATAATTATGGAGGAAGCTCATAAGAAAATGATGCACTGCACGTATTTCATTTTACAAAAGCCATATATAAAAAGGAAAAGAAAGAGATCACTTTAAGCAATTTGTTAACTTTAGTAGACAAGCTCATCAAAACATACAATATAACTATCGCACTTTATAACGTATTTTGATTGGAAAATTTTGATTTGACAAAATTTTAGACTTTTTGATTCTGGTTTTTAGTTTACTAGTCCCAGTAAATTTCTATACTTTGCAAAATGATTTTTGACGACAGTTTTTGTCATGATATCAACATACTTCAAATTTTCAAAACTTATAAATAATTACAATTGTCCAACATGAAACTTTAAGGCCATGGATAGCATTTTTATTGAGTGTAACGCGTCGTCTTTCGCTTAAGACACAACCAAACTAAGTGATTTACATAAATAAATTGAGTTGAAGTTTGTAAAATTAAATAGAGTTTTTACTATTTTTTTGAATTACTTAACATACATGCAGAGGAGACTTCTCTGTATTGAAATATATTTATCATCAATAAGCTTTCTTTCGTAAGCATTTGGAGCGTGAGATAGGTTGTAAGCGCTGTACGAGAATATGATAGATTCCTTCACGTTCGTAGTACATTTGAAATGTTTACGGAGGGGAGGGGGGGGGTGGGTGGGTTTAATGGGTAGAAATTGCATAAACTGGTTTCTTATGTTTTCTGTACCATGTGTATCGTAAGTTAATTTGGCATGAAAAAGCAAGGGATATGATCTTAAAGCATGTTGTAAGTTACTTTTAAGAGTGACCAAACAAGAATCAAATACATACATTTACAAACTTAGGTAAAATAAACTTGCACGAAGTGTTCTGTGGTATTTTGTCGAAGTATCTCATAATTCCAAAGACGTTATTATTTACGTATTAAATGCCTAATAACACTAATACAAAATAAGTTGTAAGTATGTAGTCTTTGCTTGTTTTTTAACCAGTTCATCAATAATTACTCAAAATATTGTTGTACAGTTCCTGATATTATTTCGTGTCTCCCGGTAACGTGATTGAAATACTGACGTGAAATCTCTGCTAAAATATGCAATAATAACAAACACAAAAATGAAATTGGCAGACAAATGTCGTTTCCAGTATCTTCTCCACACACGGCCAATGGGAATGTTGTAGTGATACATCTGAACATGATTTGATAAACAGTTAAAAATAAATTCAATGGCGAGACCAATTGCAATTCTTTCAAGGAACTCGCAAATCAGCGGCCATGTTTGTATTTCAAAACTTTGAAGGTGGTAAAAAGTAAAGTAAGCTTGACTCAAAACGATAGTGCTGTATTCAAAAAGCATATCTTGTATTTCCAAGTCAGCTTGCAACCGTCTTGCATGTGCTGTGTTCCACGTTAATGCGCGAACTCGTAGGAAATAGCCCAGGGAGTGTAATTTTGAGATTGTGCGTTTCCAAAAATTGAAACGAATTTGTCGAGTGGTCTTCACGAAAAAACCTGAAATTGATGACGATAATGAAAGACCAACGAATAACCAAATTCTTTGGAAATCAGATTGCATTGTTCGAAACAAAAATATTGCTCCACCTCGTATAATGTACACGAGTACAAAACAACGATCAGGGTGAACAAGCTCTGAACTTTTTCTCAGTGCCATTTGCATACATATCAGAGCAGGAACGAGAGTCATCACTGCAGGCGAGGCAGCGATGAAGAATTTGACCCTCGGCTCTTGTACTTTGTTAAAAATAACAATGGCTCCGTACTTGTAGATATATGAAATTATAACACACAAAATGACTTCGATAAGAATGACAGCCATTATGTGAACATTCGAATATGAAATCATGTTGTCGCTGGAACGGATGTTGTAAACCATTACGGAAGCTGAACACACGATCATAACGCAAAAAACAACGTTTCTCGGATATCTGTAATACATTTCTGTGTTATAAAGCTGAAACTCCAGCAATATCTGATCATATATCACTACTAACAGACCAAAAATTACCGCAATATAAGCAACAGATAAATACTTCGTTTTGAATTCTCTCCAACTGAATAATAAGATCATAGTAAGTGGGAACCATGAAAATATCACCATGGTTTGAAAATTGTCACCGTAGACGCGTGTACGTCTCACAGACAATGGTAGGGTCTTGTTGTAATGATTCTGCCATTGCAAACATCCGTAGGTGGTGTTAATTGACAGGAATATTACTGCCATGGCCAATACAGTTGATGGAATGATCGCTAAGAGGAGATGGATTGTCATCCACGTACTTTTTATAAGAGATTTGCAAATGTTTTTGCCATTTTGCAAGTTTGTTGTGTTCTCAAGTCTTTCATTCGTGATCTCCGAAGATAAAATTTGACCATTGTTGTCATTTATGTCGACGTCATCGTATTCTTTGTTGATATACGATACAAACGGTTCGTTTTCAAGTTCTTTGAATTCAAAACCCATCTCTTCACATCTTCAAATTTTCGTCAACCATGGAGGCAACAATTTTTTCTGGAAAAAAACAGTTCGTAATACTAATCACAAGCAGAGTTGGGCAACTTGGCTTACATTTTGACATTTTAAAATGAAATATAGTTACGCGTTCTATATTCCTTGTCATTGATAACTGTTGATCCATGACGTATTGAAATATCACTTTATTTAGGCGATTGTCACGCGATGATGTATTGTTAGTTTTAATATTTGTTGTGGGTTTTAGTTGAGTTGAGGAGCTTAAAGATAACGCATTCACTATAGAGATGGATTTCAAAATATGACATAAATTCTTCATGGGATCAATACCCTATTTTCTCATGTGAGCATCTGAGATTTTTTTAATTTTCAAAGCCCTAAGTGTGTGGCGGCTCACTTGGGAACGGCCCCTTGATTGAGTTAACAAAAACTAATCACAATGGTTAGAAAGTTTGTTTCATTGCTAATATTTCTTTTTGAGTCGTCAAGTAAAGATAAGTAAAATGCTTGAGGAGATAATCGCGTTTGTTTTGTCGTTTTGTTCACTTTTTTACCGCAGATACACCGAGAGTAAGTTCGAGCAAGTAAGTTCGAGAGAGTATGTTGGAGCGAGTATATTCGAGAGAGTAAATTCGAGAGAGTAAGTTCGAGCGAGTAAGTTGGTTGAATTAGGGAAATGAGGGATACATATTAATGAAAAACATATTAACATAGAATACGAGTTAGATAATGGTGGTGTGATTTATTAATCAAATATTTTATTGTAACGGCCCTAAAGTCACTATTTAGCAAGCTGTGATGATTATGAAAGTAGTAAAGTTTGAATTTGAAGACATGGCTATGTTTCTTGGTTAATTTAAACATCATTGTAGCGTTCACACTCCATCGATCATTGCTGTTGCGTTTGCTATGTGGTTTGTTTACGTGGCAATGAATGCCTTCTACAGCTGTGTTTGAAAGTTAAGTCACAAACACACTTCCGTTATTTGCAAAACGCGCTAAATCGTTATGGTCTCCATCGACAATAATATTACGTGGATGGGAAGAATTTGAAACAAAATTTTCAACTACCGCTTATATTGATCTCATGGGCGAGTTGGTCTCCATAATTAAGTTGATTTTATTTTAGTTCGAATTCAATCGGCTACTACATGTACATATCGTATTTGCTATTCTGAACGCTTAATATTTTCTGCATTTGTTATATTGTTCAATATTAGAGCTAACAAACCTTTTATTCCTTATTCCAACTGTCACATCACAGCGCTCGTTCTTACAGAATTTGCTGTCGGTACTTCACTTTCTTATCTCTACATTTATGCAGTTATCCCTGTGTTCGCTAGAGCTCGTCAAAATTCATTTAAATTCTTCATCACCACTTCATCACCACTTCATCACCACTTCATCACCACTAATAGTTTATACTCCTACGGTGTTCTGTAAGCATGAAGCGTTTAGTAAAAGTTCCGAGGTCGTTCAGCCCGGTCGTAGTTTTGTCTTGGTGTACATATTCCGAGGTGGCGTTATGTTCGTTCATAGAATGATGCAGCCAGATTTCAAATTTGTGACTTTTTATTAATCTCTCGTTGTTTCTGCCGTTATAAACTTTTTAAAATACTTTTTAAATTTTTTTACATTGTTTTCAAGGACTACAAGTTTTACCGTGGAACACTCTTATTTTGAGTCAAACTTATTTCATTTCCCAACAGCTTCAAAGTTTTAACATCTCCACGGAAGCATTGTTGTACGAGGTCTTGCAAAGAATTGTGATTGGTATTTTAAACGATTTCATCTTTAAGTGTATGTCTAACTTTGTACAAATGTATTATTACAACATTCCCATTGACCGCGTGTGGAAGAAGTACTGGAAACGACATTTGTTGGCCAATATAGTAGTGGTGTTGGGAATTATTGCTCATTTAAGCAGACAGTCGGTATCGGTGTTTTGATCCCTATTTCAAAAGTTTGGAGAGGGTTTTGCGACGGACGTCATTAGGAATTGTAGGTTGTTTTGGCCAAGGATTATATTGCACTTTTGCTGTGTAATTTATGTTTTTTTTGATGATATGGTTGGTGGTTTGATGATATAGCTTGAATTTTTCGACGGTGGTGTAACATATGATGGTGTTACCGTCGTTTTCTGTTTCCTAAATTATAATAGTTTAACTTCTGTGACATCACACAAAGATCCCCTAGTACGGTTTATCAAAATATCAAATCAACACTTGTGTTTGACAGGTATTGTTAGTTTATAAGTTTAGAAACTCTAAACTTTTTCCCTAACTCGTTTGCGTACATATAATGGCACGACAATGGTCATCCCTGGAGATTATAGGCGCCAATTAGAAGTTTGAACCTTGGCTGTTGTACTTTACAACAATATTTAGCAATAACCGAAAATTTTTGTCCAAAATATTCTCCACAACCTTCAATAGTTGTAATAAGAAAATTGATGCGGATCATAAAAGTGTAAAATTTCATCTGTAGCAAATTATGTCATTTTTGTGGACACGTCATGAACAAGGATACTTTTCAGTTATGTGCAAATTGCAACAAAAATGAAGCTGCATGGCCAGCAAATGTCGTTTCCAATATCTTCTCCACACACGGCCAATAGGAATGTTGTAGTGATACATCTGAACATGATTTGATAAACAGTTAAAAATAAATTGAATGATGAGATCAATCGTAATTCTTTTAGAGAACTCTAAAATTAGTGGCCCCGCTTTTATTTTAAAACTTTGAAGGATGTAAAAAGTGATGTAAGCTTGACTAGTTGGCTAAAATCAACAGTGCTGTATTCAAAAAGCATACCTTGACTTTGCAAGTAAGCTTGCTAACGTTTTGCATGTCCAGTGTGCAGTGTTCTACGGAAGTCGGAAGAGCGCGAACTCTTTGGAAATAGCCCACGAAGTTTTATTTTGAGATTTTGCGTTTCTAAAAGTTGAAGCGAGTTTGAGTGGTCTTTATGAAAAAACCGGAAATTGCTGACAATAATGAACTCAGATTGCATTCTTCGAAACAACAATATTATCTCTTATAATGTTAACGAGAACAAAATAACGATCAGGGTGAACAAGCTTGGGTCTTTTTCTCAGTGCCATTTGTTTACATATCAGAGCAGGAATGAGAGTCGACGATGAAGAATTTAAACCTTGGCTCTTGTTCTTTGTTGAAAACAAGAACTCCGTCCTTTAGGTATATGAAAGTTAAGAACATAAAATGAATTCAATTAGAATAAGGGTCATAATATGAACATTCGAATACGAAACCACGATGTCGCTGTAACGGAACGTCGCCGTCTTCTCGGGAAAAATAAGTTGGTAATACTAATCACAAGAAAAGTTGGTTAGCTTGGTTTCAATGTTTACGATTTACATGTAACACTTTGTTTGACATAGTTCCGTGTTCTATATTGCTTGTCATACATATTGTAATATTATTTTATTCAGACGAATGTCACGCAATGGTTTATTGTTAGTTTTAATGTTTAATGCGAAGCTTGATGAAGCTCTGGAGCTCAAAGAAAATTTAATGTGTTCATTATAGAAATGGATGTCGAAACATAAATTTATTAGCGGATCATAACCTTATTTTCTCATTTGAGCATTTGAGGTATTTTTTATTTTAAAAGCCTTAAGTGGGCGGCTCATTTAGGAGCGGCCCCTTCCTTGAATGATTAATTAAACAGAACAAAAACTAATAAAATGGCAAGAAAGTTTGTTTCATTCCTAATATTTCTTTTTGTGTCGTCTGGTAACGATAAGTGAAATGCTGGAGGAGATAATTGGGTTTACCTTGTCAATTTGTTCACTTTTTGCTGCAGATACACCAAGAGTAAGTTCTAACTCAGAAATTTTACCCGAAAAGGCAAATGTTGAGTTCACAGAAATTGAGAATGATGCAGAACAAAGTTATATCAACAAAGAATACGACGACGATATTTGTGGTGAAACATTAATTGAACATTTTGTTGGTAGCGACTCAAGCCATTATGTAACAAGTTGTGGTGATGATTACAAAAATGGCAAAGTTTGGAAGACATTTTGGAAATGCTTGTGGGTGAATTTAAGCATCCTTGTAGCGTTCATCATTCCCATTGCATTTGCTTTAACGCTTGTTTACGTGTCAATGAATACTGTTTACAGCTGTTGGGAATGGCAGAATCACAAGAACAACACATTACCGTTATCTGTAAAACGTGCTCACGTCTTTGGTGATTGCGTGGAATCGTTTCTGATATATTTATGGTTTCCGCTGACAATGATGATATTATTTGGATGGAAAGAGTTTAAAGCAAAGTTTTCATCCACGATTTATATCGCTGTCATATTTAGCGAGTTGGTCGTTATTTATCAATTGATTTCACTTCAGTTTAATACTTATGATACATATAGGTACTATAGATATCCTCCAAGTGTTCTGTTTTGTGTCTCGATGGTTTTCTCGACATTTATGGTACTTCACAACATCCGTGTTTTCAAACCTTTCATCCCTTACTCCAATTTTCACATTACAGTACTTATCATTATGCAATTTGTCTTTTGTACTTTGATTTCATATTTCTACAAGTTTATAATTATTCCTGAGTTCAATAACGTTCGTGTTAACTTGTTTAAATTCTTGATCGCTACGTCTTCACCATTGTTAGCGATTATTCCTACAGTCTTGTGTGGGCATTTGGCGTCGAGAAAAAGTTCTAAGGTCGTTCATCCAGGTCGTAGCTTTATCATGGTCTCTATGATTCGAGGTGGCGTTATATTCCTTTATAGAACAATGCAGACAAACTTCAAAAGTATTTGGCTTTTTGTTGGTCTTTCATTGTTTTCAGCAGTTTTAAACTTTTCAAAAAAGGCGACCCAAGAACTTCGTTTCAAATTATGGAAAGGAATAATTTCAGCTTTAAAGAAGCTACGTTGTTTTAAAAGACTACAAGTTTTACCATGGAACACTGCACATGCAAGACGGTTGAAGGCTGACCTTGAAATTCAAGATATACTTTTTGAATACAACACCCTTGTTTTGAGTCAAACCTATTACATTTCATATCAGCTTCAAAATTTTAACATCGCCACTGAACCATTGTTGTATGAGTTCCTGAAAAGAATCGTGATTGGTGTTTTAATAGATTTCATCTTTAACTGTTTGTCCAACTATGTACAAATGTATTATTACAACATTCCCATTGGCCGCGTGTGGAAAAAGTACTGGAAACGACATTTGTTTGCCAATGTAGTTGTGGTTTTGGTAATTATTGCTTATTTCAGCCGAGATTTAGAATCTGTTTTTCAATCGCATTTTGAAAAGTCTGGAGCCAGTTCTGCAAAATACTCTATAAGAAATTGTTCTTTGTTTTAGTTAAGAATCATTATGATCTTTTATTAATAAATAAATTGTGTTTTAATAATATTAGTAATTGAATAGAAATATTAAAATAATCAGTCACATTACCAATAATATTTTCTAAACATAAAAAACTGTATGGAGAAATTGGCTTTGTCTTTCGCTCTTCTGCACGTCTTTCATCCTTCTTTCCTTTCAAAGATAAAGTTTCCAAATTTCTGAAATCTGGTGTTGCTTATCTATTGAAGTGTCGACACTGCTCTGCGTCGTACGTGGGTCAAACCGCGCGCCATTTACACACGTATTTTATTTTACAAAAGCCATATTTAAAAGGAAAAGAAAGAGATCACACTAAGCAATTTGTTAACTTTAGTAGACACGCTCATCAAAACATACAATCTAACTATCTCACTTTATAACGTATTTTGATTGGAAAATTTTTATTTAACGAAATTTTAAACTTTTTGATTCTGGTTTTTAGTTTACTAGTTCCAGTAAATTTCTATACTTTGCAAAATGATTTTTGACGACAGTTTTGTCATGATATCAACATACTTCAAATTTTCAAAACTTATAAATAATTACAATTGTCCAACATGAAACTTTAAGGCCATGGATAGCATTTTTATTGAGTGTAACGTGTCGTCTTTAATGGGTAGAAATTGCATAAACTGGTTTCTTATGTTTTCTGTGCCATGTGTATCGTAAGTTAATTTGGCATGAAAAAGCTAGGGATATGATCTTAAAGCATGTTGTAAGTTACTTTTAAGAGTGACCAAACAAGAATCAAATACATACATTTACAAACTTATGTAAAATAAACTTGCACGAAGTGTTCTGTGGTATTTTGTCGAAGTATCTCATAATTCCAAAGACGTTATTATTTTACGTATTAAATGCCTAATAACAGTAATACAAAATAAGTTGTAAGTATGTAGTCTTTGCTTGTTTTTCAACCAGTTCATCAATAATTACTCAAAATATTGTTGTACAGTTCCTGATATCATTTCGTGTCTCCCGGTAACGTGATTGAAATACTGACGTGAAATCTATGCTAAAATATGCAATAATAACAAACATTAAAATGAAATTGGCCCACAAATGTCGTTTCCAGTATCTTCTCCACACACGGCCAATGGGAATGTTGTAGTGATACATCTGAACATGATTTGATAAACAGTTAAAAATAAATTCAATGGCGAGACCAATTGCAATTCTTTCAAGGAACTCTAAAATCAGCGGCCATGTTTGTATTTCAAAACTTTGAAGGTGGTAAAAAGTAAAGTAAGCTTGACTCAAAACGATAGTGCTGTATTCAAAAAGCATATCTTGTATTTCCAAGTCAGCTTGCAAACGTCTTGCATGTGCTGTGTCCCACGTTAATGCACGAACTCGTAGGAAATAGCCCAGGGAGTGTAATTTTGAGATCGTACGTTTCCAAAAATTGAAGCAAATTTGTCGTGTGGTCTTCACGAAAAAACCTGAAATCGATGACGATAGTGAAAGACCAACAAATAGCCAAATACTTTGGAAATCAGATTGCATAGTTCGAAACAAAAATATAGCTCCACCTCGGATAAAGTAGACAAGGACAAAACAACGGCCAGGGTGAACAAGCTCTGAACTTTTTCTCAGTGCCATTTGCATACATATCAGAGCAGGAACGAGAGTCATCACTGCAGGCGAGGCAGCGATGAAGAATTTGACCCTCGGCTCTTGTACTTTGTTAAAAATAACAATGGCTCCGTACTTGTAGATATATGAAATTATAACACACAAAATGACTTCGATAAGAATGACAGCCATTATGTGAACATTCGAATATGAAATCATGTTGTCGCTGGAACGGATGTTGTAAACCATTACGGAAGCTGAACACACGATCATAACGCAAAAAACAACGTTTCTCGGATATCTGTAATACATTTCTGTGTTATAAAGCTGAAACTCCAGCAATATCTGATCATATATCACTACTAACAGACCAAAAATTACCGCAATATAAGCAACAGATAAATACTTCGTTTTGAATTCTCTCCAACTGAATAATAAGATCATAGTAAGTGGGTACCATGAAAATATCACCATGGTTTGAAAATTGTCACCGTAGACGCGTGTACGTCTCACAGACAACGGTAGGGTCTTGTTGTAATGATTCTGCCATTGCAAACATCCATAGGTGGTGTTAATTGACAGGAATATTAGTGCCATGGCCATAGCAGTTGATGGAATGATCGCTAAGAGGAGATGGATTGTCATCCACGTACTTTTTATAAGAGATTTGCAAATGTTCGTACCATTTTGCAAGTTTGTTGTGTTCTCAAGTCTTTCATTCGTGATCTCTGAAGATAAAATTTGACCATTGTTGTCATTTATGTCGACGTCATCGTATTCTTTGTTGATATACGATACAAACGGTTCGTTTTCAAGTTCTTTGAATTCAAAACCCATCTCTTCACGTCTTCAAATTTTCGTCAACCATGGAGGCAACAATTTTTTCTGAAAAAAAAGTTCGTAATACTAATCACAAGCAGAGTTGGGCAACTTGGTTTACATTTTGACATTTTACAATGAAGATATACTTCCGCGTTTTATATTGCTTTTCATTGATAATTGTTCATCCATGAGGTGTTGAAATATCATTTCATTTAGGCGATTGTCACGCGATGATGTATTGTTAGTTTTATTATTTGTTGTGGGTTTTAGTTGAGTTGAGGAGCTTAAAGATAACGCATTCATTATAGAGATGGATTTCAAAATATGACATAAATTCTTCATGGGATCAATACCCTATTTTCTCATGTGAGCATCTGAGATTTTTTTAATTTTCAAAGCCCTAAGTGTGTGGCGGCTCACTTGGGAACGGCCCCTTGATTGAGTTAACAAAAACTAATCACAATGGTTAGAAAGTTTGTTTCATTGCTAATATTTCTTTTTGAGTCGTCAAGTAAAGATAAGTAAAATGCTTGAGGAGATAATCGCGTTTGTTTTGTCGTTTTGTTCACTTTTTTACCGCAGATACACCGAGAGTAAGTTCGAGCGATTAAGTTCGAGCAAGTAAGTTCGAGAGAGTATATTCGAGAGAGTAAGTTCGAGCGAGTAAGTTCTAGAGAGTAAGTTCGAGAGAGTAAGTTCGAGCGAGTAAGTTAGTTGAGTTAGGGAAATTAGGGATGATGCAGAAAAACATATTAACATAGAATACGAGTTAGATAATGGTGGTGTGATGTATTAATCGAACATTTTATTGTAACGACCCTATAGTCACTATTTAACAAGCTGTGATGATTGTGAAAGTGTAAAGTTTGAATTTGAAGACATTATGGCTATGTTTTTGGTTGATTTAAACATCATTGTAGCGTTCACACTCCATCGATCATTGCGTTTGCTATGTCGTTTGTCTACGTGGCAATGAATGCCCTCTACAGCTGTGTGGGAAAGTTAAGTCACAAACACACTTCCGTTATTTGCAAAACGCGCTAAATCGTTATGGTCTCCATCGACAATAATATTATGTGGATGGGAAGAATTTGAAACAAAATTTTCAACTACCGCTTATATTGATCTCATGGGCGAGTTGGTCTCCATAATTAAGTTGATTTTATTTTAGTTCGAATTCAATCGGCTACTACATGTACATATCGTATTTGCTATTCTGAACGCTTAATATTTTCTGCATTTGTTATATTGTTCAATATTAGAGCTAACAAACCTTTTATTCCTTATTCCAACTGTCACATCACAGCGCTCGTTCTTACAGAATTTGCTGTCGGTACTTCACTTTCTTATCTCTACATTTATGCAGTTATCCCTGTGTTCGCTACAGCTCTTCAAAATTCATTTAAATTCTTCATCACCATCACCACTAAAGCTTATACTCCTACGGTGTTCTGTAAGCATGAAGCGTTTAGTAAAAGTTCGAGGTGGTTAAGCCCGGTCGTAGTTTTGTCTTGGTGTACATATTCCGAGGTGGCGTTATGTTCGTTCATAGAATGATGCAGACAGATTTCAAATTTGTAACTTCTTATTAATCTCTCGTTGTTTCTGCCGTTTTAAACTTTTTATAATACTTTTTAAATTTTTTTTACATTGTTTTCAAAGACTACAAGTTTTACCGTGGAACACTCTTGTTTTGAGTCAAACTTATTTCATTTCATAACAGCTTCAAAGTTTTAACATTTCCACGGAAGCATTGTTGTACGTGCTCTTGCAAAGAATTGTGATTGGTGTGTTAATCGATTTCATCTTTAAGTGTATGTCTAACTTTGTACACATGTATTATTACAACATTCCCATTGACCGCGTGTGGAAGAAGTACTGGAAACGACATTTGTTGGCCAATGTAGTAGTGGTGTTGGTAATTATATTTAATAAAAATGGATGTCGTATTTCATGGAAATGGTATTTTTATTTTGAAAGCCTTTAGTGTGGCGGCTCATTTAGGAGCGCCCCTTGATGATTAATTAAACAGAACAAAAACTAATCAAAATGGCAAGAAAGTTTGTTTCATTCCTAATATTTCCTTTTGAGTCGTCTGGTAACGATAAGTGAAATGCTGGAGGAGATAATTGGGTTTGCCTTGTCAATTTGCTCACTTTTTGCTGCAGATACAACAAAAGTAAGCTCTAACTCAGAAACTTTACCCGAAAATGCAAATGTTGAGTTCACAGAAATTGAGAATGATGCAGAAAAAAATTATATCAACAAAGAATACGACGACGATATTTGTGGTGAAACAATAATCGAACATTTTGTTCGTAGCGACTCAAGCCATTATGTAACAAGTTGTGGTGATGATTACAAAAATGGCAAAGTTTTGAAGACATTTTGGAAATGCTTGTGGGTGAATTTAAGCATCCTTGTAGCGTTCATCATTCCCATTGCATTTGCTTTACCGCTTGTTTACGTGGCAATGAATACCGCCTACAATTGTTGGGAATGGCAGAATCACAACAACAACACATTACCGTTATCTGTGAAACGTGCTCACTTCTTTGGTGGTTGTGTGGAATCCTTTGTGATATATTTATGGTTTCCGTTGACAATGATGATATTATTTGGATGGAAAGAGTTTAAAGCAAAGTTTTCATCCACGATTTATATCGCTGTCATATTTAGCGAGTTGGTCGTTATTTATCAATTGATTTCACTTCAGTTTAATACTTATGATACATATAGGTACTATAGATATCCTCCAAGTGTTCTGTTTTGTGTCTCGATATTTTTCTCGACATTTATGGTACTTCACAACATCCGTGTTTTCAAACCTTTCATCCCTTACTCCAATTTTCACATTACAGTACTTATTATTATGCAATTTGTCTTTTGTACTTTGATTTCATATTTCAACAAGTTTATAATTATTCCTGTGTTCAATAACGTTCGTGTTAACTTGTTTAAATTCTTGATCGCTACGTCTTCACCATTGTTAGCGATTATTCCTACAGTCTTGTGTGGGCATTTGGCGTCGAGAAAAAGTTCTAAGGTTGTTCACCCCGGTCGTAGCTTTATCATGGTCTCTATGATTCGAGGCGGCGTTATATTCCTTTATAGAACAATGCAGACAAACTTCAAAAGTATTTGGCTTTTTGTTGGTCTTTCATTGTTTTCAGCAGTTTTAAACTTTTCAAAAAGGCGACCCAAGAACTTCGTTTCAAATTATGGAAAAGAATGATTTCAGCTTTAAAGAAGCTACGTTGTTGTCAAAGACTACAAGTTTTACCATGGAACACTGCTCATGCAAGACGGTTGAATGCTGACCTTGAAATTCAAGATATACTTTTTGAATACAACACTCTTGTTTTGAGCCAAGCTTACTTCATTTCATATCAGCTTCAAAGTTTTAACATCGCCATTAAACCATTGTTCTTAGAGTTCCTCAAAAGAATTGTGATTGGTGTTTTAATAGATTTCATGTTTAACTGTCTGTCCAACTATGTACAAATGTATTATTACAACATTCCCATTGGCCGCGTGTGGAAAAAGTACTGGAAACGACATTTGTTTGCCAATGTAGTAGTGGTTTTGGTAATTATTGCTTATTTCAGCCAAGATTTCTAATCTGTTTTTCATTCGCATTTTGAAAAGTCTGGAGCCAGCTCTGCAAAGTACTCTATAAGAAATTGTTCGTTGCTTTAGTTAAGAATCATTATGATCTTTTATTAATAAATAAATTGTGTTTTAATAATATTAGTAATTGAATAGAATTATTAAAATAATCAGTCGCATTACCAATAAATTTTTCTAACCATAAAAAACTGTATGAAGGAAGAACAAGAGTGAATTTATCAATCTATTTTGTGACCGTAGTCACTTGTCTTTCTTGACATGAAATTTAACCCTTCCATATATTAGCCCCGGTAAATGGTTGTTTGAATTCAAATGATTTGAAAAATTTTGATCTTTTGAAGTCTGTACATATAAATCCTTTCATATTATACTCATTTTTCTACTAACAGTCAAATTGCTTTATATAGTCTACCTTCTATTTTGTAATTTCAACTATTACACCCTTTACATATTAGTTAATAGTTCATAAATTTATCTACTGTCGTATTACAGCAGAAATATGGTAAAATTTGCCTTAATTTGGCAATTACCTGATTTCAGCAAATAGTTTTTATATGTCAAAGAAGATCAGACTACCCAGTCACATTGTGATTCCAAAGTTTTAAGAACATTTTATGCTCGGTATTGGTTTTAGTTTTTGAATTTTAGTAAGTCGAAGCATATTTAAATAATTTTCAAAAAACTTTTTGTTTGTATTCTAAAGATTTTTAAAAGCTTTAAGGCCTTTTTGTTCGTGTTATGTAAAGCAATATCAACAAAACCTTTTTAAACTACTTTGTTCATAATTCAAATAAGATTTTTTCAAATTCATAGGTTCTCTATTGTCAAAAGTACACGGACCAGATGTTGATTGGAGGTGGTAAGTCAGATTACTTCGTGTCTTTCATTTGATTTGACTATTATTTCATATCGAATCTTACCATTTGATATGAAATCCCATGTTTTGGTTATTTACGTACGTTGAGTCACTGATAAAAGACGTTGCGACAACAAAGCAATTTATTATTAATAAATTACATCTGAACGTAATCCTTCATTTCTCTTCACTCTCATTTTAAGCCAGAATGCGCAATTGTTCATTTTGTTAAAATAAAATTTAATTCCAAAAGTAGATATGCGGCTGACGGAAAACCTATTGTATTTACTATGAAGACAAATGTTGAAATACGACCTAGATTAATGTAAAGGTCATAACCGTACTTCTTATACTGAAGCGGTGCTTTATTGAATAATTTGTAGAACAGAAAACTAATCAAAAAGGCGAGGGATTTTAAAATTTATCTTTGATAATTTCTATTGACTCGTCCGGTAAACATCATTAGAATGTTTGAGGAGAAAATCGGGATTGTGAGTTCTAATATGGAAACTTTACCCGAAAATATGAATTTGGATCTAATGAAATATAGAATTTTACAAAAAGGACTTCTATCTATAAAGAATTCGACGACAGTGATAAACGTGGTGAAATATTAATGTGGTCCTGTCAGCATAAGGTTTTATATGCGATAGTAAGTGTGATTCCTAAAGTATCAGTGAAAAAGTTTAGTTTGGTCAACTCATGCATAAAATATAAGTTTTGTTAACTAGAAATAGGGCACAGTTTTTTTGTCTTTTGAAATCTTATGAAAAAGAGCTCTGTTGCCATTCGCTAGCATACTCCCCCCCCCCTTAATGTATGTCACGCGATATGCAGGCTCGTTATAGAAAGTAATAAACTTCATTCCGTTATTCAAATCTACCACTGCATTTTTCGTAAGAGAATTTTGTTGATTGGAAACATCCAGTGATTGTCCATCAGCATGAAAAGTGTACTGGTAAAAGTATTAACGTACTGAAACTGGAAATAAAGAATACGTTTTCAGATTCCCTGCAACTGTCGCTTCTTCAGCAGGAGCAACTTTGTTGGCAGATGGTTATTGTACAAGATAGTGTCATTTAAGTAAAAGAGGACATGCGTTCAGGGAGATTTGCATAAGATTAGAAATCCACTTGGAAACGATATTGGTGCTATTAAACCTATAGCTCACTTTAAAATATTTTGTCTACTATCGTCCAGTATTGCAACATTTAAGAAATAAAGGATGTTTACTGCGTTTGCACAAGCTTATGCAAACCGCGGAGACCTTTGGGAGAACTCGAGAGCAGATCAGTGCAAGACGTTATGATGTTATGTCTTTTTTCACTAATATCCCAGTAGACGAAACCATTGAAATAATCACCAATGACATAATTTCTTATTCTTCTCACTTCCACGGTTTTGACCGTTCTCAATTCACTAAACTCTTGTCACTTTCAGTTAAGAATTGCCACTTCACTTTTAATGGTAGCATGTATCAACCAATCGATGGTGTAGCCATGGGAAGCCCCTTGGAAGCCTCTTTACAAATATCTTCATGTCTTTTCAAGAGAAATTGTGGTTAAAGAAATGTCCCTCTCATTTTAAGCCACTCCTATATCAACGATACGTAGATGAATGTTTTCCTCCTTTTTAGTTGCTTAGAACATGTACCTCACTTTCTTGATTTCCTCAACCAACAACATCCAAACATTCGTTTCGCTTCCGAGTTAGAAAATGACTTTAAACTCCCTTCCTCAACGTCGAAATAACGCGTTCTAATGGCACATTCTCTACTTCTGTTTACCGGAAATCTACTTTAACTGGTCTTTTCACAAACATCCATAACTTCATACCTCTAACATACAAACGTTCCATAGTTTCTTGCCTCATTCAACGAACTTTCCATCTTTGCTCCACCTACAAGAACTTTCATCGTCAACTTGAAGTCAAATCGAAAACTGTTCCACTCAA